GCCGCCTAAGATTATTGGCCTTAAGGGACCATTTCTCCACTACCAGGTCCATTGCAAATGAATGGTTTGCAGAACACGGAAGACCTATTGGCATGCGAAGTGTTTACCGACGAATGAGAAGTTTTGGCTTGTTTTCATACCGGCCACACTGGGTCCTCCCTTTAACTCGAGAACACCGACGTAATCGCCTTGAGTGGTGCAGACAACGGTCACTCTGGGATCAGGAATGGAACAGTATTGTCTTTAGTGACGAGTCTCGATTTTGTTTAGGCATGCACGATGGTCGTGCCAGGGTTAGAAGGCGACGTGGTGAAAGGAGGAATCCACAGTTTTTTGTTGAAAGACATGTTCATCACACTGTTGGAGTTATGGTTTGGGGTGCTATAGCTTATGGTTCCAGGTCACCTTTAATCTTCATCAGAGGTAACATGAACGCGCAGCGTTATATCCACGAAGTTCTAGCACCCCATCTTTTACCCTATCTTTACACCCTGGCAGATCCAACTTTCCAACAAGATAATGCCCGACCAACATAATGATCTCACATTGTTACCATGGTCATCAAGATCTCCCGACTTATCCCCAATTGAGCACGTGTGGGATATGATGGGTAGGAGATTGCTCAATTTGAAACGTCCTCCTCAGACTCTAGAAGCACTTCGAGAGGAGTTGGTGGTTGCCTGGAATGAGATACCACAGGAGGACATTGAACATCTGATCAGAAGCATGCCTAGGCGCGTTGGAAAATGCGTAGCACATCAGGGTGCATCCACATATGATTAAAGGTCAAAGGGCTTTAAAGCAGTGCAATCATTTTGAAATTTTTATCATTTACTTATTATGCTTCATTAAGTACTTATACAAAATTTTATTAAAATAAAACCATTTAAACTGGGTGTTCGGATTTATATGTCACTTAGTATATTTTGTATGAATATAATTAAATTGGTAATTTATTTTTTTTAATTCCTCTGGTGCACAATCTCTGTGCAACTGTCGTACCTCGATCACACTGCGCTGGGGCGCCATCGGTGTTGCTGAATTTTGATCGGACCCTCCGCAGGTAAATGATATCACGTGTTGCTGGGTAGCTGGTGTTGCTGTGGTCACAGATGTTAAGAAATATTTGATATTGTCTCTTCTATCAGGATCACAAATTCCAGAGAAATAAATAACAGAAAGCAGAGCTATAAACCTGTAGTTATAAGAGCAGGTCTTTGATCCTTTTTTTTTTTTTTGATGGGTTGGACATGAGCAAATTTCCAGTTTTCTGAGAATGAGAAGCTTTGATCATATAAAGCTACAAGAGCTTCTTACGGTCTTCTGCCTGAATTTTACTTTCCGCATAGTGTACGTAACTCTTTGACGGCTTTGGACGTCCATGGTGGAGTTGACAGCAAAGATAGTTATAATGTTATAGAAGGGCAAAGGATTGACATTCAGATAGACAGATCGACAGGCCAACGAAAATGAGGGACATGCTTTCTCGATTACAATAATCCGCCAAGTGATAACCTTCTTGATCTTGGATGATTCTCTCATCGTTTGTTACAGATCCATCTTCGAAAAAATCCAGGTTGAATTGGCGCTATCCTAGTAACTGTATTATTTTATTGGAAAGCGGTAAAAGCGCGCATAAAATAAACGTATCCTGAGCGTTCAGTTCCCAGCCCGCACCGCTTCTATCGGCAAGAATGATTTCACCTTTCACGAAGTCATGGTCGAGACACTGACCTACCTCAACCGCTACTGCTCGTTTGTTAGTCCAAGACTGCTACTGCAATCTTTTCTGCTGCAACTTATTGTATTGTAATAAATGCCAATACAATATTAGCTGGTGCAGAGCAATGGTTCAGTAATAACGGCCTGGTCATACAATAAAAAAAACAGTGTGCCTTAGCGGTATATCGTTAGAATAAGCAGAAGCTAAAAAATTTTAGGAATTCACATATCACAAAACTGCAAATGAGATAGACATAGAGAAAATTAGTCAAACTGGATACTCATATCCATTCTACTCTGGCTTATAGAAGACAAATGCGTTTTATAATACAAAAAATGCTATCAAAACTATTACAAAGGTGATAAGGCACTTTAGTTGCAGGGAATTATTCACAACTTAAGATATTAACGCTGCCTTCAGTATACATATATATATATATATATATATATATATAATTTTTTTCTAATAATTAAATAATAATTGTTTAATTCAATTGTCCATCTGATTAACAATATAGTTTGTTCAACTGCCTCTGGTCTGTTGACAAGTTTTTATTTAACATATCTTGATAAATCACACCATCTGAAGTGATTTGTCAACATAGCACATATTTTTACAAATTTCGGTTCCATCCATCGACACTGACACTACCAGCCTTCTATCATCGGTCAATCTACTTATGATCCTGTACGACACCATTTTGTGCAGCACCAGGTTGTTTCACGATGTAACATGTAATAATTTTAACTGTCATTCCAAATAATTTTAATCCATTTTGATGTGTTCCTGACATACAGCTGTGTGTATTTTATACTAATTTTAACGATTGTACCATGTATCCAGCTTTCACCAGGTTACTAAATATTTTCCTTAACTTAACCTTTAATAATATTTAGCAACAATCTCACATACTATTGTAAGTTTACTAAGTGACCTATAAATCCGAACTCCCAGTTTAAATGGTTTTATTTTAATAAAAGTTGGTGAATGTATTTATCTTACTGTAAATAACAAGTGAAAAAATTTTCAGCCTTATCAGTTGGACATTCCGGTTTTTATACTGTTTTTTTTTAATTCACTAACGCTCTAAAAATGAATATTTCAGCCGCAGTAAAGAATCAACGTTGGCAGATTTTGGTTCTTGACATCCTTTACGATCGGTTAGGATGCCTAGAGTACGGAGACCTGTACGATTTCGTCAACTTAGTGAGTTTGATAGGGGCCATATAGTGGGACTTCGGGTAGCTGGACTTTCTTTTCGGGCAATTGCAGTTAGAGTGCAAAGAAGTGTAGACACTGTGGTTAGGTGTTGTCAGGCATGGCTTCGAGAAGGCCGTACGCAAAGAGCAAGGGGCACTGGACGCCGCCGTAGAACAACAGACCGTGAAGATCGCCGCCTAAGATTATTGGCCTTAAGGGACCGTTTCTCCACTACCAGGTCCATTGCAAATGAATGGTTTGCAGAACACGGAAGACCTATTGGCATGCGAAGTGTTTACCGACGAATGAGAAGTTTTGGCTTGTTTTCATACCGGCCACACTGGGTCCTCCCTTTAACTCGAGAACACCGACGTAATCGCCTTGAGTGGTGCAGACAACGGTCACTCTGGGATCAGGAATGGAACAGTATTGTCTTTAGTGACGAGTCTCGATTTTGTTTAGGCATGCACGATGGTCGTGCCAGGGTTAGAAGGCGACGTGGTGAAAGGAGGAATCCACAGTTTTTTGTTGAAAGACATGTTCATCACCCTGTTGGAGTTATGGTTTGGGGTGCTATAGCTTATGGTTCCAGGTCACCTTTAATCTTCATCAGAGGTAACATGAACGCGCTGCGTTATATCCACGAAGTTCTAGAACCCCATCTTTTACCCTATCTTGACACCCTGGCAGATCCAACTTTCCAACAAGATAATGCCCGACCACATGTTGCAAGAGTCACAATAGACTTCTTTCAACATAATGATGTCACATTGTTACCATGGCCACCAAGATCTCCCGACTTATCCCCAATTGAGCACGTGTGGTATATGATGGGTAGGAGATTGCTCAATTTGCAACGTCCTCCTCAGACTCTAGAAGCACTTCGAGAGGAGTTGGTGGTTGCCTGGAATGAGATACCACAGGAGGACATTGACCACCTGATCAGAAGCATGCCTAGGCGCGTTGGAGAATGCGTAGCCCATCAGGGTGCATCCACACATTATTAAAGGTCAAAGGGCTTTAAAGCAGTGCAATCATTTTGAAATTTTTATCATTTACTTATTATGCTTCATTAAGTACTTATACAAAATTTTATTAAAATAAAACCATTTAAACTGGGTGTTCGGATTTATATGTCACTTAGTATAATTTAAAATCATTTTGCACAATAGTTGCTATTTCTTCTTAATGTTATTGCAGTTCCTGATGATGATGACATAGTCCATTGAAAGCCAGAGACTAATAAAGTATAAAGAGTCTTCGTTGCTTAAGTTTTGTCGAAGTACCCAACTAAAGGCGGAAGCTATATTTTTCACTTAACTGGTCTAGACGACAATGACCACGTCTCAAGTTATATATATATAAAGAGAAAATGATCATGCGGAGAAAGGTATATAACAAAAAGTAGGAAAATAATAGGCAAGATCCGCAAAAAGGATGAAAGTGAATTCGAGCAGAAAATAGGATAGGTAACCCGAGCGATACGTATTTCTGCTGATTGGCTTCATCAGACCCTAAATGAATGTATCAAAATTAAATTATGGTTGTTTTCATGCATTCTTTTTATTACATTAAATTCCAGCTTGCTATCTTGAACCATTCAAAAAATAAGTAGTGGAGAGTTTTTTGAGAACCACTATATGTGATTTCTTTTGGTTGATAAAACTCGGGCAAGTTTTTCTCTGGTTACGTTTTCCACTGACAAGTCCATACAACTCGCTGTTGAAAAGCGTAAGTAATAACTTTCCGAAGTCTTAATTTGATACGCGATGACGGTCCATGAAATTTTATCGCAGTGTGCGATGTATCCTGGTACACAATTTTCGATTTATTTTTTTTATAATTACACCACTCACATCAATATTTGACCTGGCAAGTTTGCAATTTAGCATCAAAATTCGTTTTTATCATTTTATCTCAGTACCAAAAATTTGCGTACTGTTCTTGGACTATATTGTTTTTGAAGTAAGTGAACAAGTCTGGTACTCTCAGAGACTAAAGACTATGATGCTAAGGGTTGAGGATCCCGAACAAGGCTCTCACTGCCTCTCAGGCGGTAAATCACAATATTCCATGCGACATTTTATGCGATTGTGTCTTGCGTCTCCGGTTTTCTGCAGTGAGATAGATCTAGATAAAAGACAGACGACGCTGGGATCCAACACTTTAGATAGACAAGAACGAGATGGAACTCAACTTCGCTATGCCTTCGGTACCTCTCTCTGGCCGGTATGCTTCTATTTTAGTCTATAGTGCTTAGACTAGTAGTCTGTGATCCAAACAAAATTACTGTTAAGATGCCGCTATTGCATCATCGAACTTATTCTCGTAAGCTGTTTTACTTACTCATCGTTATTTAACGTTTATCTTGTTAGGGTAAGCGTGTGTGTGAACTCTGTTATGAGGTAAAAATATTAAATACGTTTATAACTGACAGAAGCTCTGAATATTATATTTTCACAAAATCTACGACTTACTATGTGCTTTTGCTGAAAATATGTTTTTTTGTCAATGATGATTTGGATTATTTTATGTTCAAATAAGAACGTCGTCGAAATTTTAAAGGCAATGCTGGAAATAAAAACAAAGTAACACAATACATACCTACATAGATATAGATTATATTTTCATGCAAACGAAAGAAGGTGAAATGTAAATTACATAGTTAACATAAGTTCTCTCGTAGTCATTATAATATAGATCCTGTAAACATTACGAGTATTCTCGACTGTCCAGACATACAGGGTGTTTCAGTTTATTGTTGCATAACTTTAAGATTCGATAGAACTTTTAAAATGAATTCATAAAGTCTATATAAACATGGGTCGAAAAATGCGTGGCTTCCAAAATACAGGGTGTTTAAATTTACTTTCCAAAATAGTTTTTTTTAAATATTCCTAACAATATTTGATGTATAACAGTGAAAATTGGTATAAAAAGGTTTTTTGGTACGACAAAACGAACCATGGGCATAGTTTTACTGTAGCTGCTACAGGGCGCTCTCTACTGTACCTGTAGTGTATTAAAATGACCGAAAAATTTTTCTTAGTGCAATTTTTTGCTTTTTGAATAAAAAAACTGATTCTTCGCACTTTTCTACATAAAAAAGCTCTCTTGTGAGTGTTCGTTATAGTTAACCGCTTTTGAGATATTTTGATTTGTAAGGTTCGATGCATTTTTAATTATTTATGGGAAAATAACGTTAAAAAGTCAGTATCTCGATAATTTTTAGAAGAAGGCTGTGCCTGCAAATATTTTTGAAATTGAAAGCCGAATAAGGTTAATCGTCAATTAGTTGACAGTTAGTTTTGTTGTCTGTTGAAACCTGAAACGTTTTTTTGCAATTGTGAATGCACGAAATTTAGTTTCTTTTACCTGTTTTTTTTTTTATAAAAATGCCATTTTTATTCTTCAATCAAGAGTTAGCGGATATTCATTTTGTGTATGGCTTTGTAAATGGAAACGTAGCAGAAGCAGCCAGAGAATACGCACGAAGATTTCCAAACAGACGACATCCAACTCGCTCAGTATCGCCAAATAATTGAAAATGGTTTTGGAAATCTCCAAAGGGATCAAAACATAAATGTTCGTCAGCGCAGATTTACCCGTATGATTCTGCGTGAGTTTGATAGAGATCCGACCACAAGTGTTAGGAGTGTTTCTGGTGCCTTGGGAATTTCAGCAAGCCATGTTCACCGTGTTCTTAGAAATGACCATAGACGTCTTTACCATTTGAAACCTGTGCAAGGACTACAGCCAGGGGACGGAGAACGAAGAATCACATTTTGTCAGTGGATTCTTGATAGAACTGATAATAATAGGGAGTTTTTAAGTAACGTTTTATGAACCGATGAGTCATGCTTCACTAGACGTGGAGTGGTAAATTTTCATAATCAACATATTTGGTCGCATGAAAATTCGCATGCAGTTCGGGAAAGAAATTTTCAGCATGAATTTAGTGTAAACGTGTGGATTGATATCTACCGTAATCGACTATCTGGACCCTACCTTTTGCCTGCAAGGTTAAATGCTGCGACCTTTTTGGAATTTTTAAAAGCTGAACATGCAAATATGTGGGATGATGTTATGTTAGATTTAAGAAGATTGGCCTGGTTCCAGCTTGATGGTTGTCCAGCTCATTATTCGAGAATAGCTAGAAACTGGCTGGACGAAAATTATCCAGAAAGATGGATCGGCCGTGGACGACCAGTCGCCTGGCCTCCACGATCCCCTGACCTAAGTCCATTAGATTTCTTTGTGCGGGGATTTCAAAAAGAAAAAGTGTACCAGGTTCCCGTAACCACAAGAGATATGCTAATAGACAGAATCAGGAATGCATGTGATGAAATAAGGCCTTATTTGAATAATGCTATACCACGTTCGATCATTCGTAGATGTGAATTGTGTATTGAACAATTGGGTTTACATTTCGAGCAACTACTTTAGATTTTGTATGTTTGTCCTAACTATCCAATAGCATTTTAGTTCTAAATAATTAATTTAATTTGTTAAAAATAATATTAAAATTAAACAAATTAATATTCTGTTGTTTTGTGTTTATTTGGAGTTAGGAATTATCGATCATCTTAATTACTTGTAATGCCCAAATCGAAGATGTAAAAAAAATATTATTTTCCCATAAATAATTAAAAATGCATCGAACCTTAAAAATTATCTCAAAAACGGCTAACTATAAAGAAAACCCACAGGAGAGCTTTTTTATGTTGAAAAGTGCGAAGAATCAGTTTTTTTATTCAAAAAGCAAAAAATTGCACTAAGAAAAAATTTTCGGTCATTTTAATACACTACAGGTACAGTAGAGAGCGCCCACTAGCGGCTACAGTAAAACTATGCCCATGGTTCGTTTTGTCGTACCAAAAAACCATTGTATACCAATTTTCACTGTTATACATCAAATATTGTTCGAAATATTTAAAAAAAAACTATTTTAGAAAGTAAATTTAAACACCCTGTATTTTGGAAACCGACCCATGTTTATATATATTTTATGCATTAATTTTAAAAGTTCTATCGAATCTTAAAGTTATGCAACAATAAACTGAAACACCCTGTATAGGTACGTTTTGAAAAATATGTATAGTCAATCTTAATCAACTTATTTGGTTATAAGAGAAAGTGAGAGATAACAAGGCTTTTAGTACGTGCAATTATTGTAAATAATAAAATATTGAAAACTGACTTCTAAAATTGAGATTTCCTAAACACTGTTTCTTACGTTCAAGCACGATGCCTATTCATTTAGTGTTTTATCTAAGATAATAAACATATTGATCATTCGAAAACAGCAATGTTTCTAAGTTCGTTGATCTAGGTTGATGTGCGCTCATATGCCCTTCACAACAGCATGATTTGTGAAGTACTACCGTGTTTTAGGTCTGAGCAGATTGAGTACCACTCCACAAAATATCAGTTTATTTGACCCTTGGCAGCCTATCGTTCATATCAAAAACAAAACTCTTATACTCGAGTATCTTTTGTTAGTGCTACAAACCTTACAGACAACTTGTTCTGAAAATGTACACAATCTATATGTACTTGAGGTTGTGGTGTTCACTATGTGTCAATAAACGACTGAAACAACCGAAATAAACAATATTTTTTCGACTGTGTATACTAATTTATGATCTTATAATGATATTTTTTCTTTAAGATTCCGTCTCTACTTTGTCTTAATGCCCAGTGATTGTAACAAGCTTATGCTTCCCATTTGCTTTAATTTTGATGTTCTGGTAAAACGCAAAAAGAAAATTTTCCCAAAAATTCTCCGTTTTTTTAGGTAGGTTTATGTAGGTTTTTTCTAATAAAATGTCACCTTAGACCTAGCTGTACCACTTGTACTAGCTCTGTGACTGACACTTGCTAAACCTTGCTAAATTGTCACAAGGACATTTGCTCTCAGAAGCGTTGCTTAAGCGCCTAAACGTACATAAAAGATATACATTTGATAAACGATTTGTTTCATACAATAAGCTCGGTGATTTTGAAGTGTTTAAATACCAAAAAAGTCAACTAAAACATTAATGGTACATAGATATAAATCCAATCTAATATTCAAATACATATTTCGAAGGTAACATAATTGTTACAGGTGTTACAAGGCACATGTATCATCACAAACTTATCTGATTTTTGATGAGCAGTTTTCCTTAGAGAACTCTGAATATTTTGAAAACACGCTTAATGATTATGCTCAATTATTGAAAAACCAAAAAATCTTAGTAGCTTATTCTACGAAGGGTTAGATTTAATAGCAAACCGTTTTCCCTTTTCATTGATTGAACCAGATTGGTGTCCTTTGTTGCGGAAGTAGATCAATTTATAAACACATATGGCTTCGGTATAGGTCAATTTGCATAGCGTCACTCGAAAATCCAATTCACCTGAAAACCTATATATTACATTTGGACATCGAAAACTCTATACAAGCTGTCCGAATTTTTAGTTGAGAAATAAGATATTATGGGTGGTAGAACTCTTACACGTTGAGATGGTTAAGCTTCTTGGGACGAACTTGTTTTTCGCGAGTATTATTTTATTTATTTTTATTTTTAACGAGAAAATCATTTTTTGCTCATTAACATCTAAAACTTGAGGGCTGTTGGGCATGTATTTAACGGACATCTGGCATTTAAGTACCACTTAACACTTAAGTACCAATTTTGAATGCAGAACCAAGGCGTCTCGTTTTCTGAGCTCTTTCCACCTCAGCTTATGATACACTTCAGTGTGGTCTGGTATTCATTTAAGGGACACTTAACTTAAGTGGTTAAGTAGTACATAAAATACACGAGACAACGTCTCAACTGCATACTGCATCCGACCACCTGATTTAACCTTAACCTTCTCGTCACCAATACACAGCTTAATCCGAACACATCACCATTTATTCAAGGGACGCATAGTATTTAAGCACCACTATATCCTCAAGTACCGATTTTGTATGCGGTTCAAGGAGATTCTGTTTTCTGGGCTCCTTCCACTTTAACTTCAAGAGATCCTTAAGTAGCGAGTAAAGCACATCAGAGAACAACTCAACACTGCGCGGCGAAACGCGGACACATCACCACTTCGATTACAAGACTCATTACTACCACTTAAGTCCAACTTAACTGTTGTGGACAACTATTTTAGAGATACTTAGTCTTTAAGTACCACTTAACACTTGAGTGCCGATTTTAAATAGGGATTTAGATCGTTTTGAGCTCCTTATACCTACGTTACACTTAAGTGTATTTAAGGGACAGTTAACTCTTAAGTAATCCTTGAGTCGCGAACACACCGACAACATCTCAACTGCGTATTGCATCTGACCACCTGATTTAAACTTAAAATTCAACGCTAACCATCGTTACTACCACTTCAATCACACTTAAGAGATGTTGAATGTTCACTTGAGGAATGTTCAGCATTTAAGCGTGTTGTTTTTTTAGCTCCCTCCACCTCAACATACGTTACATCTAAGTGAGTTCTGGTAACCATTTTAAGTGATCTGTAAGTGGTAACTAAAATACACCGGAAAACATCTAAACTTCACACTGCATCCGACCACCGGCAACAGCACCGCGCAGCGCAACGCGGATAATTCAACACTTAGACGCCATACGTCATTACTAATCACCTAAGTTACACTTAAGGGTTGTCGGACATTGATTTAAGGGACATTCAACATTCAAGTAATACTTAACACTCGAGTGTGGTCTGGTATACATTTAAGGCACCCTTAACTCTTAAGTGATCCAACTAAAATACACCGGAAAACATCTCAACTTCATACCGTATCCGACCAGCACCATTAAGATGTTCAACGTCGTCACTATCACTTAAGTTATACTTAAGGATTTGCGGACATTTATTTAAATACTACCTAACACTTAAGTGCCGATTTTAAATACAGGGCTAAGGTGTTTTCTTTCAACTTACGTTACACTTAAGAGATGACTGGTCTCCATTTAAGGGACACTTAAGTATTGAGTGATACAACAGCATCTCAACTACATACTGCATCCGACCACCTGATTTAACATTAACCTTCCTCTCAACAACGTCGCGGAGCGCAACGCTATCACCGCTTAGATGCTTAATATCGTTTCTATCACTCAAGTTACACTTAAGGGTTGTTGGACATTTATTTAAGGGACACTCAACATTTAAGTACCATTTAACACTGTGGCGATTTTATATGCAGACGGCGCTGGATTTCAATTTAGGGTACACTTAAATGTGGTCTATTTAAGGGACACTTAACTCTTGAGTGATGCTTAAGTGGCAACTAAAACACACCGGACAACATCTCAACTTCATACTGCAACCGACCACCTGATTTAACCTTAACCTTCCACTCAACAACAGCGCGCGATGCGGACAGATCACCACTTCGACGCCGAGCGTCGCCAGATCATTCGGCGCGTTTCACGGCGCTGCTATAAAACGCGACGTAGTCCGCGAGCCGCTCAGTTACAGTCCGAAGCTAGGTCATCAACGAGAGTGAGTGGCAGTAGCGATTAATCGGCTCCGAACACTCCGCGTGACCCACTTTCAAACACGTTCCAGTGCCTTTTTAGACTGACTTTGTGATATATTGTGATACTAGTTGCTAAGTTCGCGCATCATGCCTGCTCCCATCGACACCAAGGAGGTCCAACTTGGAACCCTCTCTGAACCTGACGACGTCAAGGAACTGATTTCATCGTCGAAGCTGATGGACCCTAGGGATAGTATCTCCTCGATCGATAGCGATGTGTCTTTAACTTTCGATAAGGCTACCTTAACCGAAACCGCAACTGAAGATGAAGGTGCTCATATGGGAGACTTGAGTGACAGCTGTTCTGACAATGGCGGCAAGGATTCGGGGTGTGAAGTTACTCCTGAGGTAACCGAACCACCGTTCACACCTCCTTCTGAAGAATTGGCTGACAAGATCGTCCAACAAGTGGAGTTTTACTTCTCTGACGCTAACATCACGAAAGACGCATTCCTGTTGAAACATGTGAAACGTAATAAGGAAGGATACGTTTCCTTGAAGCTGATTTCAAGCTTTAAACGCGTGAAGCACCTTACGAAAGATTGGAGGGTTGTAGCTCATGCTTTATCTCGCTCGACGAAGCTAGAAATCAACGAAGCTGGCACTAAGCTTCGCAGATTGGACCCTTTGCCTCAGTATGACGAGACTACACCGTCCAGGACCATTGTAGCTGTCCACATGCCTATAGAAAAACCCACCATCGAAAACGTAGCAGAATTGTTCAAGTCCTGCGGGGAGATAGCTCTGATAAGGATTCTAAGACCAGGCAATCCGATACCAGCTGATGTCAGGCAGTTCATCAACAAAAATCCTTCCTTAGCTGGAATGACTTGCGCTCTAGTGGAATTTGTAGCTTCAGAATCTGCTAGGAACGCCATTAAAATGCAGAGTTCCCTAGGAGATCCTTTCAAGGTGTATGAATTGAACAATATTCCTCATCCAGAGAGGAAGAAGAAGACTAACACCAAGAAGAACGAGAAAAATAATAACAATAACAACAATCATACGACGAACAGGAATATTATATCGGAATCGGACTATATTTCGTCGTCTTGCCAAAGTGGATCAGAAGCTGAGGACAAGATGAGATTCGACCCTAGAAGTAAGTACAGTTCTTTTTCTTAATATCTCATCATGAACCTACCTTGGATTATGTTTCTATTGACGTTAAAAATGGGTAGACAGTCAAAAAACAAAAGCTTTATGCCTTATAGATGTTAAAAATAGTACAATTACCTAACGCTGTCGGGTCAAGATGTCAAAAATACTTTTCTTTAGAAGATTCCAAAGAATTCCTATGACTTTTGGCTTTAAAGATTTTGGCGTATTGTAGACTACATCACGTAGAACAAGAGTTTTCCTAAAATTCTTACATTAATGAGATACATAGAGAGTTTTGATAAAATTCAACATTTTGCGTAATTAAATTATCTGTACAGATAGTTCAACATAATCAATAAATAATATACTACTATATTTCTAAATACATCCGCCATTCTACTATTAAGTCTTTACCCTATAGGCACAAGGGGCACGTACCCAGAGCCCCTGCTTAAATAAGGGGACCCAAATGCCGGAAGATCTAAAAAAAATCTAGGGGCCGGAGTGTAAATGCCGGTTGTGGTTTTGACTGCTCTATTACAATCTAATCAATCGCCATTCTATCCATTTCACAACAAAAAAAACAAACATAATAGTACATAAACAAAATATTATATAAGTTCGACGACGCCAGTAAGCTCAATTACCATAACTGATACGAGTATAGAAATTTTGTGAAATTTCTTCTAAAAATACATTTAATATCTTTTTGATGTATTATTCACACGTCACGATCGTTGAACAAACAAGTTAACTTTGGAAACTTTGCACCACGTACAAATATCATGACTAGTATCTTGATGGTGTACATTTCGTGCATGTACAAAACATATCTGCATCATTCAAATGACCTATCGCTAATTGGTACCTAACTGGTTTCAATATTAAATCCAATTTAGAGATATTATAAACAACTGCAATATTAATTATCTGTTGTAAATACCTGTATCTGTAAAAATGTTTTGTTTACAAACATTATCAGAACATCTCAAATATTTCAGTTTTAGTTTATAGGCTCTTGATCGCCTACAAAGTAAATAAATTTATAATAAACCATGATATCATAGCACTTAGATTTCATGTGGCTTTTTGTATGTTACGTCTTACCTAGGGGTTGAAAAGTATTGGTTTTTATCCACCTCAAGTGATGATGCAGGCCACCGGAGTTTCTCTTACAGCGGAAGAGTTTCTCTTCGCTTCGCTTCGTCCCAATGGGTGCGTAGCTTAACTCACCCCAGAATGGATTCTCATGTCCATAGAACAGCTGGGCAGTCGCAGAGCTAATTCTTGAAGAACATAGAGCTTCAAATTGTCATGGATAAAGATAGTCGCCAGCCTTGTTCTTCATAAAATTCAAAAATGTTCTTGCCACTAGATTGATCCTAGTCACGTGCAGATTCGAACATGTGAACGTCTAGAAAATTGCTAGCGTGACCTATGTTTCTAGCGAATTTACATACAAAAATGTACTGCTGATAATATTAATGGGAACAAAGTAGAATACTATAGTTTGACTAATTTAACAAGCACCTTCTGCGTAATGTTAGTTTTTGCTGATGAGTCATTTTTACATTTCTGGAATATTGTGTCAGGTATCATTATCTATTTGTGTCATTAAAAATTCAAGCTCATTATCATTTTGTTGTTTCTGAGACCTTACTTCAGGAATGAAAAAAGTACTCGTATATGCATTTGTAAAAAAATCCTCGGATGGGTTTTCTTTTTTGTTTCTTTTTACGCTTGCAACATTTTTCCTCATAAGTCCATTTTGGATGATCTACTCTAAAGGCTTTTGCTGATGTTCCACAGACACTGGACCAACGTCTCAGGGACTGCTGTCACTTTATTTGAATGCTCATAATTGTATCGATTTCTAACAATTGACATGTCTAGTGCACGATATCCTGGAATAAATGTATTTTTTCTTTCCAGACAAAACCCGTCGTGGCTCTTCAGGCTACTTCCCCAACAGATATATCGAACCAGCAGCCTGGCTCCAAAGACGCTTGTCAGCCTCCAGTACCGAGGCTAACTTCATCTACATGCCCCGTAGACTCTCGTATAGCAGCAGAGATTCAAGCGATTCCAGCCTGTTTATCCCCAGGCGTATGAGCGCCAGCTGCGTACACGAGATCTCATCCAGGAGGATGTCTTCTACCAGCACAGACAGCACGGGCCCCAGGTCGAGAAGTAACAGCAATGTGTTCCAGAACAACGAGAATGTTCTGCGAATGCCCAGGGGCCCAGATGGCAGCAGGGGTTTTAGGCAAAGACTGCCTACCGTAGCGCAGTAAGTGAGATGATCTCGTGGATGGGTGTTGGAACCCAGGTTCTAGGTGGATACCCGGTCTCGAACGACCAGAAAAAGTTGAGGAAATTCAGCATCGAACTAGTGAGATTGCAGTTCTAAAGACGATTCATGAGTTAACATTAAGATTGGTACTTTCACTGTCGGGGAATGCAGATCATCTGCTACTACTTTGCTACTTCTATAAGGTCGTGAAGTATCAAAGGATCATCAGCTCACGTACTGTCTGGAAGGTGATATCACCTTAGCACCACAGCAAATGCGTGGTGTGATCTTCTAGATGAATTTTATCGTTAAAACCTCTATTCTGTAATTTCAGTAATATTGAGTAGAAGGTGCTCTAATTGGTGCTTCGGAATTTTGTTTAAAAAATGCCTGTTATGCTCCTTCAAATGTTTCTAAAGATGGATCATTCTTCAACTAAAATTTTGCCATCTGTTGCCGTATTATCAAATTGAAACCACGGAACGTAAACCTTTACCTTTACTAGAACGTTTACACAATTCTGAACGTACACGCTCATTGATGGCAAGGATGGGTTCCGTCACACATAATCAAATGACAGCCCACACACTTGAGCGACGAGAAGGAAGGCGACGTGTCACGTTTAACACGAGCAAGTGTCAAATGTCACCGCGGTTCCCTTCGTGTCGCATCTCCTCAATGTGCTTGCACTTTGATACATAACCAAATTCCCAGGCTTCTAGATGACAGGCTCGATATTGACTTATGTCAAGTCGTTGAAGAATGGCGCCAAATTTAAATCTCGAAGTATCTGTTAGGACACCATTTATGATTTCAGTGGTTATAAAGTAGCATTTAATAGTTTAGTTGTCTTCTTGTCAAAGTGCGATGAGGCTAAACTGGGATTTCCCCTTCAAAAAGGAAGATTATCCTCAAATATGGCTCAAAATGCCAGTGGCTTGCTGGAGAGTCTCTAGAATTTCCGCCGTTAGATTTGCATTGAGCCAGTTTGATCTAGATTCATCGAAAATACGTTAATTTGTTTCACTCGAATTATGTTATATCAGTTGTTTACAGATTTGGTGAAAGATAAAGCAATTCATATAACATATATCTGAATCGAAAACATAAACGTTTCTGAGATCAGACGCGGTCTAAGCATACTGAAATATCGAATGATTGCTCAGAGGCACATTCAAAATAACAATCCCTTGGAGTCTTTATTTTGTTATAGAAATTCTATATATTTGACGATTTTTTGATGACATCTAAATCGCTTCTGGCGGTACGTTCGAATTTAGAAAATTTTCGTTGTGCAAGAAGCAATATGTGACATTTCTCCGAAAACAAAAATAATCTGTAAAAAACAAGTGCTAAGAATGTTTTTATTCTCATTTTAGCACCATCTTCTCTAAATATAGCGCAAGTGATAAAATTAATGTGTCAAAACAATTTTTTTTGTATTTCGAAATGAACGCATGCATTTTAAAAATATGCATATAAAAATAGCTTTATCAAGTTGCCTGCAGAACAGCACGTATTCCGAGATACGTATATCACAACCGCATGTTTTTGCTCGACATGTCCACAACAAAGTGAGCCTCTCACGATAAGAATCATTCGAACCTTTTTAATAACATCATACATTTTATTACTATTTCAGTAATTGTGGTTTCAAAGTTCTTTTATTTGCTATCAAAATTATCAGGTATTTCTGTCAGCGGTTGGTTTCTCCCACCAAATTTCAGGGTCACTAAATCCGTGGTTAGTATCAACTATTTGAGATGCACTCACTCAGATTCTGGCCAGATTCTAAATTGGACAAGCTTCTTTTGCAAAAGGCAGAAGACAGACAAATATACGCAACAGTAACAATAGCTATAAAAGTATAAAATTAGAAATTCTCTGAAACCATTAGAAAGAAGCCATTCGTATCTACTTTCTCCTATAAGTTATCTTGTAGTGCAAGTGGGTTAGACAACATATGTGAACGGATAACGAAAAGCAAATAGTTCTGATAATACACCTTTAATATTTATGATCGGTTGAGTTTATTTGGTAATAAATACGGTACAATGAACAGATTGTGGTTATAAAACTGAAGTACAACGCTTGTGGGTTTTTACAATTGAAGTGGAATTTCGAGTTATTTCCATATATCACATACTTCGTCTATACCTACAATAACTACTGCAAGTTGGAAGTAATATGCCAACAAACACTCGTGAGACTGCTCGAAATGGTGGGAAGATGAAAACTCATTCACCTTTCTATGCTAGTACCGAACGTACTATTCTAGAATGGTGACGTAACACCTGTAACTTATTATGGTTTTCTGGCCAAATGTTTTTCCAAGGCACTGTGATACTGACAATACATTTTATATGTATCTTTTGTTTTTCCTTTTATTCGTTATTATACAGCCTGAGCACGCGATGGTCAGGAAGTTGCTTTTTCCCAAAAACGTACATCCAAAACTCTCGAGAATTCTTTAAAAGTAGGCTATCCCCCGGCAACGTGTAATCTTTCCTCAACGTCATAAAAAATCGTATGATGTTAACGCGTTTGGTCATTTTTCTCAGAATCTCATTCTGCGATTGCGAAATTAACAAAAACTACAACCCAGTTTATCCGTTCACTGACGTCATTGATAGCTGCAAAACAAATGAAGTATCTTTAACCTCTCAACCGAGTATGTATATTTAACTTGACCCCACTATCATAATGTGTGATATCTCTAGAGCTTTAATGTAGCTTCGTTCATGATTTGAGTCACGTTTCAGATTACAGTAAATGCTTGTAAAATCTAGCTGCACGTTTTATGGATGACTGCAAAGAATAGCTGATAAAATGTATCTAGGATCGACTCGATCAGTGACATAAAGATTATAATAACAAAAATTAGAAGTTAATTATTTTTACGTAATAACTTTCTAAATGGTATATCAAACCAAAAATACTCTGTTTCAAAAATTCATTGAGTAAACAAAACCAGATGTCTTGACCTATTCCAAGAACTTTCAAGCTCTTTTTATTATTATCCAGTCTTCTGGATGTACGTGATTCAAATCAGACGTTTCAGAAGTAATCGTCTGACTTTAGCGACCATTTACCTTTAGTAAATAAAAACAACATGAACTTATCTCAAGCTCATTTCGCGATTATCAGGAATTTTGGGTTTACGTGATTCGAGTCACAACGGCATCGACTATTTTCGTAAATAAGAATGTTTGTTTTTCAGTCGGTGTTGATAAAACATGTTTAAGATGAAAACAAAGCCGCGTGCCAAAATCGATGGCAATTCCCTTGGAAGATATCCAATGAGACATCCTTGCAGTGATGTCAAGGTTCTTGTTATTTATCATTATTTATTTATTCATCCGTATGCCTCGAGGAAAGATATAAATCCAGATTCTTGAAATATAATATGAAACATTGCGATAACTTGATACGTACACTATGATTCTTCGTTATCAAGCCGGAAATTTATTATTTCTTAGTATTCAGTTTTTCTACATTGATATCTGCTTCCAACTAGTTTAAAAACTAACGACATGCTGTAAATAAGTTTCAACACTGAGAACAAAAGTGTCAAAGCTCTTACATCTGCTTAAGAACCAATTCATTCCGACAAAAGATAGAGGGCCATGAAACTATCCCACATAGCGTAACCTCGACATCGTAGGAAGCCTTGAAATGGCAGTTCAATGTTTTTTAGCCGCTCTGCATGTGAATGAAACTGGAACCACATCGCAGCGCTCGGTGCGCTTAACCCACTTTCTGGGCACTTTCACCGAGCAGTGCTGCGGCTCGGCGACGTAGCAAAGAAAATTTTAGAAATTTCTACGTTAGAACGGCTCGCCAGACTGATGTCTCGAGCAGACTCGACTGTATATACTGCAAGACAAAAAAATCCTAAATCATCAAAGGAGATGCAGTTTTCTCAATCTGACGAAATGTTGTCAGAAAACTTGAATTATGGAAAAAGTTCATATGAGCATAGCTCCGGAAATCGTTTGTTTCTGAAATACAAATTAAACTTGAGCGTCTTCAATTTTTTACCTTATTACATTTTCCGAAATGAATTATCAAACGTCAAATCAACATGTATTTGTGTTTTCTGAAGCATTTACATATGTAGCTGACAGGTCTCTATGTTTAGCGAAAAGCGTCAATGATTTTGCGAAAGATTTGTGTCAATATCCGTTTCGCGTTTTCGAAATAGGAATTGCTATATTTATTTACAAGTGCATCAGTCTCTAAATTGTTATTAAACAATAATAATCGGGCTCTCAGTGTATTTAATGAACAATAGAGTACTCCAAAAAAACACCTTTCAATCAGAATCAACATGGATTTGACAAAACGACACTTACTTTTACTTACTTTTGCCAAACCCATGGCGCCCAATTTTTCACTCAACACAAAGATATACACACCAAAATAGGCAATTTTTATAATCATATTCCCAAAAAGACGTCCAGCCTTCCAAGGCGACAAGCGAGCATAGGGTTATCTGTCGTTTTTTAATGTACCAGACGCGTCACCTGGATAGGTCAAAAAGCTATTTTTTCAAGATTCGCCATAATCCTGGATTTAGGGGGAGGTAAGGGTTAGAATTTCGTCAAAAGTGCGAAGAGGTCGAAAAGACTGGTTTGTCAGTTTCAATGTCGAGCAGTATAAGTGCATGTGAATGAACGATACGCTTTTTAACCATTCAAATGGCGGTGCGCTGCCTTTCTTCTGCTTAGTTTACCATTCGTAGCATATAATGACGAAAGACATTCTGAAAGTATAACGTATGCCCTTTTCACGATTGCAATGCCAGAAGAAAACACCGATAGATATCCTTACACTTCTTTGAGCTAACCTGTCGACATTCGCCTTTGAAGTACTTCTTCAAGCTGTCGGAAATCAAGGAAAATTGCAAACTGGAATATGTTTATTAGAATAATCAGGCTATCGTCGCAGAAATGAGAGTTGCGAAAAATGTCACATATTGAAAACATTAAATAATAGACATTTCAAACGTTGAAATGGTAACCAATATATGCATTGAAAATGTGTTTTCTAGAGTTTTTTTTATAGAATGTAAAGAGCGTGTTCGACCTGTAACTGTTTTGTTCTAGAAACAGTGGTTATATTTAGATTTTAGACTTTTTTTAGATTATAAGTAGTGAGAAGTGGGAAGACCGTTAATTTTCAGTGGATTGTACTTAAATTGTATGTTTTGTAATTTTTGTATATTTTCCATGTACATCCTAGGATCAATGATTATCATCGAGATTGAGTTAGTTTTTAGTTAGTTTTGCAATTTTTGTACGTCTCATTCATTCTAGGATATACATGTATACATTTGAGTATATGTATATGGATTTATATTTATTACATTTATTTATTAAAAAACTGAAACATTTTTACAAATCGTTTGTTTTTTATTCAATCTTTCTCTACCCTGCTGAGATTGAAAAGACCGTATACCAAAACATTTAATACTTACACAGATCGTAGTCAAAGTCTGACGATTGTTGAATTCTGTGTTGAAATGCTGAAACAGGTAAACAAGTGGTTTTGCTGGAAGTTTTAACTATACCCTATTTCCCGAATACCCATCATGGTAGAATGGCAGCTAATTATCTAGTAATATCTCAAAATTCCCCATATCGGCACAGGACACAATTCTGACGGATCCGTCAACGCTAGGTAGTCAGAGCCGTATTTGGTTATGTTTTATATACAGGGTGAGTTCGAAGTTGAGTCATTTATTTTAACAGTGAGTAGATCTGATCAAAAGAAATGTTTTTTTCCTTTACCATTTTTCTGGTAAAATTAAAGTAACAAAGTTATAGCCCTTTGGAAGTTTGAGTACCGCCCTGTCTCAATAATAATATTATGTGCTCGTGTTTGGCGACAACGGATATAATTCGCCTTATCGGTTCATCGCATCGGAAACAAAAAAGCGAAAGAATTTGGAACGATGTTTTTACAATTATTTCATTCAGTTGTATACAGTCAGTGTCAGTCGGTAGTGGATAGTGGTGTCTGTTGCGTGGCTCAAACGAAATAAAAAATGGCACATGTTTATGCGGATCGGTTTCCCAATCGAGTGCAATCAACCCCTCGTGCCTTTGTTAATGTAGTACAACGGGTTCGTGAATCATTTGACTTACGACCTCACATATGGACGGCATGCCGGTGCTCCAAGACCTCACGATCAAATACAGGTCCGCACTGAAATACTTGTCGGGAGGATACTTTATAAAACAAGGTAACATTTTTTTTTATTTTTACACACATATTTTGGTTTATCTTCCTTCTACAATCATTATCTGAAAATTAATGACTCAACTTCAAAGTCACCCTGTATATACAGGGTGTTCCTTAATGATATGCGAATATTTAACGGTGTGAATCTACATGAAAAATTAATGTTAGTTTGCTTTATAAATTATGGTCCAAAAATGTTTCCTAACAAAAACTCGGGGTGTTGAAGTTTTAGGAAAAAAATGGAAATTAATTAATATTTTCAGAACCGCTTTAGGTATTTTACTCATATTTAGTAAGTAGCGAAAGTTAATAAAGTTGCATATGTTTCAATGCAAAAATAATTTTTAGCTTTAACAGTGGCGTGCGTACCGGTATTGACTTCGATATTTTTTAAGAAAAAAATGGTATGCCAATGGTTTTTTGCCAAATAAAAATTATTTTTGAATTTCCCGCTCAATTTGAAACAAATGATCTCTCTTGAGTTGCTTTCCTTCGATGCTGCTTGATACTCAAAACAGAAAAAAAATGCGGAATCCAAACGAAGAATTGTGCCACCAACAAACTCATATACCTATGTTGTATAGAGCCCATAAAAGTAGATCTTTGCAGCATAGCTTTGCGAAACATCAGGGAATTACAAGATGATTCTGTTCATATAAGGCTTGACTACCTGCTCAAAACAGAAAAAAAAATCGTCGAACCTAAATGAAGAATTTTGCTAACAACACTCTTATGTATGTTATAGAGAATTCATAGGAGTACTCGTACATCTCGACGGCATAGCTTTGCAAAAATTTAAGCGACTACGGGGTGATTCTGTACACATAAGGGTTATCTCCTCTAACAAAACAAAATTCGCAGAACCCAAAGTAAGATTTTTGCCTCTCATATATATTTCATAGATCAGTGTTGCTCTCAAGACAAATCTAGAGTTTGAATAAAATCCACCATTTTGATTTTATAAAATTTTAGTATACCCAGTGTCACTGGCGCTGTCAAAACAAATCTGTCTCTAGATTCATCACATGTCAAAAACCGTCAAGCCGTTTAAGCTGTAATCCGTGAAAAATGAATGTCAAGGTTGATTTCTTACATAAATGAGGAGCATTAAATTGTCGTCGCTGCTATACTACAACTATTTAAAACTGTAATGACTCATACGCGTGATCAACACGTGATCAAAGCTCGAACCCGGCTTCCTTCCAGTACAGCCGTATAGCGTGCGACATATGTCGTTTCTGTGGCTTTGCGGTGGTCAACAGCACAGACAGAGATGGAAATAATGGCTGATTATTCTCCGCCGGTAGAACCAATGAAATCAAAGACGCGCCTTGACCGGCGGACTCATAGGCGTCGGCAACGCATTGGAACGTGTTTCGTTGAGCGATCGCGTATTGTGTGTTTTTATAAGAATTGTTGTGTGATTGTTATTGTTGTGGTTTCTGTGGTTACTGTTTTGGTTATACTTAACCATGAAGAGTACAAATGGCACGAGTGGAAGTACTGAAAGCCGGGGAACAAGTAGACGGCTTCGTAAAGCACTGAAGAGGGACGCGAAAGAAATCGTGCTCAACGTGTTCAATTATCTGAACAGAACTATGTCGCAGGGAGATGCACTCGCGCGTTGTGAAAGTATGACAGGCGTTCCAGAGTGGACCATTCGCAGGGTGGTGCATGAAAAGAAGAAAACTGGAGCTACTACTGATCCAAAGTTTAATTTGAAGGGACGAAAGGCCGTTAAATTGGATGACGATAGCAAAATGGCGTTAAGGCGAACCGTACATTCATTCTTCTTTAGGAATGAGATACCAATCCTCAAGGCTGTACATGCAGCGATCAAGGAACATGAAATTATACCCCAAATGAGCGTCGAGGTAATGAGGAAATCCCTGCACGAAATTAATTTTCGTTACGAAACGCGTAGTCGGAAGTCAGTATTGATAGAGAGACCTGAAATAGTCGCCTGGCATCGAAAATACCTACGCGAAATGATTGAATATAGAATATAGGCGACAAAGCAGAAAAATCTATTATTTGGACGAGACATGGGAAAATGCAGGTCACACAGTTAAAAAAACCTGGATAGACAAAAACGTAGTGAGTAACCGACAAGCAAGCATTGAAGGTTTGTCAACAGGTCTTCGTGGACCGTCAGGGAAAGGTCAAAGATTGATCGTAACTCATATTGGTAGCGATAGTGGCTTTTTAGAAGAGTGTGACTTGATTTTCGTCTCTAAGAAAGGAGGTGATTACCATGACGAAATGAATGCCAGCTGCTTCGAGAGCTGGTTTCAAGGGGTGCTTCAGCGAATTGAGCCCAACTCTGTGATCGTCATGGATAATGTTTCCTACCATAGTCGTCGAGCCGAACGTGTACCGACTATGGGATCTCGAAAAAGTGACATGCAGCAATGGTTGCGCGAAAAAGGAATCCCGTTTGACGATTCATGTGTGAAAGCGGAATTATATGAAAAAATTAAACAGCACAAACCTTCGAACATTAGTTACGTGACTGATGAGATGGCCCGTCAACGTGGTGTCACTATGCTGCGGTTACCGCCCTACCACTGTGAACTGAACCCAATAGAGCTCATCTGGGCTCAAGTGAAGGGTTATATTGCGCGCCATAACACAACCTTCAAATTACCAGACGTTAAGGTTTTACTTGAGACTTCCATACAGCTAGTAACGCCCGAAGCTTGGCAGAATGCTATCCGTCATGTTGTGAAGGAAGAAACAAAAATGTGGCAGCTTGACCACCACATCGACACCATCATAGAGCCAGTTATAGTCAATTTCAACGAGGAAAGCGATAGCGACAGTTTATTACTGTCAGATGTAAGTGGAAGCGATGATGAATAAAGGTAATTCCCAAATTTTTGACTTACAATATGTTTCAAACCACTCTTTATTAAGCATGTGACAAATCTAGTTCACCCATGTTAAACATTCATACCCCGCCTATGAACAGCCGACTACTGGTAGTTAAGTGATGTTCACGTGAACATCGATGAGTCATTACAGTTTTAGATAGTTATAGTATAGTATTCTTTTTTCCAGATCGGCTCGTTGCTCTGAATTCCTCGTTGCTGATGATTGGGTTGATCGTACAGGAAATGATGTCTTTGGTACGTAATAGGACCAGCGTAGGAGCCCAGACCGATCCCTGGGGAACACCCGCGTTGACATTGTGAAATGGCATGTTTGCGAATTATAGGCAGAAAATGATTCGTTTGGGATCCTTCGTTAGCGGTAGCCACAAATCGCATATAAGCAAGCAATTTACTTACAGATTATATAGAAATCAAAGATAAGCAAAGAGTTTTAAAAATTTTCTCATATGAAACCTAAAAGCTCTTGTAGATGATATACCTGTATTGTGTTGAGCACTACCTTAACTATAAATGTTCATAGACACATATTTTAAATGAACAAATATGAGATCATTTTACAATGTCTATATGCGCAACCTTCAGTTGACATTCGTCGTTATAGTTCAAAAAATTCATAATTATACGTACTGGAAAGTACATACATTAACTATTTCGAATAGCTGGTACCCATATAAATTCTCTGCCTGCAGCCAGTGATGCATGTCATTTGATTATAAGTACTTTAATTTTGTAGTTGCACAAGTTCAATAACTGCTGCAATGAATATCATTCTCCGGGACATTAACGGGGTACCAAGGTGTATGAAGCTCTGGCGCATCCCGAAGAAAGTTCTCGGGGGGACTTAAGGGCGGAACCAGCCGATATGTCGGCGAATTGAGGAGCGTGGAGGAGCAGGGGGGTGGTTGGAGGCGTTGGCTGCATAGGTGATCCTAACACGCGAAGACCCTTGTGACAATTAAAGAGCGGGGGGAGGGCTCAAGGCTGGCTCCAACATTTGTGTCCGGTACAGGTATTACGAATCTTGTCGATTTTTTTTTACGTTAACCTAGCTTTAGCTGATGGACACGTTGTGAACTTGTTTTGTAGTTGTACGTGTTGTCTAAACGTCATGATGCTTCAGTCGTCAATGTTTGGCTCTGATGTGATGTAAAATCTGCTTCAGAGACGGCATTACTGGAGGTCTAAGCTGTAAGTTGAAGTTGAATACTATAGCAAGAAGGAAACGGCAATAGCTGCATAGTGAGAATTTGTGTGTTAATAATATGTGTTGATGATAATTCCATTGGATTATTGTCAAAAATACACTTACTTGAGATTCAAGGCTAGAAATTAGTTGCGCATCCACTTTTTCTCATCCATTCTGGAAATTACATATGCAAATTTCAAACATGAGAGAGATAAAAAATAATTATATTCACTGTACACTGTCGAATTACAAGGCGTATACATGCTAACAGTAATTACTCGTCAAAGTTTTTGAAAACACAAAAAACGTGAAAAATCGTAATTAATAACTTTGAACCTAACCTATCGTCACAAAGGACAAAATATCAATACCTCGTAGGGTCGTCGGGCACAGCTAATAGATATAAAGGGTTGTCCAATAGGGACGCAGGAAAGTAAACGTCAATTTGACATAGACGCCATCTTTGTTTTCTGTCACCGACATGTCATTTTGTTAGTTGAATGTTTACCATTGATCGCTATTGAGTTGTGTTAGATTGAAGACCGCATTAAAGTTATTCAAGAGCACAACAAAAATGGTGCAAAAATAAAAAACACGTTTCGCGCGCTTCGTGAACATTTCGGTCGCAACAACCGCCCAAACGAAACAACCATCGGTCGTCTGGTGCGTAAATTCGAGGCAACAGGTTCTGTGGCAAATCTGCCAGGCTCTGGCCGGCCAAGGAGGGTTCGCACACCGGAAAATATTGCTGTTGTGAAGGAGAGTGTGAGAAACGATCCGAAACAATCAACAACGCGTCGATCCCAAGAATTGGGCATTTCGAGAACCAGTTTGCTCCGCATTCTCCACAAGGATTCGAATGTACACGCCTACAAGATCCAATTGACGCAAGAGCTGCATCGGGCCGACCATTTTTCGCGCCGAACGTTCTCAGATTGGCTCCTTGAACACCACCAAATTGATGCCAATTTTTCATCAAAAATCATGTTCAGCGACGAAGCGCATTTCACTTTGAATGGGACGGTAAAGAAGCAAAACTGCCGCATCTGGGCGAACGAAAATCCCCGTGAGTATCAAGAGCAGCCGATGCATCCTCAAAAAGTGACTGTGTGGTGTGCATTGTGGTCAAAAGGCATCATCGGACCTTACTTTTTCGAAAATGCGGCCGGGGACGCCGTTACCGTCAATTCTGAGCGATATCACGTGATGATAGAGGACTATTTTTTGTCGCAACTTGAAGGAATGGATATGGACGATGTTTATTTCCAACAAGACGGTGCAACATGCCACACAACCAACGTCAATATCCATCGATTGCAGTCCTTCTTCGGTGATCGCGTGATTTCGCGCAGAGGAAATGTGCCATGGCCACCAAGATCGTGCGATTTGACTCCCTTGGACTTCTTTTTATGGGGATATTTGAAAAGCAAAGTCTACGTCAACAAACCAGCCACCCTCCAAGAACTCAAAACCAACATCATTGCCGAGATAAATGCCATAGAACCGACCATGTTGCAAAATGTCATTGAAAATTTCGACCAACGCGTGGACGTCTGTAAATCCAGTCGTGGTGAATATTTGAGCGATATTATTTTTCATACATAAATGGTATAAATGAACCTTCAAAATAAAGTACCCAACTTGATTTGAATATCAATCTTTCTTGTTTTAATATGCGTTTACTTTCCTGCGTCCGTTTTGGACAACCCCATACTTCATTAGCAGAATATTCAGTAATGATTTACACACAATAATCCAGATGCGATCTTACTACTCAACCAACTTTCTTCTCAGAGATGAAAACTACAGACTACTCAGCTTCACAAAACATACGCAACCAACAATGCATGTAGCTGAGTCATTCCTCCATAGATGGACGCTCACAACGAAAGTGAAATGATTGTTTGCACCCTAAAAACTACCTAGTCTGCAAGATAACATTTTATAGGTTTTTTGTTAGCTTTGGGGTGGGGGGCGGGGATTTCCGATATAATGAACCGCTTTGAGGTTTTGGAGTTATGCTATAAAATCTTGGTACAGTTTTAATTATGGAACCGTTTTCGAGTACTGGTTTACCCGTTTTGAAAATCTGGTAATTCTCATAACAGATTCGTCATCAGCGACCTGGAAAACCACGGATATTTTTTCTTAAAAACGGTTGTAATTATCGAAGCCAAACATGAACAAATTTCTTCAAACAACCGCGTGTAGCATTACATTGATGTAGGTAGATGGAATAGTCGACACAATCGAGGCACGTTCCAATTTCCAAAAATGTTATTTTTAAGTCATTATCATACAAAGGTGTAAACAAAATTAGCAACATATTGGCAAGTCCGTCTCTGAGGAACTAAACGAGCTAATAGTTTTCGTTGGATTATATCGTCGCCCAAGTTCTTACACAGCGTGGCTCAGATTTTTCAAAGTGCAAAAAGAAAACGGTGCACCTTTGGATCCCCTATGAAATGACATGCATATCTTGATGGCGCCAGTTTTTTGCGCTACGATATGTTAAAGTAACGATATGTGAAAATTATTAAAGAAAAACATATTCCAAACGGCGTTACAAATAAAAAGTGTCAAAATGTGAAGTAGTATACATGTTTATGTTTAACTCTTATGAATAGATAACTGTAATGCTTACTTTATCAAAGTCTCACAGGGTTATTAAAGGCGCGCGCGAAAAGATTTTTCATATATTCCTGTCCGAATGTTTAAATCTTCAATTAAATACCTTAATCACAGAACAAATGAGTCCCAATTTCCAATAATGCACTAACGTACATGCAGTGCTACCAAGCCGCAAAATGCAGAATCATTATTTTATTTATATTTTCGTCAAGCGGAACGTATAGGCAACTAGACTTACGCAACCTTCTTATTTCTACACGATCATCGATGCGCTTACAAATTGATCACGGTTGCCAGGTGTGGTGATTTTTCACTAAATCTGTTGATTTTTTACCCGTTTGTATCCATTACATATTTCCAAATAGTCTTTATTAAATTTCAAATTAAAAAAATGAAGCGTTAGCGAAATTTTATTTTTTTGCCTATTTCTCCGCCTGGACCAATTTTCAAAAACGAAGCGGAACTTCTCAAGTTATAGGTGGTTTTAAGGTTAGCGGTCACTTCGACAGACAGCCCGACGGAAATGACTTTTTCGTGATGTACATGTCACGTAACATCCAAAAAATAAACTCACAGTTCCGAAGATTTTCGCAATTAATAAAAAGAAATTTTAATTAATTTTTCTTTGATTTTGCAAGTACATTTTTTATTTATTGCTACAGAAATTGCGAAACACTTCAAAATCAGGCTATTAAGCTTTTCGAATGTTGCATAACATAATATATATGCATCACGAAAATCCGCGTGCCTCGTGATTTAATAAAATTTTGGTAGGATTACATTTCAAAGGTTAAAAATTGACCCACAATGAAAAACAAAGAATTTCAGAATGTTGTCAAACATCATTTTTCAAGAATCTTTGAATTTGTTAATTATTATAAGAACTGCTCAAGTACTTTTTCTTGTTAGTCCGAATTTTTGAGAAATCATTGATCATCATTCATTGTTCTTCTGGGTGACCATAAGATGTTTAGTCAAAGAATTTAGGGGGATGTATTATACCATATTTGTCACTCATTAGAATGCTATAGCTAGAACGTTAAATATTTTTAAAAGAACATGGGAACTCAAGTTAATAGTTCCAGTATTATCAAGTTACCTGTATCAACTGTCCTCTAAGTAGTTGTACAAAATAAAAACAAATTCAAACAAGCAAATGTTGTCTTTATTATCTAAACAGTACATCTACAAAAATTAATAAATTAATGATGGGATACAGTTGCTTTTCCATATTTTTTCTCCCATAACTTCAAAAATTCTTTCTTCCTCTGTTCTCGTCTAGCAAAGTACTCTGGATACTGGGCTTTCTCAAGTGGGTGCCAGTAATCTACTATCCAGTCTGGTGGGATTACTTCTCTTCCATAAGCTACCCCACCAGGAGAGGTTGGGACTGTATAAGAAAAAGTATATAAACAAATTGCAATATTTTTGAATCAGCTTGAGATACATTCAAAAAACGTGTTGAAAGATAAAAACCCTATTCAAACCACTTTTACTCCACGTCAAATCACATATAAGCACTTGATCCTCATTTCTATTCGCTTGTCGATGCCCACTTTTACTCCCTGCTGGCCAATTGGTGCACAAGAATTTGACGATTGCTTACTTCCTTTGGTATATTATGATTTATATAGAATGTAGAGCTTCTTGCAAGGTAATTCAACACTTTATAATGAATTTTCAACGTATTTTGCTGGCGCTAAGACCTACGGAATTGCAAATTGTTATCAACATACATTTCCTAGGATGCCAGTGTTGTTTTTCGAACAGCTCCTTCTCGCCTTTTTCTATCAATTCTTTGACAACTCTCATATCGCATATATCCTTATTTTCATCGAATCTTTGTCTCATTAGTACGGCATAATATCGGTAAACCTCTCTGCAACAGAAAAACCATATTATGCAATCAACCCAATTCTTATCACCTCAACACCTTACCTTCTGTCGTACCAATCTTCCAAAGAACGGAGGGCTCTCTTGTACAAACTTTGAACTTTTCTAGTGTGGCTTATTAAGCCTGTCGGCAAATTTGCTGCCATATTTTTGAGATTACTGAATAAATCAAAATAATCCAATTTTCAATTTTTTGTTATTGAAGATAGTGTGTCACTGTCAGTTTGACAGCGATTGACTGAAGACAGGAGATACTTCAACCACAGAACACAATGCTTAGAACATAGACGCATGTGGGGCAGAAGGAGAACGCTACACAGGGTCGTATTCTCTATTTTGAATATATGGAATCCTGCTCGGCACCACAACGTTCTGCATAATAAGGCGGGCACGAGTTATGAGATGTGCAAAACTGTGTACGCGCTGTGCCAATACTTGCAAACGCTATGATAGTTCCGTGAGATAATGTAGCCAGAAAAACAATGACAGGTACGATTGCGCTTTTATTGGTATATGTTATATATAGGAAATGTTGTTTGTATGATGTTATGTAATACAATCAGACATTCAGCTGATAGTTGTTATTATTATTATTAAACTAAATGTACTGTTCTCGAAATACTTTGAAGTTGAGTCATTAATAAGATAATGATTGTAGAAGGAAGATAAATCAAAATATGTGCGTAAAAATAAAAAAAAAATGTCACCTTGTTTTATAAAGTATCCTCCCGATAAGTATTTCAGTGCGGACCTGTATTTGATCGTGCGGTCTTGGAGCACCGGCATGCCCTCCCCTGTGAGGTCTTAAGTCACCTGATTCACGAGCCATTTGTACTACATTAACAAAGGCACGAGGGGTTGGTTGCACTCGATTAAGAATAAGAATCATGTCCACAAGTTCAGCATTTTCGTAAACAAACACCACTATTGACTCACGCGTTACCGACTGACACATACAACTGAATAATAATTGTAGTAAAAACATCGTTTCAAATTCTTTCGCTTTTTTGTTTCCGATGCGATGAACCGATAAGGCGGATTATATCCGTTGTTGCCAAACACGAGCACATAATATTATTATTGAGACAGGGCGGTACTCAAACTTCTAAAGGGCTATAACTTTGTTACTTTAATTTTACCAGAAAAATGTTAAAGGAAAAAAACACTTATTTTGATCAGATCTACTCACTCTTAAAATAAGTGACTCAACTTCGAAGTCACCCTGTATAGTGAATTGTTCTCTGTGACTAAAAGTACAGTGAACATATGCACTATGCTCTTATAGATTTCCACTATTTATTAACATTATTTTTAACGTTGTCGAGTCCCGTAGTAACCACATCCATCGTTTTCTTGAATTGTATTGTCAAGTCTACTTTGTAAACGCTTCTACTAGTTTTTTAAAGCACATTGTCGAGTGTAAATTTATAGAATTAGAATTCCATCGTACAGCACAGTTATTATGAGAAAAACCAATATAATGTCAACAAATCGGTAAAATGTCAACTTTTGCACTAGAAAGCCGCTAGTTCATTCCCGTGAGGCACGGGTATCACGTATCTTGAAAAATGTCATTAAACCGATTTTTCTTGACATTATGCGGTTAGGTTTTTCTACAAGATATTCGCTTAGCACTTAGTTGTACGTGTTGCCTAAACGTCATGAGGCTTGTTATCAATCTTTGGCTCTAATATGATGTAAAATCTGCTTCTGCGATAGGTCTAAGCTGTAAGTTGTATGTGTTGATGATAATTACATTAGATTCTTGTCTCAAATACACTTCATCGAGATTCAAGGCTAGAAATTAGTTGCCCAGCCACTTTTTTTTAAACATACTGGAAATTACATATACAAATTGGCTGAATTTCAAAAGTGAGAGGGATCAGAAATAATTATATTCACTGTACACTGTCGAAGTCTAAGCCATATACATGCTAACAGTAATTACACACAACGCGGGCGCGGTGATGATTTCCCGTATTTCTCCTCAGTTTTTCTTAATTTATAACTTTGAACATAACCTCTCTTCAGAAAGCACAACATATAAATAACCCGTCATATTGAGCATATTCAGTAATGATTTTCTCACACAGCAAATATCACTGATTTTATACGCATGCAAACCAATACACATAATCATCTAGATGCGATCTTGCTATTCAACCAACTTTCTTCTCAGAGATAAAAACTATAGACACGGATCACTCAGCCTCACAAAACTATGCAACCAATAATGCGTGACTAAGTTTAGTTGAGTGATTCCTCCATAGATGGACGTTCATAACGATCCTAGTGATCAAACGTGTAATGACTGTTTGCGCCCTAAAAACTACCTAGTCTGCAAGTTGACATCTTATAGGTTTTTTTGACGTATTGTAGGTTTTTTACATGATACCCGTGCGGCGCCTGCTAAAAGTGAGCATGAAGTGGATGTCAGCTAGTTCTTATGTGTTATTTTATAGAAAAACTTACGTAATGTAAAAAAAATCGATATAAAGTCACTTTTGAGTTGCGAAATACGGGTGCAGTAGTGACTTGGTTAAGGCAAGTGGACTATCATAGCATGCTACGGTCCTGTCTCAAGAAATAAATTAGGGGGTTGTCACTCCTTAGATTTTATCTTTCTATGCTTCATATTGTTCTGTGATTTTTCGATGACGCTCATATCTGTCATCCGTCATCCGCCATTTTGGGTTTTGATTGTAGAAGTGGATAGAACCGGCGTAGCGGTATTACTGTTTTTCAAAAAAATACAAAAAAATATTTGAAAAAACCATTGGAATAAAGTAAGTAGTAAATTCAATTATTCAAAAAAGGGCTTCATCGAAGCTCATAGCCTGAAGTAATCGCCTAAACTCTGTTACAGGCTAGAGGTAATCATGGACACGAATTTGAGATGTGGGACGCTCAGTGTCCCCCCATTTCAAATTGTGCATAAAAATTAGTGTATAAGATGCCTGTGAGTAGTATTAGATAAAAAAAAGAAATTATGAAAAAACTAGGTAATGGCTGATAACGAAGACTTGGGTTTAGGTGAGGAGGTTCACTTAGACTCTCTAGAAGACACGAACGGTATGCACGACGAGGCGGTGCTGAACGATACTGATGGTGATGGAAATGCAGCTGATGACCCAGAGCTGGAAGCTATCAAAGCAAGGGTGCGAGAGATGGAAGAGGAGGCTGAAAAGCTCAAACAGCTTCAAAGCGAGGTTGATAAACAGATGAACATGGGCAGCCCTCCTGGATTGAGTGAGTTTATATTTTAGACATTCTTATTTTAATGATTATCAATTCCATTAAGACCCTCCATAGTACCCCCAATCTATTTTGTGAATGTAATTATAACCTTTATTGGAATGTATTTAAGTATAAAACAGACAACATATCACCTCCCTCAAAAAAGTTAGATGAACATTTATTTAACACCTGGAGAGAGTGATTAGCACTTATACAAAATATTATGCACAACACTTTGTGTAACATGATATGATAGTCCAGATTATCATCAACTTTAATTTGTGGATGGAAATCTTTGTAGATACTGTAGCACTTTTTTCATCTCATTTCTGAACTCCTCATCACTCAGTAGACATTGTTCTGTATAATTAAGCATTTTTTGAATTCAGAAGTTGTATGTAATGGAATATTGAAACATGCAGCGCTATATAAAAAAACATGAACAGATACCTGGGTAATTCATAGTTTAGAACTTTAGAATTAGAGTTCCATTCTTAAACATTATATGTTATACTTGGATTTTAAAACATATTCTCTTAAATAATAGCTGGTAATATGTTCTTGTTTCTGTCCATCTTTGAAGCAGAATCTCATGAAACAGTTTTGCAATACTTGAATTTTGTGCTTCATTTCTTCCATAATACACTGTAGTGCCATAGTCTAGGTATATGAGGATTGGTGCATATACAGCGTGTTTGGTGCATCGTTTGCCAAATTGAAATGGCAGACAGAGGAGGTCTTTTTCTATCACCCCATGTCCCCCTAACAGTTTTTAGCCCAACAGAATTAATTATGTAGATTTTTTAATGTTTTTTAGTAAAAACTCCAAAATGTAATACACAAAGTGAAATAAAAAAAAAATAAAGAGTATGTCCACCTAATGATTAATTTATCTTAATGGGTGAAGTTGTACCAATCTTACAAAATCAACATTGCTTGCCAGCAGCATGTAGTTTTTTATTTATAAACTCACAAAGGGTTACAAAGAAGAACAAAAAAATGTAAGTCTCAATTTTGAATATCTGTAAAAAAAACTAAAAGCCTTCATGTTCTTAGAAATCTTTTTCAAAAACTACTCTAGTTTATACCGATTCTAACGGTATATCACAAGTCACAAAAAAGTTGAAACAATTTCTTGAATTTGCAGATTTTGTGTACAGGCTGAAATTTTTTCGGTAGGATAATAACAATGAATTTTTGTTTTGTAACCCTTTGTGAGTTTATAAATAAAAAACTACATGCTGCTGGCAAGTAATGTTGATTTTGTAAGATGAGTACAATAGGTGATCTATTAAGATATAATTAATCAATGGGTGGACATACTCTTTTTTTTTATTTCACTTTGTGTGTTAAATTTTGTAGTTTTTACTAAAAAAATTAAAAAATCTACATAAGTAATGCCGTTGGGCTAAAAACTGTTTGAGGGACCTGGGGTGATAGAAAAAGACCTCCCCTGTCTGCCATTTCAATTTGGAAAACGATGCACCAAACACCCTGTATAATTCTGTTATCCTATTTACTTCATAAATAAAGTTTTTCATATGAAAAATAAGGATGCAGTGGAGAGGAAGCCTTGATTTATCAGAAAATATATTTTTTATAAAATGTAAAATTCTTGTAAAAAATATATTGTAAACCTTTTGTTTTCTTTTGGAAGAATGAAAGGATATTTATATATTTAATTAAACAGGCTGTGCCAGTAGGTACTTAGGGATGTTGTGACATGTTATCATCACAAAAGACATTGCAAGAAATAATATGGCCATCAGGAAAACATGTCTTCAAAAGTGTCCTTTGCCATATGGCATATGCTCCTAAAATAAATTCTAAAAGTGCATATTATCCAATAGTGGCTGTAAAAAAGAAAAAGTCCATATTTGTGGTAATACTCCCATTAGGCATTTATACATTTACCATCATGTTGAAATGAAATTTAATTTTCAATTTAGAAAAAATAGATTTGATTGAAAAATAACCTATTTTTACGACTTTATGATGTTTTATCTGTTTATAACCTTGGATATGACCTCCAACCAGTACCAGTACCATCCGTTTCTAGGCATCCAGATTGCCACCCATTCTGATCTGCACCCTGTAATATAATAAAATTCTCTGGTCTCTAGATGACACATTCACAATATAAAATGTCTTAAATCGTTATTGAATTATACCCTTTATTTATCTCCACCATACTGTTGGTGTGAATTATCACTTCTCTCTCAACACAGCCAGTCCACTCAACATGTCCTTAGAAGAAAAAATGGAAGTAGACAATCGCAGCATATATGTGGGCAATGTTGACTATGGTGCCACTGCAGAAGAGCTGGAGCAACATTTCCATGGTTGTGGCTCCATCCATAGGGTCACTATCTTGTGTAACAAATATGATGGGCATCCTAAAGGATTTGCATATGTTGAGTTTGGGGATCGAGATTCTGTGCAGACTGCCATGGCAATGGATGAATCACTTTTCAGAGGAAGACAAATCAAGGTAATTTCAGTCGGAATGAATGAAACTCTACATGGTACAATTGGTTCATCTAGATGGTTTGGGACGATGAATTTGGATATGTCAATAAATCGTAATCTTTCATGCGGTTGAAAATCGGTCATTTGAAACCTTCAGGTGGCCTTTAGCAACAGATTTACCGAGGAAATTACTTTTTGTCCAGATCAGAAATACTGAGTAGTTTTTGAGTCTTGTAAAGCAATTGCCAATTTTGTATCTTGTTAAAAGCAAGCAAATCATGTTACACTTAGCCTTATCGTCAAATTGACATCAGGGTTTTTTGAAATTTTTTTTGTATAAAATCAAAAAAATTAAATTTTGGTACACTGCCAAAAAATCGTGAAGTACCGTGAGGCCAGAATAAATGTTGAAAATGGGTTGTTTGGGACCTCTTGTAGGTCCTAGTTACAAATATAAGCCAGATTCAGAACCTATGCATGAAATTTTTCATATAGTAAGCCTCAAAATATTGACTTATAGTGTAGTTTCCATTTTTTGTCTCCTGTTGTTAAAAGTAAAAAAAAAGTATGTAAGTACACATGCCAGAGAGACCTGCCTCCCAGCCTAACTGTGTTGAACTTCATACATCCAGAACTGGTCAATATGACCGCTCCTTTGTCCCTAGAGCATAGAGATCGTGGAATACTCTACATGAGGAGGTTTTCCCATATAAAACTATCCTAAGGCAGTTAAAAATTCGGATTGACAAAGTTTCTTTAAGCTAATCATGGCAGCCGCGGTGCCCTGGCATTCAGGCTTCTGCCCGCGCGGCTGCTTCAGTATAAAAAACATTGGGGCGCTGAATTCGAATATGGCCATAAAAAAATCGTGAAATAACAGAGTGAAAATAAGGAACGTACTCATTTTCAAAATACCAAATGAATATACTATTATTTAAGTTCCGATATTCTCTTAATTATCCTGCAGGTGATGCCAAAAAGAACAAACCGTCCGGGGATATCGTCAACCAATCGACCTCCCAGAGGAAGAGGCGGATTTCGGGGTAGTCGCGGAGCTGCAAGAGGATTCTATCCAGGATACAGGCCGATGCGCAGGCCCAGGTATGCCCTTTCCAATAAACAAATTAGAAACAACACTTGGTTTGATTTTGATTGTTGTAGCCACGTTTTTTCATTTTTTGCAAGTTTTTTTTATTTTTTTTTTACTATTCATAGCTATTTCGTTATGCAGGGTTTGAGTTTAGCCAGGATCTTGTTCATGTTGGTATTTGAATAACAAAAAAATATATCGTGCATTTTATGATAATAAATATAAAAATGTGAATGTCATCCAGTCCAGTCTGTCAGCATCGTGTCTCAACCACAATATAGAGAGACGTAAATTATACATTTCCTAATTGAAACTCAACAATGAATTCGAATAAATTATATATGTTTACATTGCATTGATTGACGCCAAAACTGCGTAGTTTTAGTGCACTTGACTACCAAAGTGACAACATTGAATCAACACCATAAGCATCATCTACCTTCATTAGGCTTGTTACACTCTTTGCAAATGGTGTAAGAAGTACCATACCTTGTAATTGTCTAATACGACAATTATCTGCAAACACTCGCACTTTCAAGCAATAACACTATAAATAGGAGTTTAACGACAGAATTTTCAAGTACACTTTGATACTCGTACATAGTATTAGAAATAGGAGACAAACAAATCCTTGACTGAGTCCTTGTATCTAGTCTGAATTCGTTGAAACCCAAGGGATGTTATAGGCATGGTTTTATTCTAAAAAATTTACAGAATGTTAAAAATGTGTCGATAGATCAAAATGTCTCGAAAAATACGTTTCATGAAGAAAATGTGCAATAAAGTTGCGAAAAGATGCACCTAATGGTGACCTTAAACGTGACCTTGAGTATGACCTTCAAGCTCATTTGAAGGTCAGGATAGTTTTCTTGAATGGAAACCCCTAGTTTTGATACTGGAAATAAAAAGAGTAGGACACTTTATGTATGTCCATGACCTTTACTTTGGCCATCAAGGTCATTTGAAGACGAAATGAATTTTTAACAGGAAACATCTATCTTTAATTCCTGAAATGCAAATTGCGGACAATTTTAAGTATATCCTTGCTAGTGAACCTGACAGTAACCTGCAAGGTCACTTTACAATCAGATAAATTTTCAAGTAAACTCCTTTGTTGTTAAAAAGCGAAACATTGAAATTAATTGAGTGTTGCATTAAAATATTGAATGAAAAATGTTCGCTGCTGAAGTAACTATTGCATTGATTTGAATATTGCATTTTCTTCACACTAATGCAAAACGAATGATCTACGGGGAGAACCAAATTTGACTGATGACTTGAGTTCAATGTGTACGAGAGAGAAGCAAGAGAAGTGTATAAAAACACATGTTCGAAAGAGATAGAAGCCGGCTGGTCAGCAAAGCTCATGTCCACGTTGCCTAGCAACGCTGATGCAGAATGTCGTGACAATCTGCCGCGTTGTTACATCAGGTTCTTGAATTATGTTGAAAATATGCGTTAGTTTACTCTAGAGAGTAAATAATGGATTTATTTTAAATTGGGTCGAATCTGTTTAGAATCGATTCCGGATCGGTCGTAACGGCATTCCATTTTTGGTCGAAATGAAAGGTCGGGATCGCCACAAATTCCGCAAAATTGCGGAGTCGCGTTTATCAGTCTAGTTCACTATAAGGATTTGGATAACGAATACGAGGTGTGACAATTAAGTAATGAGACTGATTCCATAAAAACTGTATATTTAAAAATTATCCTACAACTCTACATCAATGGAAAAGGGAATTTCAAGGTCGCAGGTTTACCACAAGCGCGGCAATAAAATCTTCGCATTACCTAATTGTCACACCTCGTATAATGACGCTGTGGCTCGGTACGATAGCCGCCGCATAAACTTCCTATGCTCGACCACTTCATCGTGCCAAATTTGTAGAGAGCGCCTCACCGAATACTTAAAAAATAGAGCGCCTGAAAAATGGTGTGATGTGACGTTTAGCTGTTTTGAGCTAAATCCATCTTTCACTGAGACATGATTTGAAAAATTCTGCGAGTATGCTATAGCCTACCGATATCTATAGTGATCATAATATAAATAGCTATGAATTGTATTATTTTACTTGATCGATTTTTTTTTAGTTTGTTGTTTCTATTTTGTTTATGGTCATTTTGTTATTTTAATGAACTGATGTCTGCACTTTTAGGACTTATAGACGAGGTGGATATTTCTCACCCTACTGATTCAAAACGTAAGGACACATTGATTTATTATTTTTTACAATACATACATAAGATTAGACAAAAAAGAAGAAACGGAAAAAAAGAAACATGCTACACAGGATAAAAAAGGAAATGAAAAAAAAAACAAAATAGAAAAGAAGTTCGTAGGTTTAGTTCAAATTAAAGTTTACAATATAGTGTGTTATGTGTGAGTCGTGTGTATCAGGCATTTGGGGATGGATAATTTTCATAATTTATTTTCGTTTTACACGTCGTGAATGACCGTAATCATTGCACTCGACATCATTTTTCCATTGCAAAGTATTCTTTCATTTCACAATTTTCCATGTTAAGTATGGGTTTACAGGTATTCATCGACTGGTGTAAATTTGATATACTTTACATCTCTAATGAATAAGAATAATGATGTTAAAAAATTAAATGTACAAGTAATAAAAATGTGGATAGGATATAAAACGATTGTCTCATTGGGTCCATCTTCTGAAAATGTGTAGCTTTCCAATACAGATGAATTGGTATTGAAATTAACAGAAACATGCTGAGCATAGAAAACACTATGCTGTTGTGCGACAGAAATACGTGTGATTCCATACCAGAACACTCATCACGCTTAGCGCACAACGCGACTCCAGCAGCAGCCACAGGGTTAATGTACAGAGAAATCTATGTGTGAAATTTGAATAATAGGTGCGTAGAATTACCAATGTTGGGAGCGTATCAAGGTACTAGCATCAAAAAACTCAGATAAACCTTCCCCACCTCGCAAGTTTTTTTACCTGTAATTTTTTTTAAATGATCAGGAACCTCTGAAACGTCAAAAACTACAAAGATTTTGCGTCCTCGGCATAGTAGTAACATTGTGTAAAAATTTCATCGAAATCCGAGCGAGTTCTCGAGGTATAGGCGGTTATAAGATTAGCGGCGACATGTCATATAAGATCCGAAAAACATATCTCATTTTCTAAAAACTTCGCGATTACAATACTTCCCGCTAGTATGCGTAAACGTATTCGATTACTTTTTAAGTTCGCTAAATAAACAATGGATGGCTTCATAAAAACTCAGTAGTTCTCCGTCCAGTCATCTAATATGTATAGTTTTTTTTTTTCATATCGCTGATAACTTTTTACTGGAAATTTTAAGTCACAAACGGCACAAAAGAATGCATAAGGGTTATGTTTGGACATTTGACATACAAGAAGGACATAGAAACCTGAGCTAGGATGTTACTGGTTTTAACTGTCCAAAACAGTGACGTCACGAAGGGCCAGTTCGTGACGGCATCATCGTTGCAAACCATGTCGCTCAAAATGAAAATGTCCAACACGACCGGTTATGATTGATTAATCAAATTCAAGCGGATAACCAAATGGAAATGGTATTTACCATTTTGGATTGGTATTTACCGATCCGTTCAAGCGAGTGTGGTTATCAGTTTAGTTATAAGATCCGTGACGTCACGAATCAGCTGTTATATATCATAGTTATCACCGCAAAATTGTGGTATTTACCCAACTCCGGAGTAGTTTTATATTTCTGGTTATTATTTGACATGTGACAAGTTAGAATTTTGCGGGGTATTGGATATATTTATTGTACTTCAGCTTCATTTTTGGGAAACTTGATACAGGCTGACTTCAGTTTTAGCATAAGAGAGTACCTTATTATTTATAATCATCACTGTTGTTGGGGACACTTTAAATCTAGTTCCTACACTTAAAAAAGTATCCTGTATAGCCATATACCACAAGAATATTAAAATATGGCCGTATAAACTCACTGGATGATGTCCACCTGTATACGGTTTTGTTAATATCTTTTTCATCGCTTTTTCATCATTTCTGCTAAATCAATAAATATTTTCTTTGACATGCGGAAAAGTTTAAAGAATTGAAAGTTATCATAGCTACAAAGCCATCAGTAAAAATTTTTTTCGGAAAAAAAAAACATTCCTCCCATTAATATTATGAAAGTTTTCTTTTTTTTAACTTTCCATACCCCATTGTAGACGAAAAAGCACCGATTATTAAGTGATAAAAAAAATAATCAGAAATTATATACGGGCTTTTCTAAAATAAACAACTTGCAACAAACCGCGGTTAAAACCAACGCGTTCAAGCGATTCGAGTAACTGACGTCACCATCCCGTGTGTCATCTTGAACCATATTATAACCGCGGTACATAATACGGAAATTTTGGTTATCCGCTTGGATTTGATTATAGATCGCCTAAAATTACTTATTGTTGACTGACGTGGCAAACATAAATCGCATACGTAAACGAAAGCTCTATTTCTTTCCAACGTCGATCCATCCTTTATTGAAAAATCGATTATAATCAAAAACCGACTCCATTTTGATCATAGACATCACACCAACCTAGATCACCAATCAACACCCCTGGTAATTATTCCTAAGATTTATGTTGGAAAAATTTTCAACGGCGGAAATGATATAACCTGCGGCAACAGTCTGAAAAATGGCAACGCTGCTCCCCTAAAGACGGTAGTCGACCCGTATACAGAGAAATCAATATATCACCGAAGTCGTAATATGTACGAGAGAGAAGCGTGCAATACGTATGTTAGAAACAGATAGAAGTACCACATTGCCTAGCAACCCGAGTGTCGAGGCGACGGACGCAGCTGTGGCTTGCGGCTTGCCGCGTTGCCATCGGCTCACTCTGTCTAACATACGTATTGCACGCTTCTCTCTCGTACACATTACTGCGTCAGTGATATTTGGATTTCTCTAAATAGTTTTAAGATAAAGGGATTAGCAGCACACCTTTAAATTGAATTTAATATTTTCTAGAGGAATACAGGGTGTCCGCAAAGTTGGGGTTTTCCTTTTAAGAAACAACTACCCTTGAAATAACAAAGGTAATGTGTAGTGAAACGAGGGCGACCAAGTAAAAAAAAATAAAGGAAAAAGTACTCACTCTCCAGTTGACGAGAAGGGCTAAGTACGTCTCTGTCCGAAGTCATACCGCTCCAACAGAAAATGAAATCAGCTGATGCGCTACCGAGCAGACGCAGAAACCACATTGATTGTCTTACACTTAATGGCACATCTTCTAACAAGGAATGCAAAATGTTGCATAAAAAGTCTAGGTATTGCATCCCGTCCAATCGATTTGGGAGAATAAATGGTCCAATGAGCATACCGTTCACCATGCCAGCCCAAACATTCACCGAAAATGTTTGTTGAAAATGTCCCCGACGGACAGCGTGCGGATTTTCTACTGACCAAACATGAGTGTTGCGAAAATTATTCACCCCATTGCGCGTGAACGTAGATTCGTCTGTCACCAATATGCACTTCAAAAAGTCCGGATTATTGTCATGTTGACGCAACAACCACTCGCAAAACCGCACTCTTGCTGGAAAATCGTCAGGTTGAAGGGCTTGTACACGTTGGACGTGAAACGGATACAGCCCCTCTTCACGCAGCGTTTGCCACACTTTAGTTTTTGATACTTGCACTTCTCTAGCCACGTCTCTAGTGCTTGTTGAGGAATTCTCGTCTACGCGATTACCTCTACATGCGTGACCGTAACCGTCGGTTGAAGGTTGCATACTGACCTGACACACTGACCCCGACCCAGTTCTGCCGTCGGGTTGAGACCTTGTACCAATCGGTGATGTCGCGGGTCGCCGCTACAGCACGGTATTCAGATATTTTTGATGTTGCAGAGCCCTTTATCTCGGTTCCCTTAAGACATTGGTGTATATGGTACTAAGAAAAATTGCTTATGTTTTCCAGATCTACACGTCGTTTAAAGGAAAACCCCAACTTTGCGGACACCCTGTATATTAATTATGTATTATAATAACATGAGGATTTATGTTTACCTGCTCGCATTTTTTGTTTACTCCTGGCGTGAAGTATTGGCGAAAAATACAGAAGGAACAAGCTATGTAAACGCTTTAATTTTGGAAAAAAAACCATCTTTAAATACATCACAGTGAAGATGAAACATTGACAAAACTTCGTATTTCATTATGAAACATAAAAATGGTAATATATACAGTTCAATTTTGGTAAAACGGTATCCATTATCAACACATCATAGTGTAAAAACGTCAGAAAAAGGAAAGTGCGCGGTATTTGGATGTGTCAAATCTGCCACGTAACATGCAGTTCCTGCCAAGCCTTCATACAAGCTGTGAGGATTATCTGGTGTTCGTGCCGCATTTTTGAAGTCGCTGCTGTTCATGAAGTTGTAGAATTCGAGGGCTCTGTACAGATATTTAACGTCTCCAGTTAACCTAAAAATAAGGGATCTTAAAAAAAACATTTCCTCGATATTCTCGGAGGAGAATAACAGCTGACGGTGCATTGTCCTGGTGAAACAGGATTTTCTTTATCTGCAAATGTGGTCGTTTTTCCGCAAGCTCTGCTTTTCTTGTCAAGTAACGATGCGTAGTATGCTCCTGTAATGGTTTTTACTTTTTGAAGATGATCGATTGAAATAACTCCATGACTAACCCAAAAAATAGACGCCCAGCAGAAAAAACAGTTTTTGCTTTCTTTGGAACCGGTTCCCCTTTGCAGTTCACTGTATGGACTGTATTTTTGGTTTGGGGCGTATAATGGCGTATCCAAGTTTCATCTACAGTAATTAATCGGCGCCAAAACTCGGATTTATTGCGTCTAAAATGCCCCAACACGTTTTTGCTCTAGCATGAGCAAACGCGGCGCCCGACTCGGGCAGCTTTCTTATGCCTAAATGTTGATCTAATATCCAAGCAAAAAATGCGTTCACTACAAGTGGTGGTTAACGAAAATTCATCCAAAAAGGATTATCTACCTAGCAACAACGCATTTATTTCCGACTGAGTACAGTCGTTTTAAATCGCCATCAGCTGTTTTGTGGACGCCATGTTTTTGGTGTCACTTCCTATCTCTATCTCTCTAATTTTATTCGACTTGTCTGTTTTCTGTTTGTATAACTACCCTTTGGCGAGAGTTTGCTATAAGGCGTAGTACCAAGGTCGTTTTGACTAGCTTTAGATAGAAAAAAGGTTAAGCTTGCTGGTGGGACTGCTGTCTGGCTACAACCCATTTAAACTAGAGGTGTTGAAAAAGTAACAATTCGTTACTCATAGATTCCCGAAATACCTAACGAGTAACTATCCGAGCATCAAAGGAATATTTCGATTATTCAGTTTTCCGTACACGTGCAATCGTTGAGCGGCAACGCTGGTTCTGGTCATATACAGATTAACTTTGTAACTATGTACTGTTTTTGAAGCATTTTCAGTAAATATAAACTATTTTAAGTTTTTATGCACAAATGAGTCATATGACACTTTATTCTATAATAACACATCTCGTTTTGCATGAAATTTGAAGATACGGTGTTTGCATTAAGTACGGCAGATTTAAATGAATTATTAAAAAAAATCAAATTTCAATGTTAATTTTCTTGTAAGACAACTTACCAAACTAAAACATAATATAGTCGTTCCATTGAAGTTGTTCAAATTCGACAGTCAGACGAGAATCAACAACTCTAGTTTAAACCACAAGTGATGGGGTGGCTGAAGAGTGCTTATCGCACACTCTGGATCATTGCGAAAATAATAGCTATTTTTTTAACATGTAAACCGATATAACATTTATTACCTGAACATTAATAGAAAAGTATATCCATTCCCTGCTACCCCATGACACAATCCAGGGCCTTTCTTCAACAATCCTTTATTCCAAATTAAATCAGCCATGCGTACGCAAGATTGCAGATATTTATCTTCTTTGAACACCAAATAGGCCTTCGCCATCAGGTAGATTGTCCCTCCTGCGCCATGACACCAATGCACGAGTTCTGGTTGGTAGCCTATTTCATCAGTTGCCGCTGGAAAATTGCCTGAAATCGTGCCAAAAAAGTAGGTTTTCTCGCTCGCAAAGTTGCCGTTTCGCGAGGGCCGATTGATCGAATGTCAATGGTACGGATCCAATATGGCGGATGCTACAACATAGCGATTCATCATTTACATAGTAACCTCTAAGATATGGGTAGCAAATGAAAGGGCTTGAGAGAAACGCAATAAGCAAAGTGACGAAATTCTAAATCCAATATGGCGGCCTCCGCTAAGAGCCGTATCGTCAGTCGTTCCTATAATTGTATGACGCCTTTATGGCCTTCTTGATTCTCATAGTTTTTTATCTCCTTCAGAAAGATTGTGGTATTTATAGATTTCTACTGTTCCATGTCAGCGCTCTCGTATTCTAAGGTTATGTTTTATTTTTGAATTGTAGGAAATTTCAGGCTAATATAACAGATAATATAAATCAAAAGCAAGAACAATTTGATACAAATAAACACTTGTAACATAACCTCAAAATAGAGAGCTGACACGCAACAGTAAAAAACTACGAAAATCAGGGAGACCATAAAGGCGTCATACAATACTTGTAGGAACGACTGACAATACGACCCTGGTTTTTTATAATTTCCATGGTCACCGCTATGACAGAGAAATCAGATGGAAGGGATTAATTATTAGAGAACCACAATAAGCAAATAACATTCTAAATTCCACATGGCGATCGTCGCAAAATATCGATTTATGTTATATGATTTACTACGTATGTAAATTTAATGATGTCAAAGCAAGGAGTTTTATGGAGTAATATACAAGAAAATTAGATAGAAATTACCAAATCAGTTATATGGAAAGAATGAAACAAATTTTTAAAAACCTTTTATTTACATATTAATAAAATGAACTAAAAATAATTTTTCCCGATTGGAAATATTTAACGGATAATGTAGCTCCTTCATCTCAAGTTTTCAAATAAAATCGTGGACGTTTTGACAGCAGGATGGAAAAAGAAAGTGACATACTTTTTTGAAAACTTGATAAGAAGCTTCACTATCGTTTAAACATTTCCAATCGGGAAAAATATTTTTGAATGTTTACTTCGCTTTATTAACATCTGAAAAAAGCTTGTTTTTGAAAATGTATTTTTTTATTTTATTTATTTGATGACTACCGCATAGATCTCGGTAAATTTAAGCAATGGCCTAGGTTATGGTGACCTTATTGGCATATACCTTCTTTCACGAGAATCCATCACGGTAGAATGACAGCTGGTTATCTAGTAATATTTCAAAATTCCCCATATCAGCACAGGACACATAATTCTGACGGATCCGTCAACGACAGGTAGTCAGAGCTGTATTTTGTTTTGTTTTTTTTGTACGCTACAGATGCATTTTGTATTCTACTTGCTAACAGGCTCTTTTATTTAGAAAAGTTCGTTTGCATACAAAAAACAACGGTACAAACAAGTTTTACTAGATTTATACCCGATTCATTATTGCCAACGTCGCAGTCGAACAGAAAAATGTAACTTGCTGATCAACTGTTCACAACGGTAAACGTCAAAGCGAGATATATACTCTTGAAATAGGGTATAGATCTGCGACTTCAGGTGACAATACTGACAATGCAGCCAGGACGTGATTTTGGGCTGGACGGCGTCATTTAGTTATTTCGTATATCTTTGGCGAGGCCATCTTTTATCCTGAATTTATGTAGTTCCAGCAGGACGGACTATACCTTAGGAACGCTATAATAGCCGTTCTTCACGATCGAATTGAGGGTAGGATTCTCTCCGAGTTGAAGTGTAATTGGCCTCGAAAATCTTACGATTTGACCCCATTACATTTTTGATGTGTTTTTTTAAGGTTGCAGATTTATGCTAATAGTCATCAATCCACGTCGACATAACTCATTTAGGCACAGGATTGAAGCGTACCTTATCACTAAAACTTTTTACAACATCGAAGAATTTTTAAGTAATAACTTTTCGGATCTCTTATAATGGTGCTGTAGCATGCTGTTTTACAGTTTTGTACTTGTTAGTGTTGTTTTTTTTTACAGTCTTCTGTTAATGTTGTTCTCTTGAACAAGTGTTATTGTTTTGTGACTTTACACTTTGGCGTTTTAAATTTTACTTTGACCTGTGTAAGCAAACAAGTGTATTAAGCACCAATAAAGGAATGAAATGAAATTACCGAAATTTGAGCGAATCAATGCGAAACACTGATCGGTGAAAAATTCAATATACATGGTAAATATCAATATCAACCCATCATCAGAAAAGCCTTTGTTCAAAATGAAGTCCAGTCCATTACCTTCATCACCTTGCAATGACAACAAGTAATCAATGCTTCTCTTGATGTCAGCAGCATCAGTAGGTGACGCCTCTAAATACCCAGGTACAGAGATGAGTGTCTGGAGGATTGAGCAAAGGCCGTGAGCAGCTCCTAAGTACTCTACTTGGTAGTACGCGTACATCAAGGGGCAAGGAAGTTGGTGACGCTTTGAGTAATTGCGCCCCGATTGAACGATAATTTTGCATAGATCGTAAATTTCTTGTTGTGGGAGAGGCGTGTTTGTCTCCTTTGACATCCACAGAGCTCCTAGAACGTATCCTGAAGCAAAAAACATACTTTCGATACAGAGGAAAGACTACTACTATCGGGTATAACATTCTCTAAATGAAATTGCTATCAGGATTACAGAATTGAAAGGAGTTACGGAGAAGTCATTTTGCTCCTAGTATAGAATTGGTGGTACATCTAGGCTACTAACGCAAAAACATGAATTTGTTTCATCGATTTGAATTACAAATAACGGTAGGTCGCACAGAGACTTCGATGAATTTCCTATCAGGATCACACAAACATAACGAGGTTTGCCGAAAATCGAGGGAAACCCAAAACAATGAGGTAAATATTTCCCGCCGTTTCAGTGATCCTGATACAGAACTTTCAATTCTGGATATCACGGTTGTACTATAAATTCATCAACTGAATTAGGAATTTACATCCGGATCACAGAAAGACAAGGAGGTATGAATTCACTTTGCTCCTGATAAGATATGAGGTATCCAAATGGCCAAGACGGATCTGCGCTCCTGATGTAGAATTTTGAATAACTAATTTCTCCATCAAATCCTCATTTTATATATATCGCAAAAATTTGCTGTTAGGATCTCAGAAACAAAGGATAGTTTGAAGTAACTTTGTTCCTGATGCCGAATTCGCCGCTAACTCATGTACTGACATTTTTTCAATATCTGTGTTTTGGGCAATAAATCATAGATTTAGCATGTCAGTAGATCTCAATCCATGAAAAGTTATTACCATACCAGCTCTTCCCACAAACAGCTCATCAGACCCACAGCTCAGAAAATTAAACTCTTTGCAAATACTGGCGGCCTCGTAGTACATCTGAATATATTGTTTGCTTTGGGCCTCATCCCCTGTAGCATGAAATATAGAGGCTGCCACAGCATAGATCCCACAATTTCCCAATATGAAGGATGGTACATCTTTCTTTTTATGTGCTGTACAAGAAGCCACCATCAGCGCTGGTTTGAGGTATTCAACTGCTTTGTTCAGAAAGGCACTACGCTTTGATTCCAGTGTGGGCACCTTGCTCAAGTGATAGTACATGTAAGCAATACCAGCTGCTCCAAGATATATGCCATTTCCACCGTTTTTCTCTATCGGTTTTATATGACGTGTGATATTTTCTAATATTTCATTTAAGCCTTTTTTCAAGTCTTCAATGGGAATTACGGGTGTTCCTGTCTCCCTTTGATAATCAGGTTTCGGATTTGGAAAATATCTAATTGATCGTTGCGCAGACATAATTCCAGGTAAGCTTTTAGTTAGTAACCGCAAGACTTTATGCATTTACAATAAAAACAATCGTTTTGGAAATTGTTCAAATTTTGTTTGGGCCGGCGATAAATGCCATAACCGTTTGACAGTTGCAGTTTTTCTAAGAAAACAAAGATGGGGGAAATGAGTACTATGACGTTTTACGTTTTAACCGAAACGATTTGAAGATTCGGTTTACTCACAGATCCGCCGTATCCTTAATTAGACCTAAAGACGTGTAATTCGTGTTATGTAGATTCCACCAATTGAGCATGGTTTTGCACATCACGTGACTTTGAAGTATGACAACACGTGATTAACAAGCTTCTTCTTGTCTGGAACTTGGGTTACGACTCTACAGCGTGTGACAACTCAAGCTTTTATTAATTGGTTGATGTGATTCGACAGAAAACACGAATTTACAGAATCACAGCTTATGTTCTGTCAACAATGACGTTGTCATTTGTCACTCTGTATATTTTGATTTTGAACATAAAAGAAAGCAAGGAATAAGTTTTTTAATATTCCTATTTATATAACAACTAATTAGAAATGCTATTGAACAATTTAGTGCCCACCGATACGGTTATAATCCTTTGCCCCGAAGAGGCGAAGGACAGCTTCAAGGAATACGTCGAAAAGTTCAAAAATACCACATTTCGGGATTCTTCCACCCTAACAAGTGTCAAGGATGAATCAGCATCTGGTATAATATGTGTTTACGACGAAAAAACTACGGATGTATCTTCAATTCTCCTACAAAAGCTAAAACCAGGCGGAACCCTCGTAATACAAAAAGCATCTGATATTGAAACAGTGAAATTTAAGCTTACGACAACAGGCTTCATGAATGTGACTATAAGCGAAAATACAATTACTGCCAACAAACCTACGTTCAAGTCCGGTTCCTCTGCAAAATTAAACCTGCCTAATAAGCCTCCAACATCTGTCTGGAAGATCGATGACACAGTAGAAGATGAATTAATAGACCCTGATGATCTATTGGATGAAGACGACTTGAAGAAACCCGATCCAGAGAAACTGCGCGTGTGTGGAACCACGGGGAAACGCAAAGCTTGTAAGAACTGTTCTTGTGGCTTAGCAGAAGAGTTGACAGCTGAAGCACAATCAGGAAAAGCTGTTGATACTACAGATGCTCCAAAGTCATCATGTGGTAGTTGTTATCTAGGGGACGCATTTAGATGTGCCAGTTGCCCTTATTTAGGAATGCCTGCATTCAAGCCTGGGGAGAAGATTCAGTTGACTGGTGGTCAACTACAGGCTGATGTTTAGTTGCTGTGATTAGAATTATTTGAATATTTAGAATATTGTTCACTAAATTTTTATGATGAATAAAGGTTTTTAAGCAATGTTTTGTCTAACAGTGCATGAAAAATCCCACTGTGAGCCCTACTTATATTGTTTCAGTGACCTTCAAACAAAACCTAATTAGCTGAAAGATGCATAAAAGTCTTAAATTACATATCAGGATCACTAAAGCAAGAAGAAATATAGACAAGTTCTTTTACTCCTGATACAGAATCATGAATAACCAAATATTTCATATCAAGTTGCTCTTGGTAAAATCGTCAAACTTTATTGAGACAAGATTTGCTATGAGGATTGCAGGAACGTGGAGGAGGTATGGAGAAGTTGCTCTGCTCCTGGAACAAAGTAAGAGGGAAATTCAAACTACTGACGCCAATACTTCTCGCTATTTCTGCGATCCTAATACAAGATTTCGAATATCCGAAAAATGGCATAATGTTATTGTGAATACGTCATATTTCATACCATAAGATTTTCCTGGTACAGAATTGGCTTAAAAATTCAAGTAACTGACAGAAGTACCTCGCCCCGCTTCTGCAATCCCGATACAGAGGTCTGAAGAGGCTAATATCGTATATAGATTTGAACTTTTTTCGTAAAATCGTCGATTTCGATGAATTAGGATTTGCTATTAGGATCACAGAAATGCGAGATGGTATGGACAAGTCACTTTGACGGGAAACTGGAATTTTTGAAGCGAATACCTCCTCTTCTCGTTTCTGGCATCCTGATACTGGATCTTGAATAGTTGGAAACTGCATATTACTCGAACTCGTCAATTTTTATGAATTACGATATTAGGATTACAGAAAAGCGAGGAGGTATAGAAAACCCACTTTGCTCCTGGTATAGAACTGGCAAGAAATTCAAGTTTTTGACGTAAATACCTCTCGCTGCGTCTGCGATCCTGATACAGAGGTATGAAGACGCTAATATCGGATATAGATTTGAACTTTTTTCGTAAAATCGTCAATTCCGATGAATTAGGATTTGCTATTAGGATCACAGAAATGCGAGTTGATATGGAGAAGTCACATTGGCGGGAAACTGGAATTTCTGAAGCGAATACCTGTTGTCGTTTTTGGAATCCTGATACTGGATCTTGAATAGTCCGAAACTGCATATTACTCGAACTCGTAAATTTTTATGAATTACGATATTAGGATTACAGAAAAGCGAGGAGGTATAGAAAAGTCACTGCTCCTGGTATAGAACTGGCAAGAAATTCAAATTTTTGACCTAAATACCTCTCGCCGCTTCTGCGATCCCAATACAGAGGTTTGAAGAGGCTAATATCGCATATAGATTGAACTTTTTTCGTAAAATCGTCGATTTCGATAAATTAGGATTTGCTATTAGGATCACAGAAATGCGAGTTGATATGGAGAAGTCACTTTGGCGGGAAACTGGAATTTTTGAAGCAAATACCTCTTCTCGTTTCTGGCATCCTGATACTGGATCTTGAATAGTCGAACTAGTCAATTTTCATGAATTACGATATTAGGATTACAGAAAAGCGAGGAGGTATAGAAAACTCACTTTGCTCCTGGTATAGAACTGGCAAGAAATCCAAATTTTTGACGTAAATACCTCTCGCCGCTTCTGCAATCCTGATACAGAGGTCTGAAGAGGCTAATATCACATATAGATTTGAACTTTTTTCGTAAAATCGTCAATTTCGATGAATTAGGATTTGCTATTAGGATCACAGAAATGCGAGTTGATGTGGAGAAGTCACTTTGGCGGGAAACTGGAATTTCTGAAGCGAATAGCTTTTGTCGTTTCTGGAATCCTGATACTGGACCTTGAATAGTCGGAAACTGCATATTACTCGAACTCGTCAATTTTTATGAATTAAGATATTAATATTACAGAAATGTGAGGAGGTATAGAAAAGTCACTTAGCTCCTGGTATAGATCTGGCGAGAAATTCAAATTTTTGACGTAAATACCTCTCGCCGTTCCTGCGATCCTAATACTATTTTGAATAGTCTAAAATTGCATATCGACATGAAATTTCTCAGCAAAATAGTAAAAATAATCCCTTCGCTCCTGATACAAAACTGGCGGAAATTTCAAGCTCCAATCCTGATACAACTTTTTGTATAACCGAAAATCGCATATCGACTGTTGGAAAACTTCAATTTCATTAAGATTTTCTATTCAGAATCAGAAAAGTGATGAGGTACGAATTGTTTCGAGATCCTCAATGGGAAATACGACTTACCGATAAATTCTTTTTTTTAATCTTCGTTAGGTACATTTTACTAGGATGAATAACAAACTCAGTCATATTTTTAAAAGTTTATTTTAGCCACATTTTTCAATTTATTTCAATTATAATCGTTCAGATCTAAAAAACTATTTCCAAATTAACAAATGTTGTACTACTTTTATCACAAAAAGCTATTTGTATTTATTATAAAAACTATACAATATATACTTCTATACATATAAAAATAATATTCGCGAAGAACGAATACTTAGGTTCACCATCATTCGGTTTCTTGCAATAAAATCGAACCTATCACATTTATGTACTTTGCTAAACATCCAATTGATTACAAAAAACAAATCTTATAATCTAGTTTTACATTTTTTCGTACTTAGTGTTCTGGCAATATCATTTTGGTTTCAGCCAGCGGTATATACGTACTAATACGTATTTCCGGAAAATAAGAATCCTTACCCCACAAACTGTTCCATCTACATTCTACTCGTACATCAGCGCGTGGGTACGGCAGATAAAGGGCAAAAACCTCAAGACCTATTTTGATTCAAGCACGTGTTTTTGCTGTCTCCTAGAATTTTTGTCCCTGCCAAAATGAGAATTCACGAAAATTGTTACAGAATGTTTTGCAGAAATATTCGTAGCGTAAGGATCCTTGTTTGTGTGTCTCGATTTTGGCAAATTAATAGGCAAAAATAAATATTAGATACAAAAATACAGAAAGTACGGTAGTTATTAGCCAATTAAAAACATATGTATGCATGTTGGTATGAGAGGGAAAATATAATCTTCAATTTGGTAAGTACACGACATGCTATAATTAAAAAAACTGTGTAGAGCCTAAACCATAAAAACTAAACTTACGCCTTCTAAGTTTCACTGCTTAATAAAAATTTACAATAACAGCCTTAGCAAAAAAACATTTTTGCGTTGTGTATGTCTCATTGTAACTGAAGTTTCTGGGCAAACTTCCTTTGTCTGCTGATAATTGCAAAAACTTTAATCCGGAAAGTGGTATGCAGTGTGATGTTCGTATCTTTCCAGTACTATCTATTTTTTCAGAAACTACATACTTTTGATGCCAAGCTACAGTTATATATTAATTTAGATTTATAATCCGTTATCAATTTCTAGTACGTATCGTTCGCCGAAAAAAAATAAAAGCAAATTACGTATGTAAGTGTAGCCTGTGGCTTATGATTGTTGCGCAAAAACTTGCTCACTTTATAACATCCTATCATGTAATGTAACTTCTGTGGTTATCTGATTCAATTCTCTGTATGTCGACATCTCAATATTAAATTTCGGATACTATAACCAACTTACATATAAAATAGCAAATACAAAGAATCATCAATCAATAAAAGAATGTACAATCCGATCATCACATGTCCTCCAATAATATGAATGCGAGAGAAGTTTCGTTTGAAATCACACTCTGGCTCATAAATTAATGCAACTTTAAAAAATAAATAAATGTTTCCAAAAACACCTTGTTGAAATTAAGCCATATGCGTAGTGATGTAACTTTGCAAAAATATTTCCACTTTGAATCAAGCCACTCTGAAAGTTGTGGATTTGTATCAACCTTTTACTATTTTCGTCACCAACGAGAATATTCCAATATCGATTTTCCAAAATCAGGAATCTAAATATTTCGATATCACCTTTTTTATAAAGTAACCTTGATTTAGTCTATTCTCCACATCTTGATATTTTTCTGTAGGTTTTTCGAAATTTATAGTATTCAATCAACTTCATTCCAAAAATATTGATAATAACATAAAAATACTTACTGCCAACAGCAATAATCTTGCGTAACTGATGCGATGCTTCTCATAGTTTCCATTTTGGCATCTCAACTTTGGTAACACAAAGCATGAAGAACGGCAAGATAGGTTAAAAAAAGTTCCGAGATCAAACAAATTCATGTTCATTTGTACTTTAAAATCGTTTAAAAATGTATGACGAAAAATGTTGGATGAGATAAAATAAAAATGATACATAAAAACTAATTCTGGGATATTTTATACAACACAATGATACATACAGAGCAATGAGTGATTATCTGTTAACGGTCAAGTTTATTTGGACCTAGTTACCTGTTACTACTCTACATATATAATGCACATATATATGACCGCTAAAATGTTTTGCTTATGATGCGGCTTTGAATAAAATGACCTTATGATTTATCGTCCAGTATAATAGCGCTTAAATAAGTCCACAAAAATCGCTTTGTACGGCTAAGTAAACAATTTTACAATAATGCGTTTATATGGAGGTTACAAAAAAGTCCCACGGTAATAATGAACAAATTACCAAAAAATCATCAATTGCAACAAAGATTCTATAAAAACTTGAACGTCAACAGCAATTCTGGTAAGATGAGATGTTTCACACGATAGATTTCAATAATAAATATGAACTACAAATTAAGCTTTCTAGTTCGCTGTTAGCATTAGATAAAACTCAATTTGAAACTAGATAACATGCATTTCATCGCTGGTTAAACGAATTTACAGAAATACCAGTTAGCGACGCCATCTTGCCGCAAGTAATGGAATCTTCTGGGCCACATCGAAGGATCAACCTACAGGAACAATCCGTTTCAGACTTTTTTCATGCATTTGCAAATTAATTGTTCGCGAAATCTATCTTGTAAAAGGTCGCTAATAACGGCTTCACCTCAGTATATAAACTAGTACACATATACACCTTATAATATATAAAAAATCGACTGATCACATGCCCTCTGGAACACTGGATACGTTACACCACGGTGATTTTTCAGCTACCTTCATAGGTACGTTGATTCACCTGAAAATTTAAGCAATGTTTATCCCCGACGTGCCTTACAAGGGGGCCAAATGCATAATCGTTCAATGACAGTTCTGACACATGCGAGACACAGAAATTGCCCAATCACAGCTTAAATAACAACCAGCTATGAAACTCTCCTGTCAGATATAAAAACGGCCGGAGAAAGTCGAATGTAAATTCCCCTAGTGCAAATATGAAAGAGTTTTTGGTGTTCCGCAGCAGCCGATATACTATATCAAATCGAAATACTCGTATTATCATTTTAAGAATATTTGCGGTCGCTGGCGTCACACGAGGCAACACAGGCTGCTGCTGAGCACTACAACCTGTTTCATCGTAGTACTGGGGGGAATTTACACTCCGCTTTCTTCGCCGAAGTGCGCGGCCGTTTTTGACACTGACAGGAGAGTTTCATAGCTAATTGTTATCTAAGCTGTGGCCAAATATCTTTCTCATGGAAGGAGGTGTTTTGTACTATCTGAGGCCTCATTACCTTGTATAATCGTCAACCTATGAGGCTTATATCACTGCTTTCCTCGATGAACGGAGTGCCCTACCACCATTTTGTTATGAACTTGAGTTCTGGTATTTTACCAAAGCTTTAACAAAAGCGTTACAGAACTTTCCCGAAACTGCTTGGAACGCATCTTCGACGGGTTTTGGGGTCGTATCATCAGTCGTTCCTACAATTTTAGGACGCCTTTATGGCCTCTTTGATTTTCATAGTTTTCTATTGTTCCGTGTCAGCGCTCTAATTTGAGGTTACATTACAAATATATCTATTTGCATCAAATTGTTCATGCTTTTGATTCACATAGGTATATCATCTGTTATATCAGCCTGCAATATCATACAAAAACAAAACATAACCTCACAATAGGTTAGCGCTGACGCTGAAACAGAATAGCAGAAATCTAGAAATACCGCAGCTTTTCTTAAGGAAATAAAACCCTATGAGAATCAAGGAGGCCTTAAAGGCGTCCTACAATTGGGTAAGCGGCTTTTAACATAACCTAAAGAGAACGCATCGAATTTCATGAACACTAGAGATGAAAAGGGTGCTTCTGATCAAAAAATACAGTCTTATTTATTATTCGAAATTTCTCCCAAGTGAAATGGTAAATAACGCGGACTTATAAACGTGGGCTTCAAAGAACAGCTATGAATTCGGCCTCCCGTAAGAACTTTGAACCAAATGGACAGTATTGCCCTAGTACCAAATTCTTAAATATGAAATTTTCGAAAAATTACCCGAAAGTCATAAGAATTTTTGATGAAACATTTTTAACTATTTTCCCTATCCGAAAGCCTTTAGCAAAGAGTGTTGAGCATATAGAAAAAGACGAATTTCATTTTTTCTTGTTTTTCCGTTTTTTTTTTTGATTGGCAGTCCATTCTTATCGGTCTATACAAGGATTAAAACTTGACGTATTGAAATACTGATGAATTATCGAAAGTAATTTAATAACAAAAATAGACACATAGTACATGTAACAAAATTCATTGTCAAAAGAGATAAGGTACATATTGTGTACAATTTATCGGCTATCAACAAAAATATGTTGATGTGGTTATCAATTTTGTGCACCGCAAAAATAAACCGCTATCTAAACATATGTTGTTATCAGCGGAAAATCAACCAATCTTTTGATAAGTGAGGAACATCAGTGGATAAAAATCGTAATGTATACTTTGTCTAACCTAAAGTTCTGTAGTGCATAACGTTTCTTATAATATCACAACAAATATGATTTAATTATCATTGATCCCGTTCGTATGCCCAACATCACCATCGTTAGAAATAGCACTGAAAATACTGTTTTTGAAGCCACTTTAAGTAAAAGATTAAATTAGACAAGGCTGAAAAGTTATCACAGAAAACTAATTTCCAGTGACTCCTTTAAGGAACCATATCCGAGCAAAGTCGAAGATATTACAAATCAGCAAATGGGGGACAATCTGAAAAGCTAAACGTATTTGGCGCAAGTTAGGTTGGAGGTCAGCTCTAAGGTTATGAACTGACAAAGACGTCAATTGCTGATCAGCTGTTCATGTCAATAGATGTCAAAACGTAATGAAGTCATGAAAAATAGGTTACTTTCTATGAAATCTGTCTTTTTCTCATCTACTTTTGACAGTTTGACCTCCGAACACACAAGCACCGCCTAGCGGGAGTAAAACTGGACATCGCTACCATAACTATAGTAAACTGTCGCCAAGGTATTGGAGACTTGCGTGACAGAACTTAAGGCGAGAGCAAGTAGATATGTCATATGTCATCAGAAAATTGTAACTAACTGTGGTGCAGTTAACCAATAACACGCAAACATTAAAGACGACTACACTTAGTGGCTGGCTATTTCCAGATCACTTGATATTTCCATAGTAGTGTATTGAAATATCCCACTTATGGATCGAAGTCAAAAGATGACCACATTGATTGTCATTTATAGTTCAATTATATAAGCCATAACTTATTGAAACCTTTATTTTGCCAGTATAAAAGATGTCTCATCAAATCTCGTGACCGATTCTTAAGTTATCAAAGGTCACAAAAATCGTTTCTTTGACAAAGATATCGCTTATGAATATTGTAGAGAATGAAATTCTCTACAACTTTTGTTTCAAACATTTTTTCATGCAATTAAACGTTTTTGAGACAGCTGTTTACACCATAATGCTAGCATATCTAGGGATTAGCTTCTCAAAAAATCAGGGAACTACAGGGTGATTCTCTGCTTATACGGGTTGACAACCAAAAATGGCAAAAAAACTGCAAATCGCAAACGAAGAATTGTGCCAAAAACAAATTCGTATGTATGGTAGAGTCCCCGAGAAATACAATCTAGCGTTTAGCTTTGCAAAAAATCGGGAGATTACAGTGTACGAGGGTGGTCCCAGAAGTACCCGGTTGTTTGAAAAATATCATTGTATTAGAAAGTATGCAACCTATAAAGCATATGTGTCAAGTTTGAAGACACCACGTTGTTTAGTATTTGTTTGGCAGCCATCAGTACTGAACGTTTTCAGTGAATTTGTGAAAATGGAGAAAATTGGTCATCGTTATGTGGTACAGTACTTTTATTTCAAAGGCCTCAGCCCAACCAATATAACAGCTGAACTGGATTCTACTCTGGGTGAGTCTGCTCCTTCGTTTACAACAGTAAAACATTGGGTAGCACAGTTTAAACAAGGCCGTATGAGCTGCCAAGACGAGCATCGCAGTGGTCGACCAAATGAGGTGACGACTCCAGAAATGGTGAAGAAAATTCACAAAGCGGTACTGAATGATCGTCGAGTGAAAGTGCGCGAGCTAGCAGACATAGTAGGCAAGTGCGGTTCATCGCATATTATCTGAAAATTTGGACATGAGAAAGCTTTGTGCAAGTTGGGTGCCGCGATTGCTCACAATCGAGCAAAAACAGTGTCGTGAAGATGTTTCAATTGAGTGTTTAGCGAAGTTTATCAGCAACAGAGCAGAATTTTTGCGTCGTTTCATAACCATGGATGAAACAATGGACTCAAAAGGGACAACCGGCTCCAAAGAAGGCGAAGACCGTTTTATCTGCAGGCAAGGTTATGGCGTCGGCTTTTTGGGATGCGCGTGGGATAATTTTCATTGTCTATCTTGAAAAAGGTAAAACTATCAACAGCGAGTATTATGTGAACTTATTGCAACGTTTGAGCGATGAAGTCAAGCAAAAACGGCCGCATTTGGTTAAGAGGAAAGTGTTGTTTCATCAAGACAATGCACCAGCTCACAAATCCGTTATTACAATGACCAAAACTAACGAATTAAAGTTTGAATTGCTACCTCATGCACTCTATTCACCAGATTTAGCCCCCTCGGATTATTCTGTTTCCAAGCTTGAAAAAATGGCTCAGTGTTCAAAGATTTTCCAAAGATGAAGAAGTGATGTCGGCAGTTAATGGCTATTTTGAGGAGCAAGACAGTTCCTATTATAAAAAGGGTATCGAACTTATTGAACATCGCTGGGAAAAGTGTATAGAGCTCAAAGGAGATCATGTTGAAAAATAAATACATTTTTTTACAAAAATGTTTTCTTCTCTACAACATACATGCCTTGTTTGCGAATTTTTATATAAACATGCCTGTATATTTGATTAATGAAAAATATCAAAAATATAAAGCATTTATTAATAAAAAATGTTAATAATGCATGTATTTTTGAATGAATTATAGAATTCAAAAACAGTTGATTACACGGAAAAACGTTCGAAACAAAAGTTAGAGAGAATCTTATTCTCTACAATATTCATAATAAATGCAAGCAGCATTAAACACATAAAAAGCGAGATTTTCGCAAAAAAATCAAACGATTTTTGTTACCTTTGATATGTTAAGACGGACACGAGACTTTCTGAGACTTTGAGACCACTTTTAGAATAACAAAATAAAGGTTTCTACGGGTTTACAGAGTATTTATTATTAGGATTCTGCAGCAAATAGTTACAATTTTTTGATAAGATGACTTTTCAATTACGTAAATTAGATTCAAATATCCGATAGTAAGAATAAGCTTTTATATAAATACACCGCAGTTTTTTTCTTAGATTTATAAAAAATGAGTTTCCAATTACTTACAGTGAAAATTTATACAAATCTTCCTTAACTCTATATACAATATTGGAGATAATGGTTTAGACACACATCAAATATCCCAGTCGCGAACGTTGCACGCTTCCTCATAAGAATATTTTTAGTCATATTCGAAAGTCTTCACTCTAAAATGTCCGAACACTTATCTCCAAGCTAAATTTCAAAATTATACGTCGCGCACAGCGCGAGTTCGTTACCACAAGCACGAAACGTCACATACCCAACAACACCACTCTGGAGGTTATACGACCTGAAGTTGATCTTTATCTTCAGCACAGATCCTATGACACTTTTAATACTTCAACAAGCAGATGACAGAAATGCATTTTAAATATATCAAAGTTCGCTAATACACGACTGCCTATCCCCAGCCTGTCATAAGATTTCAGTTCAAAAATAGGGTTCCTGGTATACTTTTGAGTGATTTCCCAAACAATAAATAGTAAAGCACTATTTGACAATCGTAAAGTGTATGGTCATTAATGGTACGGTAGCTGGAGGCTTCTACATGATAACATTTCCAATTTACTGTTGAAAGCAACATACGTTACTCTATCATCAAAATAGAATCTAACTATTTCTCTGTAAACCTAGATTTTATCTGCGTGCTTTTTACGTAAACACTGCAATCTGTCAGGCATCAGAAATTCACACTAAACCCTTTTCGAACCTCATCATTTACTCGATCGCCGTTCCTATTTGCCTATCGCTGCTTGCACAGGTATTTATGAAGAATGGGGAATGGCAGTCATGTTTCCTCCGCTATGCAGCGCTAGTGTGGTCTGAGATCGAACTGTCGATATGGAAAAGACAGATCTTATAGAATATATTCCTTAGACATGAAGGTCAATTCAACTAGCAACATCTACTCCTAGCTTTCCACATTACTTCCGTTTGAGAATCGCAATATGGTGATTGCTTTGACGTCGCATGAATGATATTTGAATACAGATTAGCTTCTACAGTTTTCAAATAGCCCGCACGCTGTGAGCGCCACCTTTGGAGAAATGGCGTAACGGTCGTTTTGCTGATATTTGCCTAAATTACTGCAACCCGCATTGCGCTTACGTGGTTTGTGGGTTGCGTGCCTGTAGGATAATATTTGAAGTTCACTTTTGGAACAAGATGTGATAGAGGAAATATGACTGATTACAATAATCGCATTTGGCCGATTGTCTATTTGATCATTGATTCCGATGCAATACACACAGCTAGTGCTAGCCACTACACTACACATTACCAATTTTGCGAAAATTGCAGTTTGACACAAGAAAGGAATTGTTGCTTTTGCGTAATAAATGTGCGGGGTAGATAGACCGCGTAATGGAACATGGGCTTATAACTGATTCGACAACAACTGATCATATAACCTCCACTCTATCATCTACTGAACACCATCACCCCCACTACTTGATCACCACTACTACGCGATCATCAGTTCCTGTTCAGGCGGTTGAGGCGATTGCTTCTGTGATTGGTCCTTGGGCTCATGCTGTTGCAGTTGGTGATGCTCCTCGCTAGATGTCGTCAGTTGGGAGGCGATCTCGAACTCTGACAGAATGCGGTAGCCCACGCCGCGCGGATCCATGTCCGTAACTGCCATCAAGGGTACGACTTGGGTTAGTACCAAACATACTGCTAGGAGTTAAGGCGGCGTGGAGAGATTTTTACACACGATATTTTCGAAAACCCTGTTTTTCACATGGTAGAGACCATCTAGTGCTTGGAATTTGAAATAGCTGAAGAGCTAAAATCTCATTTACAACGCGTGAGAAAACTAGTTTTACGATATGGGACCATCTGTGACAGTGTTCTCGTTCTTTAAAACGTAATACGTTTCAAGTCGTGCAGATAACATGACGTCACTTACACTTGCTTTCGATGTGTTTGGTATTCCCGTTTGTCTCACTCTTAGCGCTTTTGAAAATCGCTTGTCGACTTCAAAACGACTACTAAGCAGGTTGATGTTTTGCTTATCGCTGTCTGCGTTTTTATTTAAATCTAGATTGTTAGCTGTTGTTAATACGATGTTGTAGCTTTTGAATAAATTCCCAGTACCTAGTGACATACCAGTTTATTGGGGTTAATTCAATCGGAAATGTTGGAACCCCGGAGAGGGAATGATTTGAGGACGAAGACCTCTGTCATTTTTCGAGGTTTGTGGGAAAAAATGTAAAACCATAACGTCTAAGAAAACAAGAGTGCAAAATTTGCTGCTATATAACGCCCGTGATAAGTAATCGATCAAAACTAAGTAACAATAATCAAGTGCTTGTACTTTCAGGACTGACAAAAAATAGATGTAATAGTAATGAAAAACGGATACTTTCATTATAAAATAATTGATTCTGACAATAAACAAAATTAACCATATTCCAGTTAATGTAGCATACAGATGCTTATATGAATGTGACATAATTTTTCGAAATACTGTCTGCTACCAACTTGTGAAGACAAAAATTCTACTGTAACTCCCAGCTGGCCATCTCTCTCAACAGAGAATAAAGCACCGTTGCCAAGATGTACCACGCCGATTGAACTAAAAGCATTAGCACAGCAACGCGAATATCCAAACCACACGCTTTTGTCGTACGACATGTTTCGATAATAAGCGTTTATAAAACGTATTGCTTTCAAGCTAAAAAACAAGAATAATGGTCCTGATGCGGTTTCGCTTCACCCAATGTGCTAAAGTCTCGTTTTTAGCTTACAGGCTATGTGAACGAGCAGAATTGCCACTTCTGGGGATCAAAGCATCCACAAGTCATCGAAGAGTAACAAATGCATCCACGAGTGACTGTTTGGGCTATTTTACGTCGGAAATGAAGAAGATGCCGTTTCAGTGTTATGATAAACGAATTTTTGTATACAAAAGTAAATAGTTCAGCTGTTGCAAGCGAATCAAGCTTGGTAATCTGGTGCGCTGAATACGAATATAACCATATAAAAATGGTAAAGTATCGTGGGGCCGAGGGAGCTTCAGTAGCTCGGTTCGAATCTCGGCATCGGAAGTCAATTCCTTGCTATGGACGTTATATCACACACGTGGGTGCAATATTAACAGAAACATCTGATCGTTGAAGCTGGTTTATTATATCAGTTACCAGTAGGTGGCTTGTGGTATTGGTACTACGAGAGCGACAAAAAGAGTCAAAGGTGGCCAGCACTTTATTCATTTTTCTTGAAGATATTTACAATTTTATTCGTTTTAATGACAGCTTACGCTTATCTTCGAGTCGGTTAGTCTTAGTGGGCGTGCAGCTGACGTTTCCCGAAAATATTATGACCGCTAATCTCTCCACGATAGTAACATGCAGGGAATAGGGGAGCAACTACATTAAAGGACTGGGACGTCTAGCTACTATAATTTCTACAACTTATCTGTTATTATCAGAGAAAATTCCGTTTTCCTTAATAGCCAATTACAACACAACACACTGCACTATTTTTTTATAAAAACATCAAATCCCCAAAAAACAGGACGTCCGCTATCGCCTTTTTATACCGAACGCAACGAAAACTTGTTTATAGCCCATTTATTTTGAACGGTAATATCACACCGTTCTCGACGAACCATGCTGATTTAAGCTGCGTAGAATGTAAATAGCATCACTAAAATGGCGGCAATATTGCCACTTACACTCCAAACGATGATCGAGTTATCCTGAATGCATACTGAAAGACGGAACTTTGAAGGTGATATATTCGCTAAGAGTGCTGAAGTGAACAATAGAGTCGAAAACGTAAATTTAGAGTATAATTACTACTATACAAAAGAAACAACTTCTTATCCCAGTGTCTGTTAGGTGCTTTCAGTTTCTTCGGATAAATCAACAGGCGTTAAAAAATGTCTAACCAACGTTTCGTCGTTCATATCATGCCTTCCTCAGGACCACAAAAAATAGTGAAAGAAAAGAAAATTCAAAGTTGTAAATATAGCAATGAAGTGAGAAAAAAGTAAAAACAATCACTAAGAAAATACAAAAGCATATAAAAACAATAGAACAAACAAAAATGATATAAACGTGCGTACATATTAAAACAGTCTCGAACAAGTTGTAAATGTTTCCTTGTTTAACACTGAAGCAGTGGTGCAGGCAGAAGCCTGAATGCCTGCGCCTCACGGCTGCTATGTTATGAGGATCCCAAAGAAACTTTGCTAATAAGATTTTTGAACTGCCTAAGGTCAGTAGGAGTGGGAAAAGCCTCGTCTTGTATTCGTAGATTGACAGTCCGTCAAATATAGCGAATGAGCTTTAAGATATATTCAACAAATTTTAGCAACCAATAGCTGTGAAATATTGAAAACAAAATATTTTCAAAGTATGAGATAACAGCTTGTCATTGAAACATCACCAGTTTATTGAATATTAAGAAATTACATACAATTCAGCCAAATTTAAAAAAAAATGATTTTTAATAAAATTCATGTTTTTTTACTATTGTTGAATGTTTATTCATGTTTATATTATTTTCTTCAATTGATATGCGATTTTTCTGTTGAAACATCACCTACAGTGTGTTTTTCCCATAAACCTCTTGCAGATAACCATGAAACACCTACCAAAAATTTCATACATATTGCTCATTTCCAAACATACATTCATTCATTTACTTCCAGTTCATCCGTACCATTATGGCACCTTAGATTGATATCACACAAAACCATTCAGAAGTTTTGATATCCATACATCCATAAAGTTGAATATGTTTCGTTGTTCAGGAAGTGAACAAACATCCACACTATATTTTCAGCGATTGAGAAATGCCTGGGCAGTCGTCAAAAACAGTGAAAACATCCTATTGAATATAATAGCTAGAAAATCGACCTATTATTTTTTGCATTTTTATTGGTCCATTCAAATAAGTTCCCGTCTTTTATGAAATGATAGAAGTTTCCGCCAAATTGCGTTTCAATAAGCTATTCCTTAATTGGTCAAAGACCCCGTTGATTTTAACGTTGGTGAAATCGACCCTAAATATTTTTCACATTTTTGTAGCCATGAGGAGACTCAAAATAAACGTCGATACGTTGGCAATTTGATTAAAGACATTATTAACACCTGCTGATGTATCCAAAGAGACTGAAAGCACAGAATACTACTATAACGATTTTGTGCAATCTACGAATATAATTAAATTTATTCTTACCGCTATCCCAATCGTCCTCTTCATTGGTCGAATCCTCCGAACTGTCTGCCGAACTTTCGCTCGGCGTATCCTGCACAGCAGAATGTCTGTCGTAGCACGGGACGGTACAAACGATGTCCCGTCTGATTTTTTGCAACGCCACTGTCAACTGTAAACAACATCAACCATCAATCATGCAAAACTTCCTCAAATCTCTTTCGAGATGTATCTTTGTTATCCGCAATCTAAATAACAATGTTATCAAGTGTTCTCCTCACGAGCTAATATACATATTTCCACAGTAAGATGATGTATGCACTTATTAATGGGAGTCATTCCACTCACATGGCCATGGTCTTTGGGATACAAAGGCATATGTTTGGCTTAATGGCAAAATGTCATCTTCAGCGACGAATCGCGATTCTGTCTAGGTACGCGTGATATTGGATTTGCTGTTGAGAGGCATGTACATGGTTTGGCTGCATATGGTAGCCGATCACCCGTTCTCTTTATTCAAGGCAATATGACGTTGCACGTTATGTTGAAAATGAAATGAAATGAAAATGAAATGTTTATTATTCTTAGCCCTAAAGCTACTTCCTATAGTTTATAATAGTGTCTTACTCCAGTAATAAACAAAAAAACAGTAATTCTAGATTCCCTCAAAATCATAGTAACTGCAACCACAGTAAATGCAACAATAGCAAATGCGAGATAATGACATACAGTTATCTTAACACAGAAAGTACATATATTATGCCATTTTATCTACATACAATTGCTTAACCTTACGAATAAATATATTTACAGACGTCGCTTCTCTAATTTCTGTAGGTAATGCATTAAAAAGTCTCAAACCATCACTAAAAAGACATTTTTGCATATGGGATGTTCTAGCGAATTCTATGTCAAACGTGTTACGTGACCTGATATTATATGCATGCCTCTCGGACCTCGGTATTAGATATTCCTGCAAGTATTCAGGAAATAAATGATTTTTTGTTTTAAAAATAAATAAGACATTTGACATTTCAACCTTTTGCTGTATTGAAAGCCATCCGAGGGTTTTTAACATTAAATTAATAGGCGTATAACGTGTACAAAATAATATAGTGCGCATAGCCTTATTTTGTAGTAACTGGAGCCTTTGAATATCAGTTTTTTTTGCATGATAGCAACAATGAAAAACAATAATTAAAATGTGGATATATGATGGTATTATATACAAGAAGACGACTCCAGTGACTAAGACTTTCAGATATTCGCCTAAAAATCCAATTTTTTCCCAATTTTTTTACTAACATAATCAGCATGCAATGAAAATTTTAGCTGAGGATCTAAAACTACGCCCAAATACTTCATACTAGATGCACTTTCAATTTGAATATTATCTATCTCAATACAAAATTTCTTTTCTAAAAATGTATTACAGTTCTGCTTTGTCCCAAAAACCATGTATTTTGTTTTTTCTAAATTCAACTTAAGCCTATTCACACATAACCAGTTATACAGAATTTCCAGTATTGAGTTCATAGTATCTACAACTTGTCTAAAATCCTTACCGTACGCATAAAGCAATGTATCGTCTGCAAATAAGCTCAGAAATGTATTTACTAAAACCCTGTTCAAGTCATTTATATAAAGTAGGAACAAAAGCGGGCCCAACACACTACCCTGAGGTACCCCAATTTCACTATCAATTGAATTTGACGCCACGTTATTAATCTTCGTCACATGACAACGGTCTTTCAAGTAGTTCATAAACCATTTTTGTGCACTGTCTGTAATCCCATAGGTCTGCAATTTCTGGATCAGTCTTTTCCTATCAATAGTCTCAAATGCACGTTGAAGGTCGATGAATACACTTAACACAATATTCCCGTCCTGAATGTATGAACGCCATTTCGAACAGACATACTGCAGCGCCGACTCGCACGAGTGTTTTTCCCGAAATCCCGATTGTCCCTTAAACAACAGTTTTCTTGCCTCCAGAAACTCCCGTAACTGCGCACAACCCACGATTTCTAAGATTTTTTCTATCACTGGTAACAAGTTAATGGGTCGGTATTGTGCTGGTTTATTTGGTGAGGACACTTTTGGAATAGGCACTATAACACTAGTTTTTATTGCTTTTGGAACTTTTCCTGTTGTAAGGGATGCATTGATCAAGTGAAGCAAAGGGTATCCAAGTACACAAAAAGCCGTTTTCAAAAACTTAACATTACAAATATGTTGATGATGACCACTTTACTGCCGTATCTAGAGAGCCGTTCACACGTCCTTTTTCAGCAAGGAAACGCACGTACCCATATTGCTCGTCGTACCATGGACTTTCTTCAAGAAGCAGGCGTTACTGTTTTGCCGCGGATTTAAGTCCCATCGAACATGTGTGCGATATGATGGGGAGGAGACTATTAACTTTGTACCATCTGCCACAGCGAATTCACGAAGTTCGGGTTGTTTGGAATGAGGTGCCACAACCAGACATCGATCATCTCATGTTGTCAATGCCTAGACGCATACTGGAGTGTATCTAGCTGTGGGGTCGTCCGACACATTATTTTTTTTTTTTTCTTATTACTGGTCAATAAAAATTCGTGAGAATGTTATCGTTTCATTCTTGATGTAAGACTACCTCATTGCCATATCTCCAGACATCTCCGCCAGGCCCGGGAACTCATTGAAGGGCTCAGTGGACTCTTCTGCCTATCTCTGTATAGAGCTTGCTGGTGGGACTGTTGTCTGGCCATAACACGTTAAGGCGTCACCTGCACGTGATGGGGGTGGCTGAGGATCCCTTGTGCGAACGCTGCAGAGTAGAGGAAGAGACCTCGGCGCACGTTTTGTGTCGCTGTGAAGCTCTGAGCTACTATAGGCAGACTATTCTCAACTTCGCTAAAAGGGCGAGGCTTGTGATCTAAGGATTGTAGAGGTGCACATAAGGGCCCGCTTAAGCGGCCTTTGCACTGGCTCCTTATGGTGGCCGGAATGCCTCTAATTTCAAGATTCATTCACCTCGTTGCCAAAAAATCAAGTTGAAGAAATTATTTTTTCTGGGTGTAAAACTTCTAACGTCACTGAGCTAATATATTACTATCAATTTTTGTCTTAATTTCATTTATATCTTTGACTTATCAAAGTACTCGTATTGTGGTATTGTCAGCAAAAACTATGAATTTGCCATGTATGAGTATGCTTAAGTTCAATAAATCGATGATTTAGACTTCTTCGATCATATTCTTATAGGATTGGACCTAATTTTGATCTTTGATGTACCCCTGTGTTTATATTCAATTTATATGAAATATACTAAGTGACATATAAATCCGAACACCCAGTTTAAATGGTTTTATTTTAATAAAAGTTGGTGAATGTATTTATCTTACTGTAAATAACAAGTGAAAAAATGTTCAGCCTTATCAGTTGGACATTCCGGTTTTTATACTGCTTTTTTTTCAATTCACTAACGCTCTAAAAATGAATATTTCGGCCGCAGTAAAGAATCAACGTTGGCGGATTTTGGTTCTTGACATCCTTTACGATCGGTTACGATGCCTAGAGTACGGAGACCTGTACGATTTCGTCAACTTAGTGAGTTTGATAGGGGCCGTATAGTGGGACTTCGGGAAGCTGGACTTTCTTTTCGGGCAATTGCAGTTAGAGTGCAAAGAAGTATAGACACTGTGGTTAGGTGTTGTCAGGCATGGCTTGGAGAAGGCCGTACGCAAAGAGCAAGGGGCACTGGACGCCGCCGTAGAACAACAGACCGTGAAGATCGCCGCCTAAGATTATTGGCCTTAAGGTACCGTTTCTCCACTACCAGGTCCATTGCAAATGAATGGTTTGCAGAACACGGAAGACCTATTGGCATGCGAAGTGTTTACCGACGAATGAGAAGTTTTGGCTTTGTTTCATACCGGCCACACTGGGTCCTCCCTTTAACTCGAGAACACCGACGTAATCGCCTTGAGTGGTGCAGACAACGGTCACTCTGGGATCAGGAATGGAACAGTATTGTCTTTAGTGACGAGTCTCGATTTTGTTTAGGCATGCACGATGGTCGTGCCAGGGTTAGAAGGCGACGTGGTGAAAGGAGGAATCCACAGTTTTTTGTTGAAAGACATGTTCATCACACTGTTGGAGTTATGGTTTGGGGTGCTATAGCTTATGGTTCCAGGTCACCTTTAATCTTCATCAGAGGTAACATGGACGCGCAGCGTTATATCCACGAAGTTCTAGAACCCCATCTATCTTGACACCCTGGCAGATCCAACTTTCCAACAAGATAATGCCCGACCACATGTTGCAAGAGTCACAATAGACTTCTTTCAACATAATGATGTCACATTGTTACCATGGCCACCAAGATCTCCCGACTTATCCCCAATTGAGCACGTGTGGGATATGATGGGTAGGAGACTGTTCAATTTGCAACGTCCTCCTCAGACTCTAGAAGCACTTCGAGAGGAGTTGGTGGTTGCCTGGAATGAGATACCACAGGAGGACATTGACCACCTGATCAGAAGCATGCCTAGGCGCGTTGGAGAATGCGTAGCACATCAGGGTGCATCCACACATTATTAAAGGTCAAAGGGCTTTAAAGCAGTGCAATCATTTTGAAATTTTTATCATTTACTTATTATGCTTCATTAAGTACTTATACAAAATTTTATTAAAATAAAACCATTTAAACTGGGTGTTCGGATTTATATGTCACTTAGTATATAATGTCTCGATCATTTTACAATTTGGGATCGACTATTTAAATATGTTTTAAACCACTTGAGTGAAGTTCCAGCACAACCATATTTGTTTCATTTTTTAATAGTATATCATGATTTACACAATCAAGAGCTTTGAAAATGTCGATAAACAAAAATTTGTTGATAGCTTAAATTTGGGTATAACTGTTGGAGTAATGTCAAAATACCATCCATGGTATTATTTTTTTTGTTTGAAATCCAAATTGTGTTTTTATTATTTAAATTAAGTGTGGTAATACTGTATTTTTATTTTATTTTTTTCTTACACTCTTATTTGGTATCTATTATGGGTTTTCATGCTTGTTTTTCTGTTTATATACTCAACGATTTTTAACCATTCTTTTCTTCTTTGACGTGTGCAAAGCATACTTGTACTTAGCACCAATAAATTATTATCATTATTAGCGTGTTTCAACAGAAATCTAAACTAACCTTTTAAACCCCGTGCAAACGCACCCAGAAATAACTGAAAATTACACAACGCCATTTCATATCATGCGGTCCTATAAGAGCAAAGGTCCTACGAACTTCCCGGACAGACAATGACAAATAGGAATAGGAAATCGACATCTTACCTTGAAATCAGCGCTGAACACCTTGTTTTGCTTGTCCTTCTTGTTGACTATATCCAGCTCGTTCTTCTCCAACGTGAGAACAAAAGTGTCATCGCCGCCCACGCAACTGTCACTTGTCATTTCCGGTGTCCCCATCGTCGCCGGACATCCGTTCGCGTCCTTGCAGCTCACAGCCTCTTTCGCGAAAAACGTATTGAACCAGAACTGGAACAGCTTTTCCTTGCGCATCATCGATTTGTTGTAGAACTCGATCTTTATGTCGCCTGGAACAAACATCATATCTACAGAATCTTGTCCACCATTGCACGGGACAGCCTCAGCGTCAGTGTTAATGTGTGCAATCTTAAGCGTTTCTTGAACAGAACATTTAGTAAGAGTATGGTGTATCTGAAGTCACTTGAAATAGCATAAAAACCTTTGGTCAGCGCGTCCTTTGTAATTTCATGACGTATCATAGGCGTGCGGCATTTATTTAGAACGATAATAATAATGTTTTTATATCACAATGCATGGATTTTACTATCTTCTTATTTTTTTGATTTGGGATAAAAAATACTTATATTGGGAGTTTCATTTATGTTTACTGAAAGTTAAGAAATGGAAAAATTACAGAATTCCAACCTTTGACATAGGCAAATATTTACATAGCAGGTAGGTATATAAAGACTTACATTATAGGTATTTATATATCATCCTCGCCTTCGGAGCTGTCGCCAGAGTCATCTTGTAGAGGAATTACAAAGAGTCATCTTGTAGAGGAATTACAACGGGATTTACAGGAGGCAAAACACAATATTCATTTTCTTTTTCAATAATATGCCTAGAACACTGCTTCCATAGGTCTGTGGCAGCAATATGAGATACTGCATCTCTTATTGTGGCCAATAGCGATTCACTTAATTGAGGGGTCTGATTCTGTTTTCTTACTTTTTTTTTTTAAAGCAGCCCAGACCAACTCAATCGGGTTAAAAATGCAGTAATAGGGAGGTAGACGTAATACTTCATGGCCATTTTGCTGAAGCAGATTGTCAACAACATACTCTTTTTCAAATTTTTGTCTTTTAATAAGATCCAATAATATGGCTTTGGTTGATTTTTGTGGTATTTCCATTCCCTTATCCATCATAAAATCAATAATGTCTTGTTTTTTTGTGCCTGTATTCGGAATTTTGTTTTTCTGTCGGGAATGGTATGGCGCATTGTCCATAATAATCACTGAATTTGGGGAAATGTTTGGTATTAACTGCTGCTCTATCCACTTTTCAAATAAGTCGGAGGTCATGTCCTCATGATAGTCGGCACATGATTCTTTGATATTTTTGACAGATAACAGCAAGGCATTAGGTATAAATCCATTTTCACTACCAGCATGGAGAATAATGATTCGTTTTCCACGGTTGCATGGTGCATTTAAAATGCACTTGTTGCTGTCGTCAACCCAGCCGTACTGCACAACATCATGGGTATCATACCACGTTTCATCCAGGTAAATCAGATTTCTTTTCTGCTCTCTATAGATTTTAACTTTGTGCAAAAATTCTTGGCGCAATTCAACGATTCGAGACGACTCCATAATCACCATTCTTTTATCTAATTTTTTGTATTGAAAACCACACAGTTTTACAATACAGTGCAGTGAGTCTAAGCATTTGTAATTATAAAAATCTTCAGGATAATCTTTTAATTTATCCCGTATCATTTCCAACGTGGGCACCAAATTTTCTTTATAAAATCCGTATATTATACGACGAATATCTTCCTGAAAACCCACGTCTATTCTTTTTAATTTTTGCCCTATGCGCTTTCTGTGGAAGGAATGGTTGACTACATCTCCCCTTTTTATAACCCGATAAATGGTAGACCGACTGATTTTTGTCAGGATACAAATTCTGTTTAAAATTTGATTTTGCGAGGAATCTGGATTTTCGTTTTTCAGACAATCATACATATTTAGGATTACTTTTTGGGTCTGTTCCTCTAAATCTTTATGAAAAAATTCTGCCTGCACAGGTTCATCAACCATCTCCTCGTGGCTTGGAGCATTTTCCCAACGTCTCCAAAGAGCCATATTTAGGACACACAAGAACAATCAACACAACAATTAAATCAACAAGTAAACTGAGTATTCAAAAGTCAAAAACACACAAACTAATAAAATCTATGAAAAAACACGGACAGACTAAAGAAAACACGTTTATTCACCGCTACACGGCACTGGCTAAACTGTTTCAATTTTCAGTAGCGACCTGCACTTGTTCCGAGCTCTGAAATACACGCTTTCTCATTGGCTATGTCCACGCATAGGCGTGCTTTACTCCACGTGGACCGGTGAAACTGCCTTTGATCTCTTATACGCTCTTATATGCTGCGAAATTTGGCGATTTTTCTAGCAACAGAGCGTGTTAAATATAGATATATAAAACGCACCCGGTATTTCAGTGTTTCAAGTGACTTCAGATAAAGTATACATATGAAAGTGATCATTTCTGTTACTTTCTGTGTAAAGAGGGATGAGTAAGCGCGTCATGTATAGATAGTTTTTAGGCATTTTTTTTATAAAAGTATAGTATAAAAGAAACGATACAGTGCTATTTAAGAAGCATACAATTTGTCATTCATCCAAAATCTCTAAATATGTTCGCATATACAGGGTGTTTCAGTTTATTGTTGCATAACTTTAAGATTCGATAGAACTTTTAAAATTAATGCATAAAGTCTATATAAACATGGGTCGAAAAATGCGTGGCTTCCGAAATACAGGGTGTTTAAATTTACTTTCTAAAATAGTTTTTTTTTTAAATATTTGATGTATAACAGTGAAAATTGGTATACAAGGGTTTTTTGGTACGACAAAACGAATCATGGGCATAGTTTTACTGTAGCCGCTGCTGGGCGCTCTCTACTGCACCTGTAGTGTATTAAAATGACCGAAAAAATTTTCTTAGTGCAATTTTTTGCTTTTTGAATAAAAAAACTGATTCTTCGCACTTTTCTGCATAAAAAAGCTCTCCTGTGAGTTTTCATTATAGTTAGCCGTTTTTTTGAGATATTTCGATTTTTAAGGTTCGATGCATTTTTAATTATTTATGATAAAATAACGTTAAAAAGTCAGTATCTCTATAATTTTTAGAAGTAGGCTGTGCCTGCAAATATTTTTGAAATTGAAAGCAGAATAAGGTTAAACGTCAATTAGTTGACAGTTAGTTTTGTTGTCTGTTGAAACCTGAAAGGTTTTTTTGCAATTGTGAATGCACGAAATTTAGTTTCTTTTAACTGTATTTTTTTTTTGTTAAGTTTTATAAAAATGCCATTTTCATTCTCCAATCAAGAGTTAGCGGATTTTCATTTTGTGTATGGCTTTGTAAATGGAAACGCAGCAGAAGCAGCCAGAGAATACGCACGAATATTTCCAAACAGACGACATCCAACTCGCTCAGTATTTGTAAGAGTGCAACGCCAAATAATTGAAAATGGTTTTGGAAATCTCCAAAGGGATCAAAACATAAATGTTCGTCAGCGCAGATTCACCCGTATGATTCTGCGTGAGTTTGATTGACATCCGACCACAAGTGTTAGGAGAGTGTCTGGTGCCTTGGGAATTTCAGCAAGCCATGTTCACCGTGTTCTTAGAAATGACCATAGACGTCCTTACCATTTGCAACCTGTGCAAGGACTACAGCCAGGGGACGGAGAACGACGAATCACATTTTGTCAGTGGATTCTTGATAGAACTGATAATAATAGGGTGTTTTTAAGTAACGTTTTATGGACCGATGAGTCATTCTTCACTAGACGTGGAGTGGTAAATTTTCATAATCAACATATTTGGTCGCATGAAAATCCGCATGCAGTTCGGGAAAGAAATTTTCAGCATGAATTTAGTGTGAACGTGTGGATTCGTATCTACCGTAATCGACTATTTGGACCCTATTTGGAAGTTTTAAAGGCTGAACATGCAAATATGTGGGATGATGTTATGTTAGATTTAAGAAGATTGGCCTGGTTCCAGCTTGATGGTTGTCCAGCTCATTATTCGAGAATAGTTAGAAACTGGCTGAACGAAAATTATCCAGAAAGATGGATCGGCCGTGGAGGACCAGTCGCCTGGCCTCCACGATCCCCTGACCTAAGTCCATTAGATTTCTTTGTGTGGGGATTTCTAAAAGAAAAAGTGTACCAGACTCCCGTAACCACAAGAGATATGCTAATAGACAGAATCCGGAATGCATGTGATGAAATAAGGCCTTATTTGAATAATGCTATACCACGTTCGATCATTCGTAGATGTGAATTGTGTATTGAACAATTGGGTTTACATTTCGAGCAACTACTTAGATTTTGTATGTTTGTCCTAACTATCCAATAACATTTTAGTTGTAAATAATTAATTTAATTTGTTAAAAATAATTTTGGAAAATTAAACAAATTAATATTGTTTGTGTTTATTTGGAGTTAGGAATTATTGCTGTGTTTAAAAACACAATCTAAACGATCATCTTAATTACTTGTAATGTCCAAATCGAAAATGTAAAAAAAAAATATTATTTTAAAAGTCGAAATATCTCAAAAACGGCTAACTATAATGAAAACTCACAGGAGAGCTTTTTTATGCAGAAAAGTGCGAAGAATCAGTTTTTTTATTCAAAAAGCAAAAAATTGCACTAAGAAAAAATTTTCGGTCATTTTAATACACTACAGGTACAGTAGAGAGCGCCCTCTAGCGGCTACAGTAAAACTATGCCCATGGTTCGTTTTGTCGTACCAAAAAACCCTTGTATGCCAATTTTCACTGTTATACATCAAATATTGTTCGAAATATTTAAAAAAAAACCAATTTTAAAAAGTAAATTTAAACACCCTGCATTTCGGAAGCCACGCATTTTTCGACCCATGTTTATATAGACTTTATGCATTAATTTTAAAAGTTCTATCGAATCTTAAAGTTATGCAACAATAAACTGAAACACCCTGTAGAAACGATATACATATAACATGTTGCATTGCTTAAGGGGAGACTATCTAGATATCTAGAAACCATGTCAAATTCACCGACGCAATTTATGGTTAGATAAAATTTGAATTGTAAGCATACATTTATCTTTTGTAACTAAATTAATTCGTGCAATATTCCGCGTATGGCCATAAAAGTTAAATACGATGGAAGTACATATATGGTTTTGACAATAGCCTCTGTTTTCACAAAGCGGAGAGCACCCTTAAAAAGTATGGTTTATAACTTTTGTTCTGGGGAAAATTAGGTAATGAATAAAATCTGCGATGCCAAATCCGGCTATGCCTCGAACAGAACCGTTTTTTATACCTCATGTAGATTACACGACAATCTCGATACTCTAGGAACAAGGGAGCGGTCGTATCGGCCAGTTCTGGATATACAAAATTTGAGTTTTTGAATCGAACTTCGACGACACCAAACAAGCAACATGGGACAGGCCAGTACATCTGATCAAATAAATAGTGAGCATTTTCCATTTTTTACTTTTTGCAGGTGTTTTACCGATTATTAGTGTTGTTATTTCAAAGTAGCTGCTTTCGATATCCATCAGTTGTTTCCACGAAGTGGCCTACCTGTCAATGGAAGGCAATAATCTAGCTTGATGCTGAAGGAATGCTGATCGCTCCGTTTCACCTCGTACATATCGTTTTTCCTTAGTTTCTTGCATTTCTGCGTCATCTTCTCGCCTTCCTGCAATAGCGTCTGATGGCTTATGGTGAACGAGAGGCAGCTCTGACCGCCGGCGAAATGGGGCACAGGCGCAAAGACAAACTCCTTTATGTACATGGACACCGGCTGGTAGGCGAGGTTCTTACGGAGGAGCATCTCGTAGTAGCGGACGTACCGCACCTGGAACAAACAAGCGGTTGGCTTAAGCTGCCCGTCCACTGAGGCGAAGCGATGCGAAGAAAATTCGGCATTGGCACGTCATACTTCCCAACTAGCATTTTCTTAAAATGAGCTACCATCCAAGAAAAAGTTGGATATGTTTGTCAAATTTTAGTAATCATATCGTTGAATGATGCGCTCAAGAGTTTAATTGGCTTGAAAGTTGAATACTTCGACAAAAATTGGTAGATATGTGCCAAATTAGGGCCCTAATGCCCAATGTTAGGTTCGTTTTTGGGTATATTGGTAAGTGAAAATTATCTTATTAGTGACCAATAAAAATTCCGTCTAAGTTTACAACATAGATTGGTGAAAAACCAGTCAATATGTCTACTAAATATGGCTATTATGACCGAAGAAAATTATGCCAAAACGTGCAATGGACTCAAAATTCGCGTTATATACAATTTTTAGTGGCTACAGATCCAGGTACTTACTTAGTAGTCTAATGCACGCGTTGTTTAACTTTTTTTACAGATATTCTATATGTTTAACCCAGGAAAGTGCATGGTCAATATAAACTCATAAGAATTTCCGACAGTCTGTCTGCGGACTTCTACTCTTTCGGCGAATATGACAGATACTTTGGATTTTTCCGATTTACTGTTGAATATTTCAGAGAGATTAAGTTTTACAAATATTTCTGTAATTGTTTTCCTTCCACGGATTCGTCAGCTTACGAGCCAAATATTCCAAAAGCGGGATAGTGGTTTTGTTCAAAATTTAGAGTAATGTTTTAACCCCACTCAAGATTCATATGATCGGTTATTCCTATAAAGTTATATCTGACGGAAATTATAATACAATGATTATATTTCTCATAAAGCCTCATGTAAATGTTATACAGGGAAAATCAAATTTGCCTGACGGCATGAGTTCAACGTGTACGAGAGAGAAGCGCGAAAATTGTGTATCAACACATGTTAGAAAGAGATAGACGCCGGCGGAAGAACGAAGGTCATCGCCACATTGTCTTATGGCCTTGTATGATGGTAAACATCACGGTTCCCTTATTTTACCACTTAAGGCTATAGAAAATGCATCTCTTATTAAGGTGTCATATCAATAGCTTTACTGTAGCCAAAAAAAGGTCAAAATTAATTGGAAAAAGTTTTGGTGTAAATTTGTTCGTCTTTTGCTGAAATGCGACTTAGGATTTTTTTTACCTGACTAGGAATCGTGACCCCCTTCTTATCCTGCGTCCGAGTTTGGCCGTAATAGTTCAATGCTTGGTCAGCGCTGTCAAACTTCCCGCTATGCAACAAGTAACAGCATATCATCGTGCCAGTACGTCCTTTACCTGCTTTGCAATGCACCGCAGCAACCTGGATATAAATAAAATAATATTTGGTAATATAGGATGAATGAGAGAACTAGAGGCTTTCTAAACACTTAAGGGACCGTTCTCACCAAAAGCATTCGCCCCATGAATTCGACCAGTTGTTCAACGGTTACTGCTACTTCGGTCGCTAGTCATTTAGCGGCTCACCAGTTCATGAAAGATGTCAACTGTGAATGTCATTTTAGACAACTTGCCGATAACATCCTCAAAAAGTAATTGATAATCGGATAAAAATAAGTCTCCATCTAGTTTTAGTTTTCTTTGAAGTGACTCGAAGCAACAAAATTGAAAACAATCCAGGAGACGTACCGTTAATACATGATGCTTCAAACAGCAGTGTACCGAATGTGAATTTTTAGGTATTCGCGAACGCAAACCCGAATATCTACTGCCAATATTCAGTTTTCTTCTATATACGACACACCAAAACATACTTCAAGAGAGATATATGCAAAGCTTTTATTTGTGAAGTTTCCCTCTAGTTCAGCTATAAGGAAAAAGCAATTAAGTGTCTAGTTTGTATTTTTTCCACAAAAGGTTTAAGCAAAAAATTGTTTTTATTTTCATTTTTAATTTATGAAATATTTAAGTCTAATTCAAGATGGGTAAAAGTAAAAAAGAATATGTTTTTGTTTGATCTTCCATAGTTATAGCTACATCGTTTTTCACACAATCTCTCTTCAGTTTGTTGCACTTTCTTTTTACCAACACTCAGTCTAAATAACCACACAGCTGTGTGAGATATCTCATCACTTGCAGTGTTTAGGTTAAGTTTATTTTGTTTACATGCAAAATCCACCGAGCTCAAATTGTGAGATTGTTAACCTTGCTCACAATTATATTTTTGCTGCGATCGATGTTATCAAACTGCAAAAATACTCAGTCAATGTAGCTGCATGATAAATTAAAACGGATTATCTAGTATTATTTATTATAGTATTGACAAACGACACATGATTCTGATGGATCTGATCTGTCAACGCCAGATAGACACAGCCGTATTTTGTTTTGGTTTTTTCTGTGCTGCCGATTCATTTTGTTTTGCTAACAACTATTTCATTTCGAAAAGATCATTTGCACCCAGAAAAAAAAACGCTACAAATAAGTTTTACTAGATTCACACCCAATTAATTATTGCCAACGTTTCAGTCTAACATGTCACTTGCTGATCAGCTGTTCACCTCAGTAGACATCAAAACATGATGGGTACTCGTGAAATAACTTTTATGTGATTTTTTAGGTTATGTTGACACAGCCTCATCTCTAAACCCTATTTCACGAGTATCCATCACGCTTTGACGTCTACTGAGGTGAACAGCTCATCAGCAAGTGACATTTTTGTGTTAGTCTGCAAGGTTGGCAATAATGGATCGGGTATAAATCTAGTAAAACTTGTTTGTGGCGTTTTGTTTTTTGTATGCAAATGAACTTTTCTAAATAAAAGAGCTGTTAGCAAGTACAAACTGAATCTGTAGCGTACAAAAAACCAAATCAAAATTTCGCTCTGTCTACCTGGCGTTGACGGATCAGAATTATGTGTCCTATGCTGATATGGTGAATTTTGAGGTATTACTAGATAATCAGCTATCATTCTGAGGTGATGGCTAGTCGTGAAATAGGGTATATTTGGACTTATGTTTTCTAAGGAAAATAATAATAAATATCTTATTGTTTAAAACATCAAGAAAAAATATTTTGTAAAGAATAAGGTTTTGTATGTCTATTACAACATGCTTTCATAGCAAAAAAATAAATTACTATTTCTTTTTTATTTAACTACCCAATACTATTTTCATATTATCTTTTTGTAATAATTCATATTTTCAAAAGTTCGCGAATATCAAGAAACATGCGAATATTCGTTACATCACTAGCTTCAAGTAGCAGAAAAAAGATCAGTAAAAATGAGTAGCATGAGAAAAATAAGTTCATGAACAGTATATTTATATTACATCTGATTAGCAAATATATGCTCAATGGCTTTATCCACATCCTCAAAACGAGACTTCAGTTGCTAGGTGGTTGCTCGAGTATGAAAGTAATGCAACTGAAAGTCGAAATCAAGTTGCAGTTGTGTTGCTTTTGGTGAGAACAGGCCCAGTTCTAAATAATAATAATAAATCTAAATACCTATATCTAACAAAAAAAAACAGTAAAATAGTAAAAATAAGATTTAAAAAAATCAAAAAAGTTTACAGAATAACAAACTTACATTTTTCTCATCTTTTGCCAGCCATTCTTTGACATCATTGCAGAAAGGTTGAATCGAATCGATCTTAGGCGGATTGTGGTCGTCAAAAGGGAACACCTTCACCCTATTGTGGAACTTGGCCTTATCGTAACTACGCTCCGAGCACAGGTTGTAGATGAAGTAATGATCCGGATGCTTCTTGTCGAGAAACTTCACCACGTCGTCGATATGGTTGCGGTAAACGCCCTCTATGTTCGATGCTGGATAACCCATCGCTATTATGTTGTCAGTAATATCTAAACAGAGCAGTGAAGGAAAACTTATATGTCTATATGTGAGAATATTTAACATATTTAGGCCACAACTATCATAAGATACCTTACCTTCAAATATAAGGAAAAATAGAGTATCACTATTAAAAAAGGATTCATAGTAATTATTGGATAGTTATTTATTTCCTATTAACAAAAAACATTTTATACGAAAAGTCACACATTTTCAGCTTGAAGCTATACTAAGTGACATATAAATCCGAACACCCAGGTTAAATGGTTTTATTTTAATAAAATTTTGTATAAGTACTTAATGAAGCATAATAAGTAAATGATAAAAATTTCAAAATGATTGCACTGCTTTAAAGCCCTTTGACCTTTAATAATGTGTGGATGCACCCTGATGTGCTACGCATTCTCCAACGTGCCTAGACATGCTTCTGATCAGGTGGTCAATGTCCTCCTGTGGTATCTCATTCCAGGCAACCACCAACTCCTCTCGAAGTGCTTCTAGAGTCTGAGGAGGACGTTGCAAATTGAGCAATCTCCTACCCATCATATCCCACACGTGCTCAATTGGGGATAAGTCGGGAGATCTTCGTGGCCATGGTAACAATGTGACATCATTATGTTGAAAGAAGTCTATTGTGACTCTTGCAACATGAGGTCGGGCATTATCTTGTTGGAAAGTTGGATCTGCCAGGGTGTCAAGATAGGGTAAAAGATGGGGTCTAGAACTTCGTGGATATAACGCTGCGCGTTCATGTTACCTCTGATGAAGATTAAAGGTGACCTGGAACCATAAGCTATAGCAACCCAAACCATAACTCCAACAGTGTGATGAACATGTCTTTCAACAAAAAACTGTGGATTCCTCCTTTCACCACGTCGCCTTCTAACCCTGGCACGACCATCGTGCATGCCTAAAAAAATCGAGACTCGTCACTAAAGACAATGCTGTTCCATTCCTGATCCCAGAGTGACCGTTGTCTGCACCACTCAAGGCGATTACGTCGGTGTTCTCGAGTTAAAGGGAGGACCCAGTGTGGCCGGTATGAAAACAAGCCAAAACTTCTCATTCGTCGGTAAACACTTGGCATGCCAATAGGTCTTCCGTGTTCTGCATTTGCAATGGACCTGGTAGTGGAGAAACGATCCCTTAAGGCCAATAATCTTAGGCGGCGATCTTCACGGTCTGTTGTTCTACGGCGGCGTCCAGTGCCCCTTGCTCTTTGCGTACGGCATTCTCGAAGCCATGCCTGACAACACCTAACCACAGTGTCTACACTTCTTTGCACTCTAACTGCAATTGCCCGAAAAGAAAGTCCAGCTTCCCGAAGTCCCACTATACGGCCCCTATCAAACTCACTAAGTTGACGAAATCGTACAGGTCTCCGTACTCTAGGCATCGTAACCGATCGTAAAGGATGTCAAGAACCAAAATCCGCCAACGTTGATTCTTTACTGCGGCTGAAATATTCATTTTTAGAGCGTTAGTGAATTAAAAAAAAGCAGTATAAAAACCGGAATATCCAACTGATAAGGCTGAAAAGTTTTTCACTTGTTATTTACAGTAAGATAAATACATTCACCAACTTTTATTAAAATAAAACCATTTAAACTGGGTGTTCGTATTTATATGTCACTTAGTGTATCTAACAGTAAAAATATCATTCAATGTATAACAACATTATTCCACACTAAAGCTATTTTCAATTAAATTGTTAACTAGTAACGAAGATTAAGAGATTCTTAAATGTCTGTAGTTCTTTATTTCCAGTTACACAAACTATAATTTATAAATACTGTGAAACTATACATCTATTATTGAGCAACTATCACCTTTTCCACATTACTAATTCACAAGGCAAAATGTCTGTATTATATATATAGTCACAATTTACTTAATTCTTTCTTAGTCTCACAGACAATGTATTGATACTATTATGTACAAAGTATTGCTACTATTATGTTCAGTTACAAGACGCAATTATATGAAATATGGCAACCCGAACTTTGACGCAATCAGCAAATGGTGATATAAAGGATACATGTAAGGTCAAGGTTGAATCCATCCTTCTTATATCTGTTCCTACGCTTGCTGACCAGCCCTTTGATAGGGTTGGTGATGTTCATGCTCGTGAACGAGTTTCCTAACCCCTCCTCCTCCTCATCTACGATGCCTCCCTCTACTCGTAACCCAGTTCCGTCTGCAGTTTTGTGGTTGTTAGCGCGTTGTAGTTCACGCCGCCGCCGCTTCTGCCGTATCCTGTCACTGCTGCCGTCACAGCACATGCATGCCCCCTCAGGGGCTACGTACACTGGCAAGATTGTGCACTGGTTGGAATCGCTGCATAGCTTTTTACCTACAAGAAAACATACTCTTAGTCTGCGATGCCATCAAATGTTCAGAAGAGACCTTATTGAAGAATGCATTTTTTTTCTTATAAAAATATGTTAAGATTTGACAGACAAAATTGACAATATACCCAGATACTCTTACTGTTATAACATTAAACTCATCTGTTTTTTGAGATATAATAATGAAATAAACATGCAGATACATTAAATCTAAATATGAAAGAGAAAGTTTGAATGCAGAAGACCATTTTTGAAAATTGCTTTTTTTTTAAATACATAATTTTATACAGAAAATTGAGGGAAAATTGCCATGTTTAATAGATATATCAAAAAAACCTGTCTGTATTAGCAGCTTCTATTTTCATATTTTCTAATATCTTGTTTATATTTCAATAATAAGATGTGATGAAATTATATTTCATATGCCCGAACATCTTGTATGTTCGAAAACTAAATAATGCATCTACATTCAAAATAAATACAATTTTCTCTTACAAAATGAATGTTTTTAATGCAAATTTAATTTATTGAGCAAAATTGGGGATAAGTACTAGCCACTTCAGTTGGCCCAACTATTGAAATCTTTATTTTTTTCTTATCAAACACAGATAAAAATGTAGCAGGGTGTTATAGGTTTAAAATATTAACAATAAATATTTTGATATATAGTAGAAAACACCAACTTTATCACTCTCTAATCAAATTTGCAGCATAAAAATAACACATGTTGCAATTACAGCATATCAACCTATTTTCATTTCAATGCAAAATAAGTCTATAACGCATAGGTGACTGTGAAAAATAAAAGCCATGACAATTGTTTTTATTAATCACAGCTGTCAGAATACATTTAAAATAGTTTTGGGTAGTTAAGGTTTTCAAAATGGGTAGAGGAAAGGTCATTAGTGAGAAAATTCGGTTACTGATAATTAAATTTTTTAATTCTGGGAAATCAAATTCAGAAATTTCAACTTTCTTAGACTTATCGCGGTACAGTGTGAGAAGTATTGTTAGAAGATATAACGTAACTGGTTCAGTTAATATTAATCAGTTAATATTAAGCCACGATATGTGAAAAAAAGTAATATCACAAATGCCGACCAAAGAGCATTCATTAAGAAGAATAATCGTGAAAAAAGAGTTATTCGCAAAAAAAGGAGGAATCCATGTTGACTGTCTGAAGAGAAAAGTGAAATTTCCAGCATCCATTAATTTCTGGGGCAGTATGTCATCAAAAGGAGTAGGAAAACTTCATTTTATTGTTGAAAATGTGGATACAAACAAATATTTGGCAATTTTAGAAGAAACGCTTTTACCAGTGATGGAAGAATGTTTGACATCCGGCCAAGATTTTGTGTTTCAGCAAGATGGTGCAGCGTGCCATACCTCAAAAAAGGCTATAAATTGGATGGAAGAAAATAATGTACCACTTTTGAAATGGGTTTCTAGCTGTCCAGATCTGTCACCTATTGAAACTTTGTGGCATGAGATGAAAAAGGTTCTACGACAACATCCAGCTCATACAATCACCAAACTGAGACAAAGAAATATGGGATTGTTTTACACCAAATTTTTGGCAAAACTTGGTTAACACTATGCCCCAAAGAATTTCAGCCGTAGTAAAAAATAAAGGTGATGTTACCCACTGGTAATCTTTCTGCCTTGTTAACTTCGTGCAGCTTTCAAATATGTATTTTTTACGACTAGAGTGTATCTAAAATGTTTTTGAGAAAATAAATTGTTTTGGAAGTAAATAGTTTCGTCATGTTTAGTTTATGAAGGCATATTTTGGTACAAATCTTGAAGTGGGCCAACTGAAGTGGGAAGGGGCTCGTATTATCAATAATCTTCAAGTGCTTCTAACCATGTTATTTTGGATCATACAACATCATGTACTAACCAATATGATGCATAATTACTAGATTACTACATACTCTAATACAAGAATCTTGTACATACTCTGAAAGAGTAGCGCATACTGTAAAAGTCTGTATACCTATGCCATGAGATAGAAACTGTATTTCTTCTATTGGATAACACATAATTTTATATTATGCAAAAACATGTGGATAGCTTGATTTTGTTAAGAGATTACTTAGATTGGAGCCTTTGAATGCAACTACTTAGATAAAATAATAACAAAAAGCTAGTAAAAAGTGATGCTACAAATTTTACATTCAATAGCATAGCAGAGAGTAAAGAAAGCATGAGAAAAATAATACCACCCAAATGCTATTTAAAGTTCTTATTGTCATTGCTTTATTTGCTTTTTTACATGAATTCACAAAGTATACATTAGCTATTTATTTTCTAATGATACACGTGTTGTTTTTGGATGGTTACTAAAATCAGATTTAACTGAATGAGAAACCAAGAGTGTAATAATAAAGCTACAATAAAAAGGCATACCAGTTATTCAAAATTTGGAACACTTTTGTGATCACTGAATTCAAATGTGTGAAGAGCATGTAATAAAGAATTTTAATATCTACATGGTTTGTAGCAGGATAAAATCTTTTAAAACAGTATCACACCATGCTCTATAGAACAAAGAAAAAATATTGATCTGGAGGGTATGATGCTATATGACCACATTTATTCATGGATGTTGATAGTAGTGTAAAAATTATTTTGTAAGTTATTATGCGATACAGGTATATATAACTATGTGAAATATAGTTTCTGATAGGGATTGTTGGTAGCATTAACTTACCTTTACATTCACTTTTTGACTTCCTGCAACTGATGCAGAGACCCATATACCTGGTTCTCGAACTTCGTTAACACTGATATTGTTAATATCCAGTCCATCACACATTGATACTAGCAACATTGAATATGAAGCACCTTTATTGTTTGTCGCAATGCAAATCAACGGAAAACATTAATAACCTCATTCAAAGTGTAATATTGGCACAAATATTTCACACCCATCAGCTTCACTCGAATACGCGATAAGAATATCTTGGATATTAGGAAAATCTGTATTTACTATTTTAGTAGCACATATTCTACGACTATCAAAACCCACAAAAAAATTATACATTATCGGTCACACAAATCGGCGATGAGGGAATTTCGCTGAAAATAGTACACATTTAATCGGAATTTACTTGAAATGAATGAGCGTACTGTCAACTTATTATGATTCTTTGTCTTTTTTCGCTTTTTTAGGATGGAGATTGAAGAACACTTGGATAAAATAAAAGACATATAAATGAGACATGAGAGATGAGGATCACAAAACAACCTATAGGAGAAGAAAGATAGAGAGGCGAGTAACGGCAGATGAACCATAGAACAAAAGAAAATGAAAAGTGACAAAATAACAATTGTCATATCGGATTGATCAATCAACAAAGGATTAGCTGGTCACATGATTTCTAATTATGACGTCACCAGAATCTTGTTTTGTGTAGAGATGGGAGGTTCGATTCTTTTTCTATATAGATGTGGCATAAGAGTGGATCTTGCGTAAATCGATCGATTTCAGATAGAAATGAAGGGGGGGGGGCAATTCTAGCTAAAAGGAATAATGCTTGAGCGTCAAATACGGGAAAATGAATAATTGCTATAATCTTCAAAGACATTTGAATCGTATTTCTGCTATACTACAACTATTTAAAACTGTAATGACTCATACGCGTGATCAACACGTGATCAGAGCTCGATCCCGGCTTCCTTCCAGTACAGCCGTATAGCGTACGACATATGTCGTTTCTCTGGCTTTGCGGTGGTCAACAGCACAGACAGAGATGGAAATAATGGCCGGTAGAACCAATGAAATCAAAGACGCGCCTCGACCGGCAGACTCATAGGCGTCGGCAACGCATTGGAACGTGTTTCGTTGAGCGATCGCATATTGTGTGTTTTTATAAGAATTGTGTGATTGTTATTGTTGTGGTTTCTGTGGTTACTGTTTTGGTTATACTTAACCATGGAGAGTACAAATGGCACGAGTGGAAGTACTGAAAGCCAGGGAACAAGTAGACGGCTTCGTAAAGCACTGAAGAGGGACGCGAAAGAAATCGTGCTCAACGTGTTCAATTATCTGAACAGAACTATGTCGCAGGGAGATGCACTCGCGCGTTGTGAAAGTATGACAGGCGTTCCAGAGTGGACCATTCGCAGGGTGGTGCATGAAAAGAAGAAAACTGGAGCTACTACTGATCCAAAGTTTAATTTGAAGCGACGAAAGGCAGTTAAATTGGATGACGATAGCAAAATGGCGTTAAGGCGAACCGTACATTCATTCTTCTTTAGGAATGAGATACCAACCCTCAAGGCTGTACATGCAGCGATCAAGAAAATGAAATTATACCCCAAATGAGCGTCGAGGTAATGAGGAAATCCCTGCACGAAATTAATTTTCGTTACGAAACGCGTAATTGGAAGTCAGTATTGATAGAGAGACCTGAAATAGTCGCCTGGCGTCGAAAATACCTACGCGAAATGATTGAATATAGGCGACAAAGCAGAAAAATCTATTATTTGGACGAGACATGGGTAAATGCAGGTCACACAGTTAAAAAAACCTGGATAGACAAAAACGTAGTGAGTAACCGACAAGCAAGCATTGAAGGTTTGTCATCAGGTCTTCGTGGACCGTCAGGGAAATGTCAAAGATTGATCGTAACTCATATTGGTAGCGATAGTGGCTTTTTAGAAGATTGTGACTTGATTTTCGTCTCTAAGAAAGGAGGTGATCACCATGACGAAATGAATGCCAGCTGCTTCGAGAGCTGGTTTCAAGTGGTGCTTCAGCGAGTTGAGCCCAACTCTGTGATCGTCATGGATAATGCTTCCTACCACAGTCGTCTAGCCGAACGTGTACCGACTATGGGATCTTGAAAAAGTGACATGCAGCAATGGTTGCGCGAAAAAGGAATCCCGTTTGTCGATTCATGTGTGAAAGCGGAATTGTATGAAAAAATTAAACAGCACAAACCTGCGAACATTAGTTACGTGACTGATGAGATGGCCCGTCAATGTGGTGTCACTGTACTGCGGTTACCGCCCTACCACTGTGAACTGAACCCAATAGAGCTCATCTGGGCTCGAGTGAAGGGTTATATTGCGCGCCATAACACAACCTTCAAATTACCAGACGTTAAGGTTTTACTTGAGACTTCCATACAGCTAGTAACGCCCGAAGCTTGGCAGAATGCTATCCGTCATGTTGTGAAGGAAGAAACAAAAATGTGGCAGCTTGACCACCACATCGACACCATCATAGAGCCAGTTATAGTCAATTTCAACGAGGAAAGCGATAGCGACAGTTTATTACTGTCAGATGTAAGTGGAAGCGACGATGAATAAAGGTAATTCCCAAATTTTTGACTTACAATATGTTTCAAACCACCCTTTATTAAGCATGTGACAAATCTAGTTCACCCATGTTAAACATTCATACCCCGCCTATGAACAGCCGACTACTGGTAGTTAAGTGATGTTCACGTGAACATCGATGAGTCATTACAGTTTTAGATAGTTATAGTATAGTAGTTATTAATATCTGCTTTAACATGGATAAAATCACCAAACATGTACTACATAATATATTTTATTCAGATCACACATTATTGCATCATCTCTTTACAATCAATTTTGTATATGTATGTTTTAAACAACTATGTTATAATTAATAATATAGATTAAAATTTGGAGATCAAATCTACGATGTATAGTTAGTTCAGTTTAAAGCTAAAAAAAGTACTTCATTTTCTTATACATAATACTTAATGTGGAGAGCAGTACGGTTTATCTAGGAGTTTTATACATATACCTATTATGTTGTTCACTTTCTCTGATATGCAGGCCATACACATCTGTATTCAGCAAATAAGGAGAAAATATTCATCAAAAATTGAGTACAGTGTATGATTGTTACACAAACAGACGCCAAATATTCGGTGTAAACGCTGCGCATACACAAATACGCGTGGCACTGTTAGCATTAAATGGATCAAATTATGTCATCCACTGCTAGTATCAGATACTGACGTGTGTGGCTGGCATTACATAGTATGAGTATGATATTAACTGAGACATGAATCCTTGTATCTATTTCTTAATAAAAAATATGACCAATGTGCGTCAAATTTGAGGTACTGCTCCTATGTGCTAGGTTACTGACCTCAAAAGAATGAATATAGAATAATTAATGGTTCAACTATAAAAAATAAAACACTCCATTTAACATAGTACTGAGATTGCATCTAATGCTAAAATATATTTTTATCCTTACACTATATAATATTAGTACTTAAGACTTTTTAATTTGTACTTTTGACGTTTCGATTTCGAAACTGTACATTCATCCAAAAAACTACACCAATTATTAGTAGCATAGTATAAGTTGCCATTCTCATCTACTGATCTACTTTTATATATCTTGAAGCTTCTATGCTATGTATTATTCCAAACTGGGTATGTCCATATGACTGTTACTGTACTTTTTTGGTAAAGGCCATGTGGTCTCTAACACCTCTTACATATTTATGTATACAGTGAAAAAGTAAATGAATTTCACTGTATAGACATCACATTTCAGGAGACTAGATAAATATAATTTGTGAAATGAAGCACTTGTAGATGCGGCAATATTCTGAGAAAATTTTGTTTTTCCATGTTGTTAATTTTAAATCCGTGTAGCACGATTCACAGTATTTCAAGAGCGTATTATAATCCATATGGTCTTTATCAAATGTATCACAGTCATTGTCAAGTATTTTTAATGCATTATCTTGAAATACTCGGAATATTTAACATATCCTTTCCTACGTATCTATTGAGATATTTTGTACAGATATAGAACAGTAAAAGCTCCAAAACAATCTTACAACCAGGACATAAAAACTAATGAAATGAACGAACGCATACATGTCAAAAATAACTCAACTTCAAACATCAAATGTTTGAACTTCATTCCAAAACAACAAGAAAATGTAAGAATACACCTATGGAAAATAATTTTGTAGGGCTCCCTACTCTTTGTGAGCTTCATAAGTAGTCGTTTGCATAAGTAATATAGAACGAATTATTTAAGCGATCAATTTGATAATTCGAGGTTAAACATCAACCAGAGGTGATGCTAGCATCCATTGCTATCCACTAGGGGCTATATTATGCAAAATGTTGCATGAACACTGATTTACTTTCTGTAATCCGTCGTATAATGCTTATTTGTAAGCACATTTTATGAAAATCAGTACAAATACCCTTGTTTCAAGTTTTGTCTATAAATACATGTCTATCAACATTTTTTTAATAAAAAACCGTTCATACTTGTATGTACCAGTGAGTGGAGTAGAACAATCAAAAGTATGATGAATGGAATCAAGTAAATCTTCGATAGTTCACATGAATCATCCAGCAAGATAAGATACATTTAATCATTGATAATATAATTTGATATATCCCTAGCGTCTACAAAGAGTCAATTGTAATGAATAAAATATAGACAGGTAGATTAAAAGGGGTATATCTCTTTTCCGTATTAGTACTGACCATCATCATCCTCGTCCATAATCAAGTCACTGCCGAATCCAGAGTCACTGGCGTATCTTGGACTGTAAAAAATCAAAAAATCTTACTTAGATTTAAGAAGTTCATAAGAAAAATCAAAAACAATCTATCTACTACTACACTGCTATCAAGATACAAAAAAATGTGAGTGAAAAAAAAAGAACTAGTTTCAACCACAGCTATTTTTTTATCTAAAATATCATAAAAAATAAAGGATATTCAAAAATCAAATGTTTTAAGAGAAATGTTTTCATGGAATTCAAAGGTACAATCAGGGACGCTTTGAACAGCTTCATAAAGGATTCTGTTTTGCACAAGTTAGCCCTTCTTTAAAAAGTTAGCGACAAATATGTATACCAAAAAATTAAATGAACTTCCTCCTCCCCCTGAGAGGACTTCCGGTACACATGATCCTTGCGATGACCAATCCCGCGTAAACGACAATATTGGCCTTCACCAGCCATAACTCACGCAGCTCACAGTAGAGTGTAAGCGATTGCCGACTGTACGACCACCGACGACAACGCTTGTCCATCGGGTATATGTATGGGGACATCTTTGATGAGTGAAATATGCCGAATATGTGCGAATAATTACTGGGGTCGGGGGCGTATAAATATACCAACGTAGAAAAGAATGAGATATTCCTCCCAACCCCCTGCAAAAAAAAAAATAAAAAAATTTCCGAAAATGATCAGGATAATATTGCTGTTGTGAAGGAGAGTGTGAGAGACGATCCGAAACAATCAACAACGCGTCGGTACCAAGAATTGGGCATTTCGAGAACCAGTTTGCTCCGCATTCTCCACAAGGATTTGAATGTACACGCCTACAAGATCCAATTGACGCAAGAGCTGCGTCGGGCCGACCATTTTTCGCGCCAAACGTTCTCAGATTGGCTCCTTGAACACCGCCAAATTGATGCCAATTTTTCATCAAAAATCATTTTCAGCGACGAAGCGCATTTCACTTTGAATGGGACGGTAAACAAGCAAAACTGCCGCATCTGGGCGAACGAAAATCCCCGTGAGTATCAAGAGCAGCCGATGCATCCTCAAAAAGTGACTGTGTGGTGTGCATTGTGGTCAAAAGGCATCATCGGAGCTTACTTTTTCGAAAATGCGGCCGGGGACGCCGTTACCGTCAATTCTGAGCGATATCACGTGATGATAGAGGACTATTTTTTGCCGCAACTTGAAGGAATGGATATGGACGATGTTTATTTCTAACAAGACGGTGCAACATGCCACACAACCAACGTCAATATCCATCGATTGCAGTCCTTCTTCGGTGATCGCGTGATTTCGCGCAGAGGAAATGTGCCATGGCCACCAAGATCGTGCGATTTGACTCCCTTGGACTTCTTTTTATGGGGATATTTGAAAAGCAAAGTCTACGTCAACAAACCAGCCACCCTCCAAGAAGCGGACAGACCGACGGAAGAGTGACATGGTTTTGGGTCATGCCCAAAAACATAATCTCATTTTCGAAATCTTCCGCGATTATAATATTTCCCCGCAATATGCATGGGAAGTAAAAAAACATGTAATGACAAATACCACATACCAGTTATCGTGATTTTGAGAGTAATAAACTGATAATGATCACCACAGTAGAGAAGCAGCAAACAATATTTAAACAAAAATATTTGTTTATTCCATACATATACAGTTCAATATATGTTATGTAACCATTGATGAATAGAGGATATAACGGATAATAATTATAAAACAGGATATTAAACAGGTGGAATCAAATAGAAACACTTTTTTAAGCATGAAGTTTTTTTTTATGACACTGAAATTTGTAATTTGTAACGCGCTTCAATGTCCAGCTTATAGTGTAACTTTATTTAATGGAGTCAAACAGTCATGTTGAATAATGAATACTGTCGCGAGGCACAAAACATGTCCAAAAGTCAGCTTTCTAGCAGAAACTTTACAATGTTTCTAACCTTTGGAGAATTAAATTCGGCCTTCCTCTTACAACATTTGTCACAAAGATGAGATAAAGTAAACTCAAATCTCATGTATGCCATGTCAAAACAAGCAGCAGCGCGAGGATCAAATTCGCACGCTACTATTTGCGGGCAGGCGGTACAATCCCTGGGCATGGCAGCGACAAGCGAATAAAAGCGACGATCGAGTGCTAATGTCTATTCTAATGCATAGTAAATGAGGTTTGGATATATTTTAGTTTGTAGTGACAACCTTTGTTTTTTGCACTATGTCTCTGCTCCTAGCTGGCGCCTAATTTGGCTAACCAAAGGTTAAAACTATTGACTCTCAATAGACAACGCCATTTGTCGCACCCATTGGCTGCTGCTATAATATGCTTCAGTATTGTACAATTGATTAACATATTCAAATTAATACTATGATCCCATTTCCAAAAAATTACTAGAAATGAAATGAGATACCTTAGCATCATCTATGAGAATTTGTGACAGCTATGTTCCTCCTCTCTGCAAAAATTACTTTGAAATTGAAAAGATTAGTGCATAGAGGAGAATATAGTATTAGGCAAAGTTCAGGTACAAATGTTAATCAATGATTGATAAAACACTTTTCATGCATGCTGTTACTTTATGCATAGTGAAGAATACACATTATATTAAAATAACTAACCTGATAGCTCTGCATGTGAAGAACACGATCCTCTTCAACTTTTTATTGTAGAAAAAGTAGTTGAAGCTCCATAAACACCCATCTTCACCAAACGGATCTGACCCTAAGTCAGGATCGTACGAGTAAATATCACAATTCTCCAGGGAGATTTCATCGTCGATTGCGGACCACAAAGAGGGCCCCAATAGCCTGAACTGGTCTCCAATTGTTGCTGCCAAGTTGGTGTCTATCGCATTGGTCACCCATTGTCTGGATGGCTCTTTGCTGAACTCGTGGCTCTAGAATTAAACCTCAGTAAATCGGGCGCAAAAAATCTAACCTCGATTTGAAATTACGAAAATTCACGATTTTTAGTAATTATGTAAGTGTACCAAGTCTCATTCACCTGTAACAACAGCAGCCAAAATGAAATTATTGCCCCTCAAAATCCTGTAATATTTTAAGGGTATCTATGTGAGAATTTTCAAAAATACTCTCCACAAAAATTCGTTTTTGGTCAATTCAATGCATAGATTCTAAATGCAATGTAATCTTGACGTTAAGACATTGGAATGTCTAAAGCCTTCACAATTTTTTGGTGTACATATTCGCATTCAGCATCCCAAATTAAGCAGGTGTACCAAATTTCATTCACTTGTAACGATGGTTGATGAAAATTTTGCCATAGGGAAGTCTATTATCATTTTGAGGTTTCCTATGAAAAAATAGCCATAAACCTGAGTGTGTCCCTGATCTCTAAGTGTTGTTTCCTGTGTGAATCTGGTGCATAATTTCAGAATTAAATGTCGATTTTATTATAGGACCTATGAAGGATCCCAAATGACTTATTCTTTATCTGAAATTCAGCATCCAAATATTTTATGGCTTATTCATTTTCATCACACTAAACTATCTAAGGTTGCCAAATTATGTAGCTGAAAGCTACAAAAAACAAAAATGGAATAATTCCAGAAATATGTCCGTACTTTTGATCTGAATAGAAACTTAAAATAGGTTGCACATCTTTTGAATTCAACGTCATAATTAGCCGTATAGTACTAAAAAGATTGAAATTGAGATTGTGAAAAACTCCAAATGAAGATAAACAAAAAATTAGTCCCTACAAAAAAAAATTTGAAAGCTAAAACTGTGCAACTGATTGTAACATTTGTAGCTGCTTTTACTGATAATTATATTAACTTTAAAATGAAAAAACTACAGTTTATTACTGTAATCAACATATTAACCTTCACAAATGTTTATATTCAACTTCTCATTCATTTATTCTATCACATAATTGAATAAATACACAGTTTGCCAGAAAATATGTTTCATTTTGGCAGACTTACAAGATCTTGTGTGACATAGCTTAAAATATAAAAATACTGGAAATAAAGTGACTGCACATCAATCAATAAATCTCAACATAAACATTAGTTATTACTTAACAGATACCATAATCATTTAGTTTTATGTGACAGGTATTTTGAAATTTACCTTTGCATCCATAAAATCATAATCAGGGAAGGCAGAGTTCAATGTGGCAATCAAGTAAAACAGAGTCTTGCGACTGATGGTATCGCACAGAGGCCCCTCTTCATCACCAGACACACTCGTACTGTACTGTGTTGCACTCTGCGGTGGTGACAAGGCTTGTAGATCATTGGGATTGACCCCTTCAGGATTAAAACGTTTATATAGGGCTTTTTCGCCACCAGCCATTTTACATGAGTAACTTTCAATGCGACCTATGATCTTGCTATCACCGGTTTGGACACAGAGAGCATTGCTGAGAGCTTCAAACCTGGTGCTCTCGAGAAGCTTCATTTTGACAAATATCACAAAACTTGGAAATGAGAATTTCGCACTGAGACAACTTATATTCTACACGTAATACTCGGATTGGGACTATAAAAGTTCTTGAACATTGCAGTTGGGTGTATGAATATGCCTTTTCTCTTCAAATGTACCAAACTAACTGAAGGGGCGCGATGGTATCTGATTGAATTCTTTGCTGAGTAATTTGGGGACATCACAAAGGATGTGGTGTCAAGGAGAATGTTCACTGCACACAGGTTCAAAAAGTTGTTTATACACAAGCCTTGAAATAACGCGCTAGTCCTATATTTGGATCTTCTGGGCGAGTCCACTGTACACTGTTCACAAACGAACTAAAATAACGGATATTTTCACTTTTTCGCTAGTGTTCCTCTAACATCTCATGCATCATTTTATAGCACAATGAAAAACTATCAAATGCACTGAACAATATGAAATTAACTTCAAGATTAGACGAAAAAATCGTAAAACAATGGTCGCTTTGACGTTTAGTTGCATAAACAGTAAACAACTAATAGCAAAGATGCAAACAAAGCAGACAGAAAGCGCTTGGCTCCACTTTTGAGCTGTGTCTATTTTTAATTTTTAGCTCAAGGTTGACACTGTTGTAAACCTTGCTTTAGCACCAGTTTCACAAACCAAAAGACGAAAAAGTAACTAAGTCAATTTGTGCTGCCACCTCTAAGCCAATAGACGAGCTTAGCGTACATTACAGTAGCAATCTAGACAAACAATCAACTTTTACCATTTCATGTACAGGTGGCGCTCATATCACAGTTTCAGTGGCATCTATGAACGAAGGGATCAAGTTTGTAATAAGAGCGTAGAAAAAAAGAAATCTAGCCTTCTAACTTGACCTTGACAGAACTTCATTTTAAAATGACGTATTATTTTGAGGTTATCATTTTAAAAGCAGGTAAAAACCATAACATGTATCAACATTAAAGAACTTGAATCACAAACAAAGATATGAATTGATCTGGTTTGTATACCTATCTACAACAAACTGCATTTATCGGTAAGTAAACATAATAGTAAACTATTAGACCTAACATTTGCATTATCTAGGTGTTCGTGAAAATGCCAGCAGAAAACATTCAGTATTCAGAAAAATATTTCGATCAGCACTACGAGTATCGACACGTAATTTTACCAGCAGACTTGGCGAAGCTAGTTCCGCGTTCACATTTGATGACAGAGTCCGAATGGAGGAATTTGGGGGTGCAACAGAGTCCTGGATGGGTTCACTATATGCTGCACACACCTGAGCCACATGTACTGTTATTTCGGAGGCCAATATCAGGAGCTAATAACACAGAACATTGACTGTTCATTGGAGGTGTCAAAAACTTTTGGAGGGTTTAATAATTTATAAGAGCTTAAATTGTGCTTTTTTACACTGTTTTACTGGTATAATAAACTAAATATAATGCAACTTCTTTAAAAATATCAATTAGATCAACTTAATTCATTTATTTGTAGGACTGCATAATTCAATTCAATCATGATTAAGACATTTGATAATTTCATAACTTGTATTAGAAACTGACAAGACAAACCACACAAGATATGCAATAAAATTTCTCATAGAATTTGGTATTTATTAAATGCAGTCAGGATGTCAGTTATTACTGAAGGGTTATGTGAAAATCCACTGTACTGATTGAATGTAGTAATTACTGATGGTATAGACCACAGTAAATATTAATTCTGTGAGCTTTGCTAACTGTACATTGTCAAGGTATGCCATACTCACCTCTTCCGACTATGTAGGAAGTTAAAAAATCTAGTTTTTATGATTTCAAGTGTAACTTTAATGTAAGTCAACAAAAAACGTTTTGTAATAGTGTCAATTAAAATACTCTATAATAGAGTACTGGTGTCTCTAATTGTAGAGATATATTGTTATATGCAGATGATGGGTTTTATTCCAAGACAACTTCATATGTATATACGTTTTATATTTTCCAATAAATAAATTATAAATTACAATCTTGGATTCACTTATCTCTAAAATAAAGGTGTTTTCCATAATTATGTGAGCCAATGATTAGACATTGGAATATTTTGATCTCTAGTAACATTAGTAAATGCTTTCAAGAAACAGGAGGGATGTCAAATATCAAAGATGGACAAAATTAAAAATATCAATCCTTGAGACAAGCAAAACAAAGTCTTAGAAAAAGTAGGACGATCAAACTTATGTGCATAGATCTGACAACATATAAACAAAAATGCATATACTGTATCAAAATGTTATATATTTTCACCTTTAATGTGCAAAGCATCTGTGCCATCTAATACTGCCACATATTTTTTTAGAGATAACTAAAACTTTCAATCCATGTGCAATATTAAATCATGACCCATTTTGACATCCACCCTGTAATCTTTGCCTGATCTCATCAGCAAGTTTAGACCTGCCTACTTCAACCTCTTCACGAGTAGTTACATTTCTAAGTTTCACTACGCCATTTTTGATTTCTGATTCGCCCAATATCAGAGCCAAGGGAATTCCGTATTCTTCACAGTGTTGCAATTGTTGCAGAAGCTTAGGATTTTTCTTGTACGAGTGTTCCACCTAAAAACAATATATTTCTTAAACGTGTTTTGTTTAGCTGGGGTTTCTGATACAACTAATGCATAGAGGATTCTAGCGTTATGTAGGAACCCCTGTAAGTTTGCATTGCAATAGTCACCTAGAATAGGAATAAAATAAGTCCACGGTTGATTGATTTAAACCGCATGATTTGTATGAATTTTTTTTGGGTTGGTTGTCTGTTAAAAAAATCAAAATCTACCACTTACAGTAGATATTGAGTCAAATTTATAATGAATGTTAAAAAATCATGATTTTGATAATTGTTTTTTTTAAATTTCAGAAACAAAAAAAAAAGATTTTTATCAACCCTGCTAAAGTCTCTCTAGGTATTAGATAATTAAGAAGTATTGTGCAAGAAGAGCTCTGAGCGTGATAAATATCATCTCCAAAGCCTTGGGCCTGACACAAATCTAGAGGACACCCGCATTGTATATAAACTCTAAGAAGATTCCAAAATCATAGACTTATTTTGCGTTCTTTATACCCGTTTTAGAGTCAGGAAGGGAAATGTTGATCAGACGCATGCACACTAACAAAACAGCTGACTCTTACTGTCATTTCTTGCAAGTTTGTCTGCAACTTTGGTAGTATCCACGTTTTGACGCCTACTGAGGTGAACAGCTGATCAGCAAGTGACAGATTTGTATTAGTCTGCAACAGTGGCAATAAAGAATCGGGTGTAAACGTTTTTTTTTTTGTATGCAAATGCACTTTTCCAAATAAAACAGTTGTTAGCAAGTACAAAATGAATCTGTAGCATATAAAAAAATAGCAGACGCTCGATAATGTAAACTAATTTAATCCAAGTGTGGTTCACATTATCGAAATAAAATAAACAAATATTCTAACAGCGACAAGTATTTTTTTAATTAGAAGAAAAATAATTAACAATTTTTGTCTGCGTAAATTTGCGCTTAGCATTGTCTTCCAATGCCTGCGACCGTAATTTACGAAGAACTAAAATATCCGTGTATGAAACTTGTATAGCTTGCGCGTCAGTCACTACACTTCTGACTTCAATGGGATCGTTCTCATCATCCTCACTGTCCATATCCTCCTCCATATCAGCATCATTCGTCTGCTTATCTACGTTCCATAAATTAATATCAGCAGGAGTACAAACAATGTTGGGATTCACTGTTTTCAATAAATCAACAACATCCAATGACACACTAATAACATTATCATTATTGGATCGCAAACGTTCTCTAATTACGCTTAAGGGGACATCTTCTTCATTATTGGTACAAAAGAGATTGTTCCAACATTTTTGAATAGTTTGCTGGTTAAGTTCATTCCAGGTCATATGTAAATCTAAAACAGCTTCTAGTAATGTTACTTTTTTTAAAGCCTCAGATAAGTTTTCAGGATTCTTTGATAAGACAGACGAAAGTAGAAACTTTGTATAGTATAGTATGGTGAGTCTTATTATATTCTGATCCATCGGTTGAATTAACGGTGTTACGTTGAGCGGCATGTACATGACGAAAATTGACCCATCCCTGCTCCTCAGTTGTTGCTCGGGAGGATGACTTGGTGCATTATCCTATAATAACAACGCTTTTATTGGAAGCTTCTGTTGTTTTAGGAAACCTTTTACCTACAAATTGAAAACACATCTTCAAATTATGAATAGAGCATTTGTGATAGTTGATTGTTATACCTGAGGGACAAAGCACCTGTGGAACCATTTCAGGAATATACTGCTAGTCATCCAAGCGGTTTTTGAACAGTCATAATCAACAGGGATATTAACATTTTTAAATGAGCGCGGATTTTTTGCTTTCCCAATTACCAGTGGCTTTATTTTGTGTGAACCATTAGCATTAGTGCAGGCTAGAAACGTTATTCGTGGTTTCTCCGGCTTTCTTCCCGGGGCAGATTTTTCAAATGATGCAGCATAGGTTTTCTCTGGTAACATTTTCCAACAAAGGCCACTTTCATTTGCGTTGTAAATTTGTTCCATTCTTAAATCTAGCTCGGTAATTGTTTTCATCAATTTTTCTTTGAATGGTTGCACTAATTGTGGTTGTGCTGATAATTTTTCACCAGATATAGACAGCTGTCGAATTCCATATCTTGTTTTGAATCGTTGTAGCCAGCCATCACTAGCTACGAAATTTTCAGTTTTTCATTTAACAGTCTCGCTCTCTGTTTAAGTACTTCGCCACTAACTGGGACATGATTTTCCCGTTGTTTTAAAAACCACTTATACAGGGAATTTTCCATTTTAGGTGGCTTCGCATTTTTTAAAGTTTTTCTTTTTCCCGGACCTCCAAATATATTGCACGTTCTTTGTAAAATTTGAGTTTTCATACGCTTAATTTTACAGATTGTTGCTTTCGATACTCCATATTTTTTTGCTAACTGTGTCACTCCCGCACCTAGTGTAACTTCGTCTATGATTTTCACTTTCTCACTCAACTTTAAACACTTTCTTTTATAGGATGTGGATGCCATAGTCGTAAAATATATTAACGCGTGCAATGTATTCACTTAAGTTCAAAAATGAAATACTCGTACATACGTACGTATAAACGTATCCTAAACGATCATACGACTGACCGACTTTGTCGTATTTTATCGCAGAGGTGAATCCCCTACACTCTACATCATAAATCGGGGACTCCCCGACGCCCGACATAAATCATCGAGGCTTCAGCATTTTACCGTCGCGCTGTTTCCGTGCGCCGAGAGTTGTTTACGTTATCGAGCGTACACATTGTTTACGTTATCGAGCGTACACATTGTTTACGTTATCGCGCGTTCCATTTGATCCTACAGAACGAAGTTTGTGTTTACATTAGCGCAAGTTTTCATTATCCCGTGTTTACGTTATCGAGCGTCTGCTGTATTACTAAATCAGCTGGTTATTCTACCGTAATGAGCTTTCGTGAAAAAGACAACAAACTGGTACAGTGGTTTATGTATTATATTTAATTGTTTAGAGATGTATGTTTGATTGTGTTTTGATATTGGATGGTCGGCGATTGAAACCAGTTTTTGAATATTAAAACCATGTGTTCTGGATGGTAAAACAAAATTATAAGTTAAGAATGTGACAGGGTATATTTCATTTGTTTAGGTTGGCTAACCTTGCTTGTTGGAATCGCAGACAAAACAATGCCATCTTCCAACTGCAAGCTTGGTCTTACGGACTGTAAAACGATTTTTATGAAGGATCTCACCCTCCTGATTTTTCCAACCTACCTTGAATCCCTCGGCCCACAGCTCGGCGCACAATCGCATCCTCTCTTCGTGCAAGTTTTTCTGCGCTGTTGCCACATACACCTCTGTTTCAGTGGTTCGGATCTTTTCGGCCGCTTTGCGCGCTTCCATGACGGCAAACAGTCTCTCTACGCCAATGGAAACGCCCACGCACGGCACCTGGCGCCCTTTAGGGTCAAACATGCCTGCCAGGTTGTCGTAACGGCCTCCACCTGCCACTGAGCCCACTGATACCTCTTCCGAGGACGAGGCATTATCTGCAAGATAACCAGGATGTTAATTAAGGCTCTATGGTTTTAGACTACAATTTCTCCCTTTTTCACGTAAAATGAAAGTCTACTGCCATCTTGTCAGACAATAGTGCTATCAGCAATCCTAGGTTTTTGCTATAGACAAGCAACCATGTCCACTCTCAGTACTAGGCTCCAAGATGAATTCCCCATCTGGAAAATATGCCTAGAAATGCCTTTCCATTTCAGGTAGTGTTGCCTCGAAATTGAGGCACACTTGAGGCTAGCTGTGGACTAATAAACCTGCCCACTGTACCTGCGCCGATAAAGATGAGCTCAGGTGCCTGCTTGCTAAACGATCCTTCCTACATTGTAAAACAAGACCCAAAGTTACTCTATAGGTACTTAGTGCCTTGGCAGCCGCATGACTGTCCTAGTTATATCTCACTTCTGAATATAAAAGACAAAACAGATGATAATAAGTATAGAATATTATACTAAGTGACATATAAATCCGAACACCCAGTTTAAATGGTTTTATTTTAATAAAATTTTGTATAAGTACTTAATGAAGCGTAATAGTAAATGATAAAAATTTCAAAATGATTGCACTGCTTTAAAGCCCTTTGACCTTTAATAATGTGTGGATGCACCCTGATGTGCTACGCATTCTCCAACGCGCCTAGGCATGCTTCTGATCAGGTGGTCAATGTCCTCCTGTGGTATCTCATTCCAGGCAACCACCAACTCCTCTCGAAGTGCTTCTAGAGTCTGAGGAGGACGTTGCAAATTGAGAAATCTCCTACCCATCATATCCCACACGTGCTCAATTGGGGATAAGTCGGGAGATCTTGGTGGCCATGGTAACAATGTGACATCATTATGTTGAAAGAAGTCTATTGTGACTCTTGCAATATGTGGTCGGGCATTATCTTGTTTGAAAGTTGGATCTGCCAGGGTGTCAAGATAGGGTTCTAGAACTTCGTGGATATAACGCTGCGCGTTCATGTTACCTCTGATGCAGATTAAAGGTGACCTGGAACCATAAGCTATAGCACCCCAAACCATAACTCCAACAGTGTGATGAACATGTCTTTCAACAAAAAACTGTGGATTCCTCCTTTCACCACGTCGCCTTCTAACCGTGGCACGACCATCGTGCATGCCTAAACAAAATCGAGTCTCGTCACTAAAGACAATACAGTTCCATTCCTGATCCCAGAGTGACCGTTGTCTGCACCATTCAAGGCGATTACGTCGGTGTTCTCGAGAAAGGGAGGACCTAGTGTGGCCGGTATGAAAACAAGCCAAAACTTCTCATTCGTCGGTAAACACTTCGCATGCCAATAGGTCTTCCGTGTTCTGCAAACCATTAATTTGCAATGGACCTGGTAGTGGAGAAACGGTCCCTTAAGGCCAATAATCTTAGGCGCCGATCTTCACGGTCTGTTGTTCTACGGCGGCGTCCAGTGCCCCTTGCTCTTTGCGTACGGCCTTCTCGAAGCCATGCCTGACAACACCTAACCACAGTGTCTACACTTCTTTGCACTCTAAACTCTAACTGCAATTGCCCGAAAAGAAAGTCCAGCTTCCCGAAGTCCCACTATACGGCCCCTATCAAACTCACTAAGTTGACGAAATCGTACAGGTCTCCGTACTCTAGGCATCGTAACCGATCGTAAAGGATGTCAAGAACCAAAATCCGCCAACGTTGATTCTTTACTGCGACTGAAATATTCATTTTTAGAGCGTTAGTGAATTAAAAAAAAGCAGTATAAAAACCGGAATGTCCAACTGATAAGGCTGAAAATTTGTTCACTTGTTATTTACAGTAAGATAAATACATTCACCAACTTTTATTAAAATAAAACCATTTAAACTGGGTGTTAGGATTTATATGTCACTTAGTATATTACCTGCTAACAACACAGCTTCATAAATAACTCCTGTATAATAATCCAGCCCTCTAGCAAGGCTAAGATCAAACAGAACCTTGTCAGATGAGCCATATAAATCGCAGTATTTCAACAATAACTTCATTGCTTCTAAACCTTCCACTGCAGACTTATTCTTTGACAGCTTGTCATCAGCCAACAGCTTGTCCACCAAATCTGCCTTTCCATTTAGCTGTACATATTCACCTATTAGGTCTGCAGATGCTTCTGATAAGCCTTTTTCTTCCACCATTTCTTTACGCACCTGAAAAAAACATCCTTATTTTATCACTTGTTGTTTAAATTTTGGAGATATCTTACCTCTTCCCATGGAGACTTGTCCAACTTGTCCACAGCAGAGCAAATAGCTCTAAAACTAGTCGCTGGGACACCACATGCTTCAAACATACCATCTAACAACTTTCTGTGGTTCAGTTTAATGACAAACGAGGGCATTTCCAGAACTTTTAAGATTTCAAACACTATCCTTACACATTCGGCGTCAGGTATCATTGGATCGTACGCACCAGCTATGTCAAAGTCCTGAAAACAGGGAACACTTAAACGGCTATTTACTGTTTACTAATAAGTAAATCCTACTAATCTTCCTGTTATCTTACGATTTTATATGAACAAAAACTCATCTCTTGGATAAATAGGATGAATTTTTTTTCCGCGTCTTTTTTTTATGATCATATTTGAATTCAGCGTCACGGTAATAATTTTGGGTTCTCCATGAGGAGAATTTCAAAATCCCTGTATATCTATGATCTTTACTCAGACTCATGCCGTGAGTAAATCAGGTGCTGAGATTCTTAGTCTGATGTCAATCTGATGCCACTTCCCACGAGTGTCAGAAACGACTCATTTTTCAACGCAAATTCGTCCCTACGGCTCATCAGGCTTTTTGAAAATGATATGCGTAATCAGCGCCCTAAAGTGTACTAAGTTTAATTCACTTCTAAGAGCTGACAAAAATGGGAAATTTGCCATAAAAAATTATTTTTCCCTTTTTTGTTTCCTATGATAAGACTTTCATAGCCCCCTGTGGATATGTGATCCATGAAAACACTTTTTCCTTAGCTTAATCTGGAGCATAAATTTGGAATCTGGGACTGAGACCCAGTGAAATTACCAAGTTGTTTCAAGTTTCATTTGGATATTATAATCGAAGGCAAAAATAGAGATTTAATATATTACTGAAAATACATTTGCACTAAAAAAATACTTACACACTGATAGAATTCTCGATACCTTCCCCTGGATATAGAGGGATTGTCTCTTCTGTAAACCTTTGCAATGTGATATCTTTTTATATTAGTGATTTTATTCATTGCAAGGTATCTTGCAAAAGGAACTGTCAGATCATACCTCAAAGATAATATTTCACCACCCTGATCTTTGAGATCATAAATAAGTTTTGAATCTTCACCATACTTTCCAGTCAAAACTTCCTATAGGAGAAAATTAATTCACTAGTGTCAATGATTTTAGCACATTTCTTTTCAAATATGACAAATGTAAGAAATATTGTTTGGGTAATATTTCAATACTGCTGGTATTTTGATTATACCAAATATTTTTTTGCAAAATAACTAAAATGCCTTTTATCATTGTTTCATGATGCAATCATACAAGGTAAAGATATTTTTAAATAATATTCAAGCTAATCATGGAAACAAACAACAGATATAATCATATATTTTAAAAAAAATGGGTAATTAAACTAATTTTTATTAATTACCATGTCTTTCATTAAGCAGTGCTTATCTGTTAAGCAGTTCATTAAACAGCTAATATCAGTATATGTATAAAAAATAGCCATTCTATGTAAAGCTGTACTAACCTACTTTCTCCTTATTGTTGCAAATCTAATTTTGTTTTTTATATAAAAAACAATTTATGTAATGTATCCTGCTTTTAAATGAAACCAGTGAACAATAACAGATTAGAATGGCGTTACTATTGGGATGAACCCTAAATATTTTACAAAAAACAAATCTCCCACTAATATCATATGTTCTATTAGTTTTCGAATGGTTTCCATTTTGTACTCCTACCTTTAGCTCAAATATGGGAGTATCAATAGTTTCAGCTCCATGTTTCTTAAAAACAGATATTATTTTTTCCAACACACTATTTCTAAGTGCCATTTGTTGAGGTGAATAGTCTCTGGTGCCTTTAGGTGTCTTAAGAGTGAACTTTTGATTACTATATGCTGCATTGCTATCTTCACCAGCATTGCTTAATTCTGCTTTTAATTCTAAGAGTTTAGCAACTTGTTCATCAATCTGAAAATGTGTCTGCTATATCGATTTCTTTATAATAATCTATTTAAATCAACTGACAAAGTCAAAGAAGAATATACTAAGGTTCTAATGTTAAGTCAGAGACGATTTAATGTAATTTTTAAGTATAGATGGTGTTATTTTCTAAAATTATATGGAGATGGTTTATCAATAATTTAAAATGTAATTCAACAGTAGATAATAGATTTTCCAATCACTGACCTGTGGTTTTCCATGAAATTTGGATGTAGAGGTGGCCAAAGACTTGTAACTGATAGCCACAGGTCGTGACATAAAATAGACTGAACGTAATGACTTGGCAAACATTTTGGTATATTAGCACTTGAAAAGAAAAAAAAACATTAGAAATCTACCAAAATATCTGTTAAGAAAACCAATTTAATGATAGTTACCCATTGCAAGAATGAAAAGTGTTACGAATTATTTGTAAAATAAAATATTGATGAAAAGCCTAGAGGTAATTATTTCAGATAGGTTTACCCATCTCTGATGCAAGAATTACAAAACATCTGTAGATAAGTACAATAACTAAAGACCTGTCTATTCAATAAAAGAAAAGTTTTTGTCTATTTACGTATATTGGCAGGTACATTTCTCAGTTATTTTATAACTTTAAATATCATAATTACCTTTTCTTTGCTTTCTTTAGCTGCTTTTAACTTCCTAACCAAGTCTCCTTGAGCTTTAATTTGTTCTTCTAATATTTGTTTGGACACCATTTTTTAAATAACAACTGTAACATATGTTTCAATTCTATCTTTGAAGATCGATAGTCTTAATTCGTACCTTGTAATGCACAATTTGAAAGTGAAAATGTTCAAATATGTTGCAAAACGCAAGTCCTTCGACACGACCACATGCACTCACGAAAACGTCATAAATGTCAAAATGTGTCATTATCATTAGTGATGAGAAACATGAGAAACCTGGATCAAAAAATTTATAGTACAGTCATATTGGTTTTACTCCGCACATCTGTTACATGACAGTTTTTTAGAAAAAAATGCTATTGAGACATGAACCAGCCATAAACGTTATGGTAGTCAGTATTAAATGGGTAATAGGGGGGTCAAAACAAGTCAAATAGTTCATATGACCCATGGTCCAAAAGTCAATAGATTTTTGTCTAAATGGCTTTATAGTTTACAACTTTAAGTGCTTTATATCGACCACAATCTTACTAATTTTTATAATCTAATGTAAAACGTTTTTAAAATGGGTAATTAACAAATAAATTGCATTAGATTTTTAAGTTAAGCCAAAATTTGTAGTCAGTAAAAAAGTAAGTTTCATTAAATTGAATATTTAAAACACACATGATAACAGCGCGTCGGTCATCATCACTCTTATTGAACCAGCAATCGATCACAAACGGTAACAGTGGTTAGTATGTTGTTTTGTTTTTGTCCGCGCACCTCGTCGTCTTGATTTACAGAATTCAAATCTTGCAGCTCAAATTTATCGCGTCAGATTTCGCCAACGGGTACACCCAGACAGAAGGACATTTGTGCAAGTGTACCAAGGACTTCGAGATACAGCAAGTGTTTAGCCCACTAATATTCGCACTTGTGACATACAGGTTGCTGTAGAGCAGGAGGAACAAATTTTAATTATCGTGGAAATCAATGCAGATATAAGCACTCGGGAATTAGGCCGCCGCGTAGGACATCGCATACCATAGTCCATAGAATCCTACGGGAAAATTTGTTTTATCCCTACCATGTAGAACGAGTGCAGGCCTTGTTACCAGAGTACACTATCCTCGCAGACTAACATTCTGTCAGTGGTTTTTGCACAAAAACATTGAAAATCCAGATTTTTTAAAAACATTCTAGCGACGGACGAATGTACTTACGCGAGACGGGATATTAAATTTCCATAATACTCACACGGTCACACGTGGGCACAAGAAAATCCTCATACCATTCGTGAAGGTGAATTTTAATGCGGCTGAAATAATAAATGAACAACTTCGAGAACCTAGAGTAAGAAGAAACTGGGTTCGTAATGAAGCTTGTGTGGAAAGTGGAGGTCGACATTTTGAACACCTTCTTTAAATACAAAAAGAGTGCAGTGTGGGTTTTAAAAAGAAAAACAATGTATGTATCAGAATTGTGTTCCCTATTTATAAGTGGATTTTTTTAATACGTTCAATAAACTTTCACACACCAGGTGAAGCGCTGATACAGTTAGTGGTAAGTCCGCTTTTTAATTGTTTGCATTTTACGAGTACATTATCAAATAATGAAATAATACCTAAGAGCCAAAAATAACAAACTCCATCTTTATTTACACTGCGTTCCATCGTAATTTGCGTCTGGTTTTGCGGCGTTGTCAGATTTTATTTTACTTTAAAGTCGCTTTTCTCTAAAAAAATGCCGTTCTGACCCCCATGTTATATGAAACTTTTTGTTTCTTTTAACCCCCTATATCACCCATTTAAATGATGGCCATCATAACGTTTACACCCTGTATTTAAAAACCGCCGAATAACCTAATAGTGATCAAGCTATTAGTGCATTTATTTTTAGTCCTATAACGCCGGCTCCACACGTTAGCCCCAACGTTGGTACCAACGTTGGTCGGTTAAGTTGGTGAAGCGTCCACACGTTGGTTATTATACTAGTTCCTTTCTGTCAGAGCCAATGTGAAGATGTCCGACACCGAAACCGAAATTGCTCTAAGCGCTTTTACAGTACTAATGAGTGCGTATAATTTATATTTGTTATTGAAAAAAAAAGAAAAAGCCACGTCAAAGGAGATGGTGGATGACAACGCATCTCCGCACTCCATTCTAGCAGCTTTTTACAAGGCAATTTAATATTAAATTATCTAATAATGTGTATACAGTGTGTCCAAGATAAGAATGTCTATCATGAGGATCTTGGAAAACAAAAGTGATACGAAGATGGTTAAATTTCAAGCCTAACAATATGCCGTTTAGAAAGCTTTAAAATTCCGAGTTGTTCCTGAGGTATGCTTAAAAAAACGAAATTTGCCGATTTCGTTTTTATTTTTTTTCTGACGTTATTTAAAGATATATGGAAAAACAAAAGACACTTTCTCATGACTACTTTTTAAGCTCTACAAAACAGCGTTGAGAGATTTTCCGCACGACGTTTCGTTTCGGAGAAACCATCATCTACTTTATTTTTTATATGGCGCGTAAAAAAGTATGCCCTGTATTAAATAGCATTTTTTAGGCATACCTCCGGAACAACTCGGAATTTTAAAGCTTTCTAAACGGCATATTGTTAGGCTTGAAATTTAACCATCTTCGTATCACTTTTGTTTTCCAAGATCCTCATGATAGACATCCTTATCTTGGACACACTGTATACACATTATTAGATAATTTAATATTAAATTGTCTTGTAAAAAGCTGCTAGGATGGAATGTATTTCTATTTTTATGGTCCTTGCGAGAGGCGTTCCATATTATTGGATGCGCCTGGTATAACACTAAAAATTCTACAACTTTTTCGTTTGTCCACGCGGGTAGCGATGTTGTTGATGACATATCTCCACATACGCACTCGACGCGTGTTACAACAAGACTGAGCCAGTGAGCCAATATGTGGACGGATTGCCAACGTTGGCGCAGATTCCTTTGATAAAACCGACAATCGACAGCCAACTACCAACGGTCGCTCCAACGTTGGGGCCAACGGTATTTTCTAGATACACACGTTAGGCGAGTGGCGTTGGGACCAACGTTGGGGCCAACGTGTGGAGCCGGCGTGAGAATGACTTACTTGTTGTCGGTAATTTGCCCCATCTCTATACAACTCCTCATCGACAACCGTCACTTTGACACTGAAAGCAGCTGTCAAATGGCTGTAATAAACTAACCTAACATTACTGTTGTCCCTTCAGTTGTCCCCGATAGTGGAGCTGGAAAAGGGGCTTCGGGACGGTACAAAATGTACCAAAACGCGTGCGGGGCAGCTGCCGCCAGCGCAGGTGGTTGCGTTGAGACAGACAAAGAGTGCCACGGGTTGATCTCCAAAGAGCCTCTAGTTCCTACTGTAGAACATGACTACAGTGGATTCGATATTGTTAAAGCCACACAGGTCGGTGGTCCTTATTAATAAATACATACCAGCTGAAAGATGTACTAGTTTTAATGCCTATAAATTGCTTAATGTTTAAATACTTCTAGACTTATATGCAATCAATGATTAGTCATTCCTAAAAGGTGGTTCTGCAGTGTTCTAAGTGCGTTAGCTATTCCTATATTGCGTGCGTGTTATAAGTATTCAATCTACGAATTGAATATTGATTTTCCTAAAATTGTTTACATTATTTAAAGTGTATTTGAACTTTGGTTTTAACTCATGTGCTAATGACTCTTTGGCTTATGATTTCATATTTGTTTTCTAGTATGGTGCCTTCTCTCGAGTTAAAGAACTTATTGAAGGAGGACACAATGTCAATGAACGAGATGCTGAGAATGTTACTTTACTGCATTGGGCAGCCATTAATAATAGGAAGGAGATCATGCTTTACTTCATTGATAAAGGATCAGAAGTGGATGCTATAGGTAATTATTACTTTTCTTGTTTCCTTGCACATACAGTAGGGCATCCAAACTGAAAACCAATAATTAGTTATTTATCAATTTAAAATTTACCACAATTAACTGTATGGCTACCTACCTACACAAAAGTAGGACTTCCAAAACATAGGATAGAAGCAATCTTAATTAAAAATTGGGAAGGTAAAATTAAAAAACATGGGGCAAATTGAAGATGAAGGAAATCATGAAGTTAATACTGTAGCTTGCTTGTCATTTTTATGAACATACCTTCAGCAGCATAAATATTTTATAATTAATAATTAATCTTTAACAGAAACTGTCAAACTCTCATTTGGTAAAATGATTTGGTTATATTGCAGATTTTGTTTTATGTTGATTTCACAATTACTTTTAAGAGTTTAACTAGCTCCTAAGTTATTTGTTTTAAAGGCAAGAAAAATAGAGATTTTCTTTGACCTAAAGTATTTCATTGATAAATGCTTAGCATACATAATTCATTTTTCAGTATAATTGAGGTTTATTTCAGGTAGTAAATAGATCCTTTTCACTATAATATATGTAATAAATCCCTTTGCAAAGAAATAAGGATGAAAATCTGTTCAGTTAATGTTCTTTGCAATTCACTACTCATTATTGATGTGTTTTTCAATAAATATGGGGTTTGTGACTCTATATCTAGCATGTATTGAAATAAATGCACTAACCATGATTTCAAAAAAGCCTTGTGTATTCGAGATTTATTTATTTATTTACTCGACTTCCTATTACATACAAAACACATTACATTTATGTGGCATATTACAATAGCTTTATATAAATCATTAAACTAAAAAAGAACTAAAGATTCATGTGAAACCCAACCTACTTATATATATATAAAAAAAAGTAGGAAAATAATGGGCAAAATCCGCAAAAAGGAGGAAAGTGGAGCAGAAAATAGGATAGGTAACCCGAGCGATATTTTCTGCTCGAATCCACTTTCCTCCTTTTTGCGGATTTTGACCATTATTTTCCTACTTTTTGTTATATACCTTTCTCCGCATGATCATTTTCTCTCTCTCTCTATATATATATATATAAATTAAAGCTTCCGCCTTTTGTTGGGTACTTCGACAAAATTTAAGCAAAGAGGACTCTTTATACTTTTTTAATTCTCTCTAGCTTTCAATGGACTTTGCCATCATCATCAGGAGCTGCAATTACAATGATAACAGTAGCAACAAAAGTGTAAAATGAATATAAATTGACTCAACTTACAGTAGTATGTGAGGATGTTGCTAATTGTTGTTTACGTATAGGATGAGGGAAACGTCCAGTAACATGGTGAGAGCTGGATAGATGGTACAATGGTCAAAATTATATAAAATATGACAAGAACAAGTTAAAGATAAAGAAGATGAGAACCTGTCTGTCCCCTTTCTAGACACAAGACTCATCCGCACCAACAACAACAGTTTATTGGTAGACTGGTACCAGAAACCTATGGCCTCAGGTCGGTTTCTCAATTTTAGGTCATACCATAAGCTAGGGATTAAAATCAATTTGGTAAAACAGATGAAAACAAGGGTAATCAGCATCTCAGATAATACTTTCCACACCTCAAATTTACGTAAACTATCAAAACTGTTCATCAGTAATGGTTATCCGAAGTGTCTGATTTACAAGATCTTATTTAGTTCACCTTCCAATATTTTGCCGAACTCTGGTGATGCAGGTAATAGTCGCACAACCCCTAATAACGGAACTGATGTAATTCCCAATAATAGCATCAATCCAAACAGTACAAGCACCAACCCGGTCTCCAGACCTGGTTTTGCTGTCCTGCCCTATATCAAGGAACTGACCCCTAAGCTGATCAGATTGTGCAGTCCTTTGAACTTTCGAATTGCTTGCAAATCCGTCCTCACTATAAACTGCATTTTTTCAAAAATGAAAGACAAAGTTCTTGATAAAGAAAAACACCTTTCCAAACGTTTATTCCTGGAAATGTCCCACATTTTCATGAATAACAACTGTATCAACAAAAAGACAGATGTTAAACAACTGAGTGTCATTTACTCATATTTGCTAAACTGCGAAACATTGGAGAACTTACATATCTCCCCAAATTTCGACTCTTCACAACCATAAATAGAATCTGTGTTTTGGCCGATTCCACCAGTAAATTTCATTCCACTCAAAATCTAATAATTCTCTTCTCACGATTTATTAATAATTGTTAATTTAAATTCCTATTAATTAAAATATAGTTTATTCAACTGCCTCTGGTCGGTTTAACAATTTCTTACATAACATTCTGAAAATCACATCATCTGAAGTGATTTGGCAACGTTTGGCACACGCCCACAATTCGTTCCATCTTTCAACACAGACATTGACAACCTTCGGCCTTCTGTCAAAGGGTTCATCTCACTCATTATTCCATGACCACCATTTTGTGCAATCATCAAGTGGCTTCACGATGTAATGCTCTAATGTTTTTAAATAATTTTTTATCTATTTTTAACTTGTTCTTGTCATATTTTATATAATTTTGACCATTGTACCATCTATCCAGCTCTCACCATGTTACTGGACGTTTCCCTCATCCTATACGTAAACAACAATTAGCAACATCCTCACATACTACTGTAAGTTGAGTCAATTTAAATTCATTTTACACTTTTGTTGCTACTGTTATCATTGTAATTGCAGCTCCTGATGATGATGGCAAAGTCCATTGAAAGCTAGAGAGAATTAAAAAAGTATAAAGAGTCCTCTTTGCTTAAATTTTGTCGAAGTACCCAACAAAAGGCGGAAGCTTTAATTTTTCACCTAACTGGTCTAGACGACAATGACCACGTCTCAAGTTATATATATATATATATATTCATACATATATGTGTAAAATCAAACCAACTAAAGTTAAATGGAATCATTTTTCATGTGCTTTTAGATGTGCCTAATTTTGCTGCTAAATTTGGATGAAACCCTATTTCCTGGATCAATTGACAGCATAGATTCTGAATATGTCATTAGTTTCATATTATGTTCAAAACAATACATTTGTTCTTCCAAACAGGCATCATGATATTTCAAAATTCTTCAATGGTTACATAAGAGTTCAGTCTCTGAATTTCATAGGTGTATCAAGTTTCAGTCATTTCAACAACTGGTAAAAATGAAAAATTTTTACTGTGATGAACTTTTTAAAAACCCATTCAAATCTTTCTTTTCTACCACAGTTCTGGGCAAACCTCGTGTGTAGATTTCAAATCTAACATCAATTTGTTGCAAGCTTCCAGGGGGGAGAGCCAAATGACCTATTTTCTGCCACATATTTTCTCTGTTTATTTCTGCTTCTGACATAGATTTGACGCTAGGCCCAGCCGGAAGCCAGATACGTCTTATATTATACCTCAAATCTGTCCCCATAATGCTTCAGATTTCTTTGATGAGAAAAATTAAATTTCAGAACCTCAAATTACTTGATTGTACTGAGTTTTGTTTGCTCAAGAATTTTGCGTGGCTACATTATATAATAATCATCAAGATAATGTTCAGCTTCAATGTTGGTTTGTTTTTAATGTTTTTGCATTTGTGAAAAGGTGGCGAACTAAATGCCACCCCACTGCACTGGGCAACAAGACAGGGACATCTTGAGGCAGCTGTCATATTGATGAACTCGGGAGCTGATCCAGATCTCAGAGATGCTGAAGGATGTTCTTGTATCCATTTGGCAGCACAATTTGGACATACTGCATTGGTGAGTTTTTATTCTAAGAAACTTTTGTTTAGATGTATGTGAAAATGTTACTTTTTGAGGTATAATATTAATAGTGTCACTTGCAATGACTATTTAAAAAAAATCCCATTACTTTGAAGAAAATTTAGTGAATCCAGGACTTTGTCACATGCCTTAATTGCATCAGAAAACAGAAGGTTGCTGAGATTTTTTTTATATTGTTAGGTGGCGTATTTTGTGGCCAGAGGCGTCAACCCTGACTGTACTGATCGCGCGGGTATGACCCCGTTAATGTGGGCAGTATGGAAAATATGCAGTTTGGACCCCACCAGATTGCTGATTACACTTGGTGCTTCTCCAAATGTAACGGATCAACAAGGGAACACGGCTCTACATTGGGCCATTCTTGCTAGAAATACCACAGCAATTTCTACGTTGATTTTACAGGTGAGATTGTGGTTTATTTCCCCCGCTTATCGGCGAGGAAGTATTGCAATCGTGATAAATGTCTTATTTGGGTTACATGACAATCAGTAATCATTGGCTTCTCTATACCTCGAAAAATACCTTTCAGATTTTGATGAATTGTAGACAAGCTTACGACCATGCCAAGAAGACCCAGTTATATTTCATTGCTATAAAAATCTTGATGAAAATTATGAGACACATTGACAGTATTTTTTGATTTATCAAAAGCCTTCGGCTGTGTAAAAGCTAACATCCTCGTAAATAAAATTAAACACTATTGTCTCAGAAATCCCGTAGATCAATGGATTCTGTCGTTTATGTCAAGCAGTCAAGCAGAAGAAATCATGCTAATCTGGGTAGCACTATCTCTAATCCACATGACCTAAGAGTGGAGTGCTATTACCATTTCTGATTTTGTTATTTGTGATTGATTTAGGTAAACACATAATTTATAAGGATTGTTTCTTGGTAATCTTTGCTGATGACACAACTAAGTACCAGCAAAGTGGCTAGAGGAACTAGAGAGTATCACTAACATCCCAAGCAAAAGTTCCAAAAGTGGGTAGTATTAAATAGGTTACTTATTAATACAGATAAAACAAAATACATCTTGTATCACGAACGAAGACTGCAAAACAAGACAACAGTTACAATAAACAGTAAGTCACTGTAAAGAGTACCAAACATAAAATTTTTAGGTTTAATAGTGGAGAAAATTTGAGCTGAAAAAACCACATTGAGTATGTAGCCAAGAATTTAATTCAGCATTTTTTGCTCTAAGGAACTTAAAATACATAATGAATTAAAAACACTTATTAAACGTCTTTAATGGCATATTGGGGATTGTCTGTTGAGGCCCAAATAATCTTTATCCTTAAAAAGAGAATAGTCAGACTCTTATTCTCATTGCAGCCTCTAGAGTCTTGTTGAAAAACATTTAGAGATGAAAAAAAACTAACGTTAACATCGTTACTAATTCTAGAGGCGGGCCTTCGTGTGAAATCATAACCTCCTATAATCTCAGAAATAATAACATTACATTGAACAACTATAGTCTCAGCACATACCATAATGGCAACCTGTAGACCTATCTTCAATAATTTGCTCTCTGAGATAAAACCATCAACGACTTAAAATACTTCAAAAAATAACGTTTGGCGTACTTGTACCCTAAGTGTTTTTACTCTCTGCAACAGTTTTATGATTCTTAATAATTACACATTCAACTACTTTATTGATTATTTTCCTTATACATTTATTCTTCTATTAAACTATTTACACTTTTAAACAAGCCATTTTTTGCTACTAATTTTATAACTTGTTATCACCTATTTTATTCCAATTTAATCATGTTGTACATTTTCCTTAGTTATGAAAATCTGACCTTTACCTGTTGACGTTTCATATCCTCAAAGCAATTTGAATAAAATTTATTATTATAAAATATTAAAAAGATTATTGGAAAGATTGTAAATTTTAAACAGGTTCAAATCTTGTAATGAACTATGCGACCAACATGGCAAGAAGTTGAACATATTTATTCTGCAAAAAATTTATTGGTTAGTTGATATCACAGTACACATAATATTATATTATAATGAACGTTAAAATAATTATTAATGAAATTATATAATTATAAATATTAAATGTTGATATGCCAAATCAAAATGCTATACTTCATTGGCTGGAAAAACTTGATATTGATTGGCATTTTCATTTCTTTCCACCTGAAAAAAATCAATATCAGTCTAGTCATTTAGTGCAGTCAATTATTTATGCAGCTCTTCAACAGTTAATCAACTTCAAATCGGATTTTTTTGTAAATCTGTGAATAAAATTATACCTTTTTTACCGCCTTTTGCCCCAGGTGCTTCTTTTACTCCAGCTTTCTGGTCAGTGGCACCTTTTGCCCCTCCACCAGCTTTTTTCTGAAATATTTCGAATCATTATTCATATTTATGGATTAAGAAATGAGTATTTTGAGACTTAGGATTGATTTAAAACTATTGTCCAATAATGCTTTACAAAGTATAAGGTACCAGGCACAAAACATATGGGACTTAAGCACTGGTCAAATTTAATGAAAATTTGTATAGTATCAGTAGATGCTGTGTTGATCAATGTTCCATTAGGCGCATAACCCAGAAATGCTCTCTATTTGAGATACAACTCGTCTTTAGTTTGTACCCAGGTACTTAACGATATTTAAAATTACGTGAACACGTAAATTACGGTTAAAAAGATGAAGTTGTGTCAGCTAAATGAGGGTAAAGTTGAGCATTCAAGTAACTAAGCTTCACAATTCAGTATATATCCGGAGAGAAATGGAAAAAGTTTAATTTTTGCAAAATTGTTTTGATTTCTTCCGGACTTTATTTGAAGTAAGATTTCAAAATAGATTGCACATTAACATTGTCATTTTTTTTCTACAAGGTAACATAATTAGAGTTTCAATTTTCATTTGATAAGTTAAGATCAACAGAATGAAGTCTATTTTTTAGACAATTGAAGTTTTTTTAATATCAATCTATGTCATATTTTATTATAATTATTATATCATTAAAATTGGAAATAGGAACAGTTGCTTAGTTCATAGAAACTGAAGGAATGCTTGACTGACGATATTATGAAACAAATGGCTATCTGAAAATTTCAAAGTCAACTTAGAATTTTTTGTTTTTTGAAAGAACTAAGGGCCGTATCGTCAGTCGTTCCTACAATTGTAGGACGCCTTTATGTCCTCCTTGATTTTCATAGTTCTCTACTGTTCCGTGTCAGTGCTCTATTTTGAAGTTGTGTTACAAATATCTAGTTGCTCCAAATTATTCATGCTTTTGATTTAAATCATGTTATATCAGCCTGAAATTTCCTTCATTCAGTAGGCTCACAATAGGAGAACATTAACGCTGTCACGGAGATCTAGAAATACCTCAGCCTTTCTGAAGGAGAGCAAAGACTATGAAAATCAATAAGAGGCCATAAAGGCGTTCTACAATAATTGCTTTGGAAACAGAATAAAAACTGTTCACCTGTGCAAAGATCCAATTGAGGAGAAGAGACGAAACGTCATATTAAAATTCTAATTATGCCACCTTTTAGAGAAGAAACAGGTGCAATGCTGATGTACAATTTATTTGAATTCACACCTCAAATAAGGCCAGAAAACAATAAAAACCGTCTTGTGCTTGGTACTTTAGTGTAATGCAAACGTTGGGAACGTCGAAATATTTGGCTCAAATGTTGATAAATCGGTACTTGTTATATTGCTGTTATCTCATACTATATGATTTTGTAGAGAAAAACATAGTGTATTCGAACCTGATGTATTCCGCGCCAAAATAAACATGAGCACTGGATCGCAGCTTGTATTCGCCTGTCGCTACCTGCCCAGGCATTTACGATCCGCTGGGCAATAGGAACGTGCAGATTTGATCATCGCGTGCTCGTGTATGTTTAGACGGGGACGTGTGAATGAGATTTCAATACACCATAAGTATAGAAATGCTAACAAACTGACAATACTAAACTTTAGCAGCTTTAAAACGTTACTGCAGAATTGCAAGGTGGACCTCTAATGGGTTTTTGGAATATACGAGATGTGTACATTAAGTGATGAGACCGGCAACGTAGCGTTCGATCTGGCAATACTGGAGGCACCGCGGCAGAGGGGCGAGAGGAGAACATGTGATCCGCCTCCGTTTTTTCTATTGTGTTCTAAAAATGCGTGAATCAGTTTCTAGCAACGGTGTGCTAACAAGTTTTGCTCCAGACTTGGGCACAATGCAAAGGAAACTCTTTCTAAACAGACCTAGATAGTACTTGTCAAGAGCCCAGGTTTTTCGTTGGTTTAAGACATTTTGAGAGGGAGAGGGTGGATTGAAGATGAACCACGAAGCGAAAGGTCTTCATCTTCAAGAAAATATTGACAGAATCACACAGCAATGTCAATAAACGAATTTTCGGACAGTAAAAACATTCCTGTGGGTCCTCAGCGTCCTTGATCGCCTGACTTGAGTACTTGTGACTTTTTTACCTTCCCGAAGCTGAAAGATCACTCAAGGAAACTCATTTTGGGACAGTCGAAAACATTCAAACGGCTGTAACCGACCAGCTGAAGGATATTCCAGCATCGGAGTACTGCTATGGGTAGTGGACGAACCGTCTCCAGCACTGTGTGGCTTCAGAAGGAAGTTATTTTGAGAGTGACAATATAAAATTGTAATAATATTTGAATGAAAAAAATCAGTCTCATCACCATTTTTACAGACCTCGTATAGTAAAAAGCTGATAAATCTGCGGTGTGATATTCGACTGCTCGGTAATGGATACTGAGCCCGGACCATGTACAATCCGATTTTGCTGCCACGACGTTATTTCAAATAGAAAAAACAATGAAAATTTGAAAGTGTCACTTTTGGAACCCATCTGCTAATCCATCTTCATATCGTTCGCAGCACTTCGATTTATTGGCGATGACCATACGGAGAAAAACTCAATAATTTTGGGGGAAATTATGATACATATCAATGATAAGATATACAAAAACAAATGAAATGCTTACGTCTGCAGCAGGTGCTGGACCTCCTCCGCCTTTGCCTCCTTTGCCTTTACCCATTTCTTGAGACTGATGTAACTTTTTGCGGTAAAACAAATAGGAACGATTCAAGTTCAAATCTATCTTTAGATTTGGCAAGTGCGTCGCGCTTTGGAAAATCGCATAAAAGTTTAAGTCACAATGTCAACAGTGTTATGCAATATTTACGATTATTTACAGTACTGGCTTACTATGAGGCGCACTACTTTATACAGGGTGAAAAAAACATGACAATATTCCTAAAGCAGAAATTATATAAAAAATACCATAGAAAGTTCATATGAATGTCCGATCACTAAGAGTATTGTGTATTTTTACGTCAATGACTGCACGTTAAAACAAATATTTTATCTAAAAACGTGTTAGATGTGTTTTTTTTTGTCTAGCATGATTGCTACAGTTATATTCTTTAAAAAAACTATAACAATTATATAACACACAAATGATTAAAAAAACAAAACATGCAACTCTAATCATGTTCACTGTCCATGAAATGTTCTTTTAATTTTCTTTTAAATTTCTTTAAATTAAAAGTAGACTTCATATCATTATTTAGTTTATTAAATTCAATTAATTCCTTCTGGAATATTGATTTGCTAGTTACTTTACTGCAATTTTGTAAATGGAAATTCATCTTACCTCTTGTATATTACTTGTGACAATGATTATTCAGTTCTATGTAATGTTCTAAATGTTGTGGTGAAATATGATTTTTTATGAACGTAAATTTTTTATATTCAACCACTGCAATACTTTTATTCAATATCTTTGTAATTTTTTGTAATTCTGGCGATATTTCCATCATAATGAAACTCCCTAGAGATTGTAGAGTGATAAAAAATCAGCAATCCTCCGTTTCCTTCAAATCCTCTTTTTTATTCTAGGGCCGTGCCAGCTTGAATATACCTAACCACAGAGGAGATACACCACTGACAATGCTACAGACGCATTTAGGCGCTATGTGGATGAGCCCTAAAGTTGTTGATATGGTGAAAGAACAGACATTTGCTTCCAGTACTGCTAGAAATTTTTTAAATAAATTGTTAAAAGATAAGGTAGGAACAATTGAAACCTGATATCATTGATCAACATATTCTGCCTTAAGAAGGCTATTTACTGTATTCCGGCATCCAAAAGGAAATTTGAAAGATACAAGCCCCATCTATACGAGAGTAGCAGAACACTAAAATGAATTTAGAAATATACTTTGAAAAGAGTTAGATTGTTTGCTTCTACTACTGATTCATAGATGGCGCTGCGACTGAATCGTGATATGGAGCGGTAAATCAGTGAAAATATTTTTTTCAGCGTTTGAGATGGTGGTGCATGGTGGGTACTCCTTTCATGGCCTTCTATGCAGCAGGCGGTATTTTAGCTACAGACCAAATAATACTTATTAAGATTTTTCTGCTTGTGTGTTTGTATATAATCATCCACTATACCGGACAGCTCTTATTTGATGATCGATTGATGGGTAAGTACCACCAACTACCTTATCTGTATTAGATAAAATAAGAAAACTCAAGATTGTATGATTTCAAATTTTCATTTTCTGACGTGATCGCTAATCTTCGTTTACGTTCATTTTGTTTGCTTGATTGGGTAGCTATAGGTAGTGGTCCGTGGACTCTTATCGAGTGTGAAATCTTAAAAAATGGTGGTCAATGTGAATATTAATATATTTTTTAGGTTTATTACCATTAAGCATCTACCTATCGACAAAAATGTGGTTTTACTTCACCTGGATCATCTACATTATGCCCGTCGTAGGGATAGCGCTCACGCTATTTTTCTTAATAAGTTCGACGCTACTATGGTATTGTTTCCTTAATTCGTGGTTAGGAGATCCTGGTATAGTTACTACTTCTCAACAGTTGCAATTTAGGGTGAGTTTCTGACATTTGTAGATAATTTGACAGGTTTTCACGCTTCTACATTTGCAATTAAAAGGGCGTCCCATCCCGTGCTATACTGAGCTGACTACTAAAGTTTCCACGTTCACCGAAAAAACACGAGGGTTAAAGACTAACGTCTTATCACTTAACAGCATCATTTTTGGCTATGGTTGCAGAATAAGTGGAGAATATACGCATTTTTCTTTCAGACAATTATAGAGTTAGCAGAGAAGGGCCCAGGCGGATTCGAACCGTCATCTTTTTGTTCGGCTTGTCTAGTTAGGAGACCAATCAGGTCGAAGCATTGTGCTGTGTGCAATCATTGTGTTGCAAGGTTTGATCATCACTGTCCGTGGGTAGCTAATTGTATAGGTAAGTAGTAAAAAAATAGAACTTACAAACGCTATAGTTTTCTTAACGAAAAACCTGGAAACTATTTTCACGTTTCTGAAATGGCCGCTAGGAGGCGCAACTGCTACCTCGAATATAAAAAAGTGATGTTTATTAAATTCGAGTATAATTTGAAACTTTTTTGTAATAATTTTTGCTGTATCTCTAAAAATAAAGTGGTGGGGGTATTCAAAGGCTTCCGTAAAAAACAAAGCCGATTTTAACAAACTTGGGCTAGTTGAAAAGAGCTATTCTTGGGCTACAAGTGTTATAATATTTGATGTTTTGTTAGTTTTACATGTGGCCGCTAGAGGGCGTTTTAGACATTCCGACAAATGGTTAATTTTCCCAAAAAATTAAATGCATTCGTATGTCTTTTTGTTTATGAAAAAGTAGCTAAATGATGTCTAAACAAGCTCGTGACACAGTATCTCGATATCTTGTTCCTAGCCTAAAATTTAGACCAAAGAAGATTTTATACGGAAATCCCTTAGATTATTTTTTTAAACTTATTTTTCTTAAATTTCTTTTTATTATTAAGTTAAATAAGTACAGTAATGGACAAAAGTATATAGACAAATTAATATTGTGCTGTATTTCTTTTTTAACTTGTTTTATTAATACATACACCAACCTGTATACATAATTCGTTATAGCATAATACTCACTTATACATAAATAAATTCATTAGACTCCCTTCATTAAAAAAATTAATTGAAAAAAACTGGAACTATGAAGGACAAAAATATATAGACAAGGCAAAACAATTATAGAAAAAAGAAGCAAATTTCATTGAATTATAAAAAAACAACCATGTTTGTGTTAATATTTTGTAGCATAACCATTATTATCAATCACCGCGTGGCATCGTCTCGGCATTGATTGTAGAAGTTTCTTGATATAAGATTCATCAATCTGTCACCACTTTTGCTCTAAAGCGGCAAAAAGTTAATCCTTGTTTGAATATTTTTTATCTCGTATTTGCTTATCTAAGTATTCCCATAGATTTTCAATGGGGTTTATATCGGGGATGTGAAGGCTATTTGAGAACTGGTATTTTTTCATCCAGAAAGAATTTCTTTGCGAGATTTGAAGTGTGCTTCGGGTCATTATCTTGCTGGAAGATTGATCTTAGAGGCATATAGGTATAGGGTAACATGACATGCTTTAGTATGTCTGTGTATACAAACATCCATAATGTAAATGTCCCATCCCAAACTCCGAAAAGCACCCCCAAACCATAACAGACCCGCCTCCATGTTTGACAGTGGGCAAAGTGTACTTGGGGTTCAATCTTTGTACACTAGGACGTCTACCGTAATGAACACCATCTGATCCAAACATATTGAACTTGGATTCGTCACTGAAACATACCCTCTTCCAGTCACAGATGCTCCAATCAAGATGCAACCGTGCAAATTGTAATCGGTCCTTACGGTTTTTCCTCGAGATTAGCGGCTTCTTTCTCGGGCGACGTGCAAATAACTTTAAATCATTTAATCTTCTACTTATAGTTTTCGTAGAAACACTGACAGTTCCGTTTGTCTCGATTTCGGCTTTTATTTGTCTTGGGGTTTTAAACGGATCTTTGTACGAAATTACTTTTATTAATCTAACTGATCTAGCATTTAGTTTTCTAGGCCGACCACTTCTCGTAGAGGCTTCCAAGATACCTTTTTGTTTATATTTGTTCAATATTGCCCAAACTGTGTTACGCTTCAGCTTCAAATTTATGGCAATGTCGACTTGACGTTGACCATCTTTGTATAACTCAATGATCGTATTTTTCACATCGAAAGAAATTTCCGGACCCCGCGGCATGGTCTTAAAATCACTCGACCTATTCCACAATACTTGATGAACACAAAACAATCCTCTTCTGACACGAAACTGTACTAAACTAATGTTGAAAATAATTTCTCTACATATTTTTGTCCCTCATAAAAAAGTGTTTATATTCAGACTTGCATTGTGTTCATTGAACACAAACTAATCGTCTTCTGAGACGAAACTGTACTAAACTAATGTTGCACATATTGTTCTACATATTTTTTCCCTCATAAAAAAGTGCTTATACATATTCAGAATTGTATTGTGTTCATTGCAGATATTGTAAAAACAAGGAATTTAGTTTTTCTACTAATAACGCATTTGTTTATGGTATGAACTCGTTTTCTAGAGGTATTTAGGTAAATATTCATATTTGTCTATATATAAGGTTGTCCAATAGGGACGCAGGAAAGTAAACGTCAATTTGACATAGACGCCATCTTTGTTTTCTGTCACCGACATGTCATTTTGTTAGTTGAATGTTTACCATTGATCGCTATGGAGTCGTATTCGATTGAAGACCGCATTAAAGTTATTCAAGAGCACTACAAAAATGGTGCAAAAATAAAAAAACACGTTTCGCGCGCTTCGTGAACATTTCGGTCGCAACAACCGCCCAAACGAAACAACCATCGGTCGTCTGGTGCGTAAATTCGAGGCAACAGGTTCTGTGGCAAATCTGCCAATCTCTGGCCGGCCAAGGAGCATTCGCACACCGGAAAATATTGCTGCTGTGAAGGAGAGTGTGAGAGACGATCCGAAACAATCAACAACGCGTCGATACCAAGAATTGGGCATTTCGAGAACCAGTTTGCTCCGCATTCTCCACAAGGATTTGAATGTACACGCCTACAAGATCTGGGCGAACGAAAATCCCCGTGAGTATCAAGAGCAGTCGATGCATCCTCAAAAAGTGACTGTGTGGTGTGCATTTTGGTCAAAAGGCATCATCGGACCTTACTTTTTCGAAAATGCGGCCGGGGACGCCGTTACCGTCAATTCTGAGCGATATCACGTGATGATAGAGGATTATTTTTTGCCGCAACTTGAAGGAATGGATATGGACGATGTTTATTTCCAACAAGACGGTGCAACATGCCACACAACCAACGTCAATATCCATCGATTGCAGTCCTTCTTCGGTGATCGCGAGATTTCGCGCAGAGGAAATGTGCCATGGCCACCAAGATCGTGCGATTTGACTCCCTTGGACTTCTTTTTATGGGGATATTTGAAAAGCAAAGTCTACGTCAACAAACCAGCCACCCTCCAAGAACTCAAAAACAACATCATTGCCGAGATAAATGCCATAGAACCGACCATGTTGCAAAATGTCATTGAACATTTCGACCATCGCGTGGACGTCTGTAAATCCAGTCGTGGTGAACATTTGAGCGATATTATTTTTCATACATACATGGTATAAATGATCCTTCAAAATAAAGTAACCAACTTGATTTGAATATCAATCTTTCTAGTTTTAATATGCGTTTACTTTCCTGCGTCCGTTTTGGACAACCCCATACTTTTGTCCATTACTGTATGTCCGCTAATCCTTGGCCTGTATATAACTCAGAAAGTACCGGTCGGATTTGAATGAAGTTTTCATGCAAGGTTGCGAGGGAAGTATAGAGTCTACTTACTTGACGCCATTTTTGAACGGGTTTGATGACGTTTTTACATTTTTTTTCATTTTATTCTTCCATCCTACTTTGCAATATGATGTGTGGTAATAATGCATTTTTTTAGGTGCTAAGAATCACAAACACTTCATAGGCTTCCTGGCAGCTCTAATATTAATGTGTTCTGAAATGTTGTACGGTTCATACAAATATTGGCAAAACGAGCCAAGCTGCAATGCTACCAGTGAAGAAATTTGGCAGAAAGTTGTCACAATTGGCAGGTACTATATTTTACCTGTACACATGCTTTACAAAGGATCGTTATAGTAATGAGTTTATAATTTCCATATTTATTTTTTTACTTAGGTGCAATACTTGGGTGGCGTGGGTTAGCATCAATGCGTTCTTCCACTGCATCTGGGTGTTCATGTTGTTAGTTTGTCAGTTATATCAGGTGAGTACTCAAATATTCAATACTCTTTCAGTCTTTCTGGATGCCCGCTAAGCAGATTGGACTTGATTCCTGCTGTTTTAATGAAGACATGTGCAGCGGAGCTTTCTCCAGTTCTATCGCGTCTCTTCCAGATATCTTACGAAGCCAGCACTTTCCCAGAACTTATCGTTGCTCTTAATATTACAAAAGCGTTCAACTTCTAACCTATGGCCTCCCAGAGCAGCTTTGCAGATCGGTGGCTGACTTCGTTTCTGACCATAATGCCGGGTCCACACCAAACCAACAAAACAGAAACAAAACAGCAACTCAATGTTTTTCAACAATTAAGGAACAAATCGGCAACATTTCGTCAACAATTGATTTGTTTCTGTTTCTGGCAACTTTTGGCGTTCCCGTCGCGTGTCGGTAACGATCAAAAGGTTTCAGGCAACATTGTCGGTGCGATGTGTACTTTGTTGCGAAACAAATTTAAAACAGAAACTAGTATCAAAAGCGAAGCGTAGTATGAATTCTTCAAAGTTTTCGCTGGACATTCTTAAAAAGTTCTCGAAACCAGAACGCAATCCAATATCGTCTTTTCGCAAATCGGACAATAATTTTTCAATACCACGATCATCTCTTTCACGTAAGGATGGTTTCACCCAAAAGCGTTTTTTATTTTCCCGGTTACAACTCTGGAGAAACACATAACAGCAGACATTATGATAAAATTTTTGCGGTTCTGCCTTTCAGCATAAAAACGCCACATATTTTCACTCTGAAAATTTTTGGTGTGAACTGCACGAAACAAAACAACTTTTTTGTCTCTTGTCAAGTTTTCATTTTGTTTTGTTTCCAAAAAGTTGCGCATTTGTTGCGTTTCTGTTTTGTTCCTTGTTTTTGTTTTGTTGATGGGTTGTTCTCTTCATACCATAATGTCAATGCGGGTGTTCCTCAGAGATCGATCTTGCCTCCGACATTGTTACTATTACATATCAATGGCCCCCTTTCCTCTACGATCAATCCGATCCACAGCTTTGCTGATGACAGTGACTTTCTCTCTGACGAGGAACCTGGAGGTTTATCACGGGAGACGCAATAGTCTGGTATAGTTTATTGCTTTCAAAATACAGTACTGTATCTTAATTAACAAGAAGCGCCCTAGAGCTCAACCGGTACCATAGGGCCGTTCATTTCGGCTGGTCGGAGTCTAGATCACCGAGGACTTGATCTGGCTCGAACACATCTCGTCATTAACGGCAGATGCTGGGAAAAAGCTTAGAAGTACAAAAGTACATAACCTCATTGTGTACAATGTCCAGATCGGACCTAGGCTTGAGCGCTGCTCACATGTTTTGGGGTTCTGCCGCTCCGATTACATTATCCATGCTCGATCCTGTTCAGAGGAATGCTGCCCGACTGATCAACGACTCGTCTCTAATGGACAGTCTAGAGACCCTTTCGCACCGAAGAGCTGGCGGTGATCTAGCTCTCTCCTACCGATACGTCAACAGGCTTTGCTCCATGACGCCGCCGCGCGATGTGCCTGCCAGGCAGATCACCCGCGCGATTTCAGCCTCCCGTCTCGAACTTCGTACATCCAGAACTGGCACATACGACAGCTCCTGAGGAGGAGTTTGCCAGTTCTACGAACCTTAGATAACTTAAAAATCGGCTTAACAAAGTTTCTTTATGCTCCTCATAGCAGCTGCTGTGCCGTGGTGTTTAGGCATCTGCCTACACGGCTGCTTCTGTATAAAAAATAACCGCTGCCGCAAAAAGAAGGGGTGGTATAAGTTCCGAACGTCTTGTCTGTCGAGATGATTCTTCGCTATGTTTGATAAAAATGAATATTGCCACATTTTTCTGAACGACCCTATATACAGGGTGTAAACGTTATGATAGTCATTATTTAAATGGGTGATAGAGCGGGTTAAAATAAGCAAAAAGTTTCATATAACATGCGGGCCAAAACGGCAGAGAAAAGCGACTTTAAAGTAAAATCAATTTTTGGCTCTTAGGTATTATTTCATTATTTGATAATGTACTCGTAAAATGCAAACATTTAAAAAAAACGGACACTAACTGTCTCAGCGCTCCACCTGGTGTGTGAAAGTTTATTGAACGTATTAAAAAAATTCACTTATAAATAGGGAACACAATTTTGATACATACTTTGTTTTTCTTTTTAAAATCCACACTGCACTTTTTTGTATTTAAAGATGTTCAAAATTTTATCCTCCACTTTCCACACAAGCTTCATTACGACGAACTCAGTTTCTTCTTACTCTAGGTTCTCGAAGTTATCCATTTATTATTTCAGCCGCTTTAAAATTTTTTTCGCGAAGTTGTGCTTCAGTTGTTATTGGACTAGCCCCACAAACCATCCCTTTAAGTTCTCCCCAATACCAGAAATCCATCGGATTGAGGTCAGGAGATCTTGCTGGCCATTTTCGAGGATCAGGAGCATTTCGACCGATCCAGCGATTTGGATAATGTTCATTCAAATACTGAATGACGCCTCTAAAAATGTGTGGTGGTACCCCGTCATGAAGAAACCACAAATTCTGTCTCCGTTGTAATGGCATGTTGTCTAAGGTCTGTTCCAAAAGTTCTGGCTAGAAAGCTAAGGTATCCTTCTCTTGACAACTTTGGGGGTAACTTGAAAGGGCCAATTACCTGATCGTCAATAATATCCGCCCAAATATTTATTTTAAAACGTTGTTGTAAATGACCTTCACGAATGATATGAGGATTTTCTTGGGCCCACGTGGAAATTTAATATCCCGTCTAGCGTAAAAGTACATTCGTCTGTCGCTAGAATGTTTTTAAAAAAATCCGGATTTTCAATGTTTCTGTGGAAAAACCACTGACAGATTGTTAGTCTGCGAGGATAGTCTTCTGATAACAAGGCCTGCACTCGTTGTATATGGTAGGGATAAAGCAAATTTTCCCGTAGGATTCTATGGACTATGGTATGCGATAGTCCTACGCGGCGGCCTAATTCCCGAGTGCTGATATCTGCATTGATTTCCACGATATTTAAAATTTGTTCCTCCTGCTCTACAGTAACCTGTCTTTCACGAGTGCGAATATTAGTGGGCTGAACACTTCCTGTATCTCGAAGTCTTTGGTACACTAGCACAAATGTCCTTCTGTATGGGTGTACCCGTTGGCGAAATCTTTCGCGATAAATTTGAGCTGCAAGGTCTGAATTCTGACGAGCTTCACCGTAAACTAACATGTCGGCGAACTCTTGATTCGAGAACGTTGTAAATATCACGACGACGTACGCGACCAAAAACAAAACAACACGCCCGATGCCCAATAACTAACCACTGTTACCGTTTGCGATCGATTGCCGGTTCGATAACAGTGATGAAAGGCCGACCCGCTGTTGTCATGTGTGTTTTAAATATTTAATCTAATGAAACTTACTTACTGACTAGAAATTTTGGCTTAACTTAGAAAAACTTAATGCCATTTATTTGTTAATTGCCCAATTTAAAAACGTTTTAGATTAGATTATAAAAATTAGTAAGATTGTGGTCGATATAAAGCACTTAAAGTTGTAAACTATAAAGCCATTTAGACAAAAATCTATTGACTTTTGGACCATGGGTCATATGAACTTTTTGACTTGTTTTGACCCCTCTATTACCCATTTCAATAATGACTACCATATCGTTTACACCCTGTATGATGTCGTGGGACGAGTCGAGTCAATCTACTTGACACCATATTTTTGTTGCTTTTCAGATCTCATGTCTGGGTATGACAACGAATGAACGCATGAATAAAGGGCGATACGCTCACTTCATCATGAATGCTGGAAAAAGCCCATTCACAAAAGGCAGCTTCCGCAACCTGATCGAGTTTTTCGAGTGTACCTGTTGCGGCCTGCACAAGCCCGAAGTGAAAGACTGGCTCACTAGTTACGATCTTGAAAGAAACATCGAACACCAGCCTTTGCTTAGGCACAGAGACAACTACCAGTATGTGTGAGAGTGAGGAATATTGCAAGTGGAGAGTGTTAGGTAGAGAATGTGAGAAGAATGTTAGAAAAGGATAAAGGTAGGTTGTTCTGACTGAACATAGAACCTTCAAATGAAAATATAACTGACGTTTTGATGGTGCAGAGCACGGCTAAGCGAATTTACACAAGAGTTTGAAAAGCAGATTCTTAAATGCATTTATGCATATTAGATCAGACTATATAGACGAAAATTCATGAAAAAATATGGAGAATGTAAATATGGTTATTTACTAGACTCTCTGATAAAGTTGCAGAAAACATTCCTGATTGTAATAATTGTCGATAATATTCTAGATTTAAATAAAGTTTAAATTATTGTTACTTGTATATAAGGCACTTTTGCTAGGATAACGTTAAAGTTTTTATAATTTATACACGTCTATTTATATCATATACATAAAGCCTAATTATACAGGATGTTTATGAAGTTGCTGGCCATACTTCAAGTGATGGTTCTAAGAAGAAAAGTTCAGAGAAAAGCTTATACACAGTGGACGATATGTAGCTGACTGGTTTGTATCTTGAATATTAGTAAAATGAAATAAAAAGTCCATTTTTTCATCTTAATCTTTTATCAAAACTTAGAAATTATATATATATATATATATATATATCTTGATTACGTTTTCCATCACTTTTTGGTAGGTTTCGGGAGGAACATCTTCAAACGCTTCCGTAATATTGTTCTTCAGCTGCTCTACAGTATTTGGTTTATTGGCATAAACCCTATTTTTCAAAAATCCCCATAAAAAAAGTCAGGAGTCGTTAAATCATGTGACCTTGGTGACCAGTTGGCATCACCAAATCGAGAATTAAACGTCCCGGAAATATCGTTCGCAAAAGATTCATTGTCTCCCTAGCTGTGTGACAAGTTGCTCCGTCCTGCTGGAACCACATATTTTGCAGGTTAAATTGTTGGATTTGAGGAGCCAGAAAGTTTTGCACTATAACACGGTAGCGCTCGCCAGTGACATTTAGATAATTACCTGCAGCGTCTTCAAAGAAGTAAGCTCCAATGACACTTCCATGCCAAACACCGCACCAAACTGTGACTTTCATGGTCACTAGGCTGTAGTTCCTGGGTTAACTGAATTTTGCCCGCAAATGCAAGTATTTTTTAAAATAGTGCACAATGACGTACGAAGAATACATTTCTTGAGAACGATGTCTGGTAGACGTCTCAGGGCGCTCCACTACACTGTCACGAACTCTCTCGATATTTTCCGGAGTACGAACAGTTTGAACCATTGACAAGCCTTTAACTTCACCTGTTTGTTCAACTTTCCGCGCTCAATGATGAATTGGACACATGTGCTTTAAACAACTATTAAGGCACCACCTACTGAAATGCTTGTATCAAAAATGGCGCGCAAATTAGATCAGTCAGTTATATATTGGCTACCCTGTATAAACATAACTGCAGAGATGGTTTGTTTTCAAGATGTATCTTAAAAATGAAGCATGATGAGACATGTTTATATTTTAAAACTTTACGTATTAGGAATCTCACTCTGAAAATTGGCCAGATATTTTATGAACCTCGTGGAAAACGAAGATGTAGTCGATTCATATGCGAATTTTACCTTCACCACATCTTTCAACTATACATTTTAAATCACTTTTTAATGTTCCAATTTATAATTATGTACATATAATTATCGAGCATACTATACTGTTAAACAAAACAGAAGATTCAAATTTCGTTTGGAATTTGGTTCATTTTTTATTGGTGTTATTTTTTCCTAATGATCGCAAAATCTCGGCTTGCATTTCAAAATGATTTAACCCTAACTCGTGAGAAATTTTGTATCTTCCACTTGATAATCCTGAATGATGAATGCAATACACAACGATTCCGGTTTGTTTTGAAATAATATTCCAGTTTTGTTAATCAGTATAGCTTCAGTCGCTAATAATTTTCACAAATGCGTTCATCTACATATCAGATCAGACTGAATAATTTTTCATTGTGCGATTTGCGGTTTATTTATTAAGTGAACAACAATGATTAGTTTTAAGAATATGCACAGTAATATAATAAGACAGCTTTTGGCGGTCACTTTTAAGTTGTCAAGTCTAGAAACACGTTATGTAAGATCGATTTACGAGAGCGTCTACAAAAGAAAAAGGAAGATTTTGCAGAAGTGGCGATTTATTTCTTAACTTAGTCTCCTTTTTGCTCGACACTTGACCCAACTTCTTTAACCCGTCTGACAAATACGTTTTCTGAAAGTCTGCAAAGTAGGCAACCGTGGCGCCGATGACATCCACATTCGACTTAAATTTCTGCCCGGCGAGTGACTTTTTTAACTTTGGAAACAAAAAGAAGTCGCACGGGGTCAAATCTGGAGAATACGGTGGTATGGTGGAAGAGCATCTTTTTCTTCGCCAAATGGGGCCAAAATTGCGTTGTTTTTGAAATATCAGAAGACCAAACTCATGTGAAAACTTCCCACGGGACCTCGGTTGGCCGGGTGGGTCAGAGTGTCGTACTACTGATCAGCCGGCCGGCTGGGCTGCTAGTTCGAATCTCGCCTTCGGAAATCACATTTCTAAGCCATGGATGTTGTGACGTCGTGTGTTTGTCCATGATTAGAGATATAAATACATACAAGATTGGATCTGGCTAATGGGACGCAATGTCCTAGTGCAAAAAAAAATTCCCACCACGGATTTATTGAAAACCACTGATTTCTTCACTCCCTTTCGCACTCGGTCCCCCAGGGTCATCCCCTTAAAAATTTTAAATGACAAGTGGTATCGTGTAATAGCTTGATTGAAAAGTCTTTTGAAGTCCTTTATTTTGACGTTTGATTTTTAAAATCAATCGATTCGTTTTCAAGAAAAGTAGAAAAATCTTTATTACTCTTAATTTGTTTATACAGAAAACAAAAAAACCCGAAAATATCACTTATTATATCAATAAGTGTTCAAAATGTTGCCCGTTATTAGCCAAAGAATGCTATAGGCGAAGTTCAAATTGTAATCCCTAATGGGCAACATTTTGAACACTTATTCAAATAAAGAGTGATATTTTCGTATGTTTTTGTTTTCTACCTGAGCAAATTGAAATAAAGATTTTTCAAATTTTTCAAGTTGTGACCCTGAAAAGTACCTCGGTCACCCTGTACATCACGAAAAACCAAATCACTCGTACCCGTCGGTCTGCCTGTCTGTATGTACAGTAATGGACAAAAGTATCTAGACAAATTAATAATGTGCTGTATTTCTTTTTTAACTTGTTTTATTAATACACCAACTTGTATACATAATTCGTTTCTTGATATGAGATTCAATCTGTCTCCACTTTTGCTCTAAAGGCAAAAAGTTCATCCTTGTTTGAATAATTTTTATCTCGTATTTGCTGATCTAAGTATAACCATAGATTTTCAATGGGGTTTATATCGGGAGACTGTGAAGGCCATTCGAGAACTGGTATTTTTTCATCCAGAAAGAGTTTCTTTGCGAGATTTGAAGTGTGCTTCAGGTCATTATCTTGCTGGAAGATTGATCTTAAGAGCAATACAATTGGTGAATAACAGCCGCATAAAAGATATTCATCTCCCTAGGAAAAATTTGCAATTTCCTTCAGCAACGAAATTGATCTCAGAGCCACCTTTAACCCTGCAATACTAACCTTCAATTGGAGTAGCGTGAATACTAACCATTCGTATATTTCACGACTGTGAAAAGGGCAGCAAAAAAAAAGGTTTTTCCAAAAGAATTTATTACAGACTTGTATTACATATGTTTATTTGGAGTTTCAAAAGAGTGTTAAATGATAAATTATTTATCGGCATGTATCGATGTTCTGCGCAAAATGCGCGTCGGCAATGGGTGCAGTATAGTGACGTCATTCGGCGTTTTTTTGAGGGGCAGATATAACAAGTGGTGCGTCTCAGAGCAGGAGGTTCTGTTTGATCGTTCGGAAGTGGCAATCCAATTATATCACTGATTAAGAGCTTGAGTGAGCGTTGTAAAGTTGGCACTCTTAAGCGTTGTTCTAACCATGGTCTTACCAATTCTTAAAGGCCTTCCTAGTTATTGTCTGTTTACCCCGTTTTTGCAAATTATGGTTATATATTATCCATGCATTAATACTTGCCATATAGAGCATTCCGAAGAACATGCACAAGGGCCATCTGCGAGTTTTTCTCGAACAACTTCTATTTCCACACATTTGATCAAATGCGTCTACCCCTCCTTTTGTCTGGTTGTAATGCAAGATAATCTCGGGTTTTTGGGTATTTTGACAAATTCTGGATCCCTCGTGCATGGTAGACAAGACTAAAACGCTTTTATTCTTTTTAGTTTTGTAGGATAATAAAGTCTTTTGCTGGTCAAAACAGAATAAAGAGCTTCCTACTTCTCTGTTTTGAAGGTTGAGCATTTCAGGAGGAATTTCGCGTTTGTTTTGTCTCAACGTTCCAAGAATCGTTAGGTTATATGGTGGTTTTAATAACTGGTCAGCCAGGCTAACAGAAGTAAACCAATTATCCATCGTGATGTTGCGGTTACTTCCATGTACATCTTTAGTCAATTTCTTGACGTAGTACTCTGCTAGTGGTACACCGTGAGTGCTGGTGTGTTTTCCAAGGTAAGGCTCTGCATTTAGCATATATTTGGTCCCCACATCACATGTCATCACAATCTTTATTCCATATTTGGAAGGCTTGCTCGGAATGTACATTTTGAATGGACAGCGGCCTCTGAAGCCCAATAATTGCTCATCGATTGTGATGTAATTTCCCGGTTTATAGGAACTGTTGCATTTTGTAATAAATTGATCCCAAATCTCTCTAATAGGCGCGAACTTATCGACAGTTCTTCTTTCGTTACGTGTCGCTTTATCATCAAATCGCAGATTATTGATTAGAAATTCAAACCTCTAACAACTCATCGTTGCCCTATAATAAGAACCCGATTTCCTCGAGTCAAACATTTCCCTAGTGCTCAAGTGATTGTCTTTTTGGGCACCAGCAAATATAAGCAACCCAATGAGGGCATTCAATTCCTGTCTGGTCGTGGTAGAAACAGTAGATTTAGCCACCTTGTAGTTTCCATATCTTATTGCAATGTGAGCATTTGTGTGCTCCAAAATTTTTCCAAAAATAGATTCGTCGAATAAACACTGGAATGCACCTGAAGGACTATCGGCATCGCGTGCCGCCCCAGATGGACCTTGCATCACGTGAACGATGTTTCGTTGGGGAACGCGCTTACGTATGTTGGACACTGTACACCATCGGTGACCGTTTTTGCCCCGCATCCCCTTGTTAAGAATAGTTTCATGTGGTTTATCTCCCAAGTTATGTAGATCTTCATTATCGCTAATATCCTGATTACTTCCCCCTCTTTCTGTTTGAGAGAAGTTTTCTATATTGGGTCTCTGTGTTTCAACCTCCTGGTCATTTGATACACTTTGTTCATCTTCCAAATTTTGTGCAGCAAGCTGGTCTACTTGGCCATCTCCTTGATCACACTCTACTGGAAAATGTTCCTGTGTTGGCTTCGACCCTCTATTAATTCTTCTCCGCTTTCTATAGTTACATTCATCGGAGTCAGTGCTTTCTCTATCAGATGTTTCGGGCTCATATTCTGATTCAGAAAGACTGAAATCTTCTTCCAAGTTATCCTCAGTTTCTGATCCGCTAGAAAGCTTCCAAAAATCTTCGAGTTCAACATCAGATTTTGGTATTAGGTCTTCTAGTTCCTTCTGAGATAAAGGCCTTATGTCTTCCCACTTCTTGGCCATGCTGTAGTCAACTGAATTCTAAAATAATTCAAAAAATCTTCGTATATGCCCTAAAAAAATTATAACCTAAATACTAACCTTTCGTAAAAAATACGACGAGGAAGCTACACGTGCGGTCAAAATCTTACGTTGGATACATGGTTGCCAATTCTCAAAAAAGAAAAATGCTTTCGTATATTTTACGAATGGTTAGTATTATAGGGTTAATAATGTCGATGTCCTCCATGGTTCTCCAACATATTGTCCCCAATGACAACTTCTTTCCTCCTTCGATTAAGTCTTGTCGTAGTGTGGCCAGGATTTCGGTGAGAGTGGCAGTGACTTGTGGTATTGTTCTAGCAGAAGATATGGCACCGACGCGCTTCCCAATCTGTTCAAAGAAATCGTCAGTGAAGTTTTGCTTCCGTGACCCACTGAAGACTGGTACTGAGCACACTTGCATCACTGCTGTGGATAGCAGGCCTGTTAGATTTGCGGAGGCAAGTTTTGAATACCTTTTGCGGACCACAGGTTTGAATTTAATAGATTTTCCACTGGTTGTCATCTTCTGGAATCCATGGCCTAATTCAGCACGAGTGAACCAGTTTCCTTGGTCTGTTATTTGAGCCAATATTGTAAGGTCCTCTTTGTATGTGCCGAAGATGGTATGAAAGAATACTTGTTTCGCCTCTAACTCCTTGAAATGTCCCTCGTATTCCCATTTTAATAGTTGAATTATTTTGTATAAGTAGAATCCACCATTTCCTGATACGTTGAATCCTTTAAGTAGGGTGTTTCCTCCTACGAAAGATGTTGGTTTGTCCTCAGTATCGAGTATAAAATCATCATCATTTACTGGGATTCTGTATGCCCTCACCAAAGCAGTAACAGGGAAGAACATACGGTTTGCTTGTCTGGCTGTAGTAATCATTAGGATGTCTGCCAACAATGAAATTATTCCCCTCACCTCTGCAGCCTTTCTTCCTTTCACTATGTCTAATATCTCATCAATTAAGGGAATATGGGCCATGGATCTCTTCGCTGCATCAGTCCATTTTTTGCGGTATTTTTCTTCTGCTCTTATGTGAGCCGTCTAAATGCAAACCCCGCCAAGTGCAAATCATACAATTCCAAGAAAAACGCGAAAAACTGTTTTGGCTAATACTATCCACAAAATGAATTTACTTTAATGTCGTGTTGATATAGATACTATTTCTTAATAAATATCATTCATTGTATTACAAGAAAGAGTGCACTAGCACCGTAAAATAAGAAAAATAAAATGCAGTTGGCGGGATTTGAAAATAAATGTGGAAAATGGCGGGTTTTGCAGCCAAAATCAAGGATTTTAGATAAATTAGTTTTAGTTAACTACAACAGTTTTAAACCCAAAAAGAGTCCATTAAGACCAAATAATTCAACAACAAACTATATTAGAAAAGCAGGTACAAGTAGATTGTGATCCCACAAAAAATAACACAGTATTTTTCAGCTAATCAAACATGTTAATTCTTATTATGGAGCAAACTGATAAGCTAACTATTTCTTTAATAATTAAAAATGAACTTAAATTTTAAAAATACAAACTATATAATTAAACAAAACGTGTGTCATCCACAGGGGTTTGGTCGCAGATGAATTCTTCTGTCATTGTAGAAGAGCCTGTTTGGATTATGTTGTACTCCATTGCATCCTTATAGAATATTAGATTTTGCAAAGATTTCCAATCAGGACCATAATGATTGGTTTGATTAACAGTACGCCCAGAGACTAGTTTTTTTGGTGCGATGGACAATATTCTTTTGCCTTTTTTACAGACACTTCTAGCCATTCCTAAATTTGTGCGATAGTTTGCTTCTCCTTGAATTAAAGCAATCTTCTGACTATGGTCTCTTGTTATCAGAAACCTTTTTGTTGGATTGAATTGGAAATGCCAAGTTCCGGGCGGTTTGATAATATTCTGAACAGCCGCTTTCCAATCATAAGCATGCCAGTCTTTTCCCAAAACCTTTAGTACTGAATATTCTTCTATAATCTTGTAATACTCTTCTGGTTCGCAGATAGTTGTATTTTTTTAATAACACGTTCAATTAGACCAAAAACTCGATCAGGAGGCATGAAAGAATGGCCCACTATTGGAAAGACAAATTCAATTGTTTTCAGATGGGCCGGGGGATATTTTATAAGCCAGACTGAGAGCATTGTTAAAACTATTGAATTTTTATTCTGTCCGCCGCAACCATCGGCGAACAAACGGATTGTATCTTTTGATGCCGAAAATTCTTCTTTTCTTAAAAAATCAAACAACGCTGATGCAATTATACTGGAATTTTTCGGGATATCCACATCTGTCCACAAGTATGAGGTCACGTTGTAAGGACATAACTGTGACTTCGAAGAACCCTTTACTACTGTAAAATTATATAGATTAAATTGCTGAGAAAAATATGCTGAGGAATCTGGAAGTCGAGGTAAGGCCAAATTTTTCTGACAATCCAAGGAATAATTCACAACATTTTCTTTTTCTTCTTTAAGCATTGCGAAAAAAGCATTGGCTTTCAGTTTGTGTACTCTTTGTTTTATTATTAAGTTGGCTTTTGAAGTGTCGTCCTTCTCTTTTTTTATTTCCTCCTTGAAGTTTAGACAAACAGAGCAAACATCGGTCTTTGGAGTTCCAAATCCAAGGTTGTAGTTCCTGTTTACGTATTTTCTAAAATATGATTCCTTTACTTTAAGGTGATTTTCTGCAAATGCATTGTATAATTTATACAATTTTCTAATATTCAGATCACAATTTAGGTAGACTCTGGCATTAGTGCGACTTCTACAGTATTGGAACTCTGTGCATTTTAAATTTTCTATAAAATGAGCAATTGCGCGCTTTTTTTCTTCATTCTTCAAGCCAATTCTATCGCCACCCCTATTTTCCTTAGGAACGTTTTCGGATTGTTTGACAATTCTTTGAACTCTGTCTTTTTTTAAGTTTAATATTCCAAGGAAACTATTTCTACAGACACGGACCAATTCTTTGTTTTTTATAACGTTATAGACGATAGTCACACTTTTCTTGCCCTTTGCGTTTATTGCTAAGCGTGATCTTTTCGGATTTAGCGCAAAGCAGCACTTGTAGATTAACGTGTCTTGAGCTACTTTATCTTTGTTTTTGTAGAACAATCCATGGAAGCGCTGAATGTCTATCATAGATAATGTTTTGCATTTAATACTTCCTTTTTTGTGATTGCAGGTGGGATATTCAGGTAAAGACTTCGGAGAATATCTGCAATAACACAAAAATCATGATTAACGTTTTGTCTCGTAAAAGCAACAACAAACTCACCGGTTTTGCTTAGCAATGGCACGTTTATGTTTATGCGATTGTACCATCCTTTTTCGACTATGCTCTGGAAGAGTTGTTGTAACCTTAATGTCACTCATTATTAAGTTATTCACCAAATATTTTAATAAACAGCAACAATGACTTTCACACCTGCTTGCGTTATAACCACAATGATGAGACTGCCAGGAAGTGGCGCGAAACCCTGTAAATAGTCTAAGTACACGGTCACAAGGCCAAAACACGAGTTTCCTATTTGACACACGCACTTGGCGGTTTTTGCAAACTAATAAATCTGCAAATGGCGATGTATTGAAAATGAACTGAGTTTTTGATGCGCGATAGTAATATGTTATAAATGTCGGGTTTTGCGAAATAATCTCTTGACAGAATGCAGATATCAACATTTCCTGGTGAATGACAGTGCTATCTCAATTTTTATAACTTTTGCATTTGGCGGGGTTTGCAGTTAGACGGCTCATGTGACAGAGGAGAGCGGTTAGTGGACCCACACTTTGTGCCATGGCGCCTCTTTTTTCAGGTGGGTATGTGCTCCCTTGTAGCAGGATGTGGTGTGATCCGTTGATGCCGTATTTCTCCACAGGGAAGCATGTTGATTTGTCTCCACTTTTCTGTATTGGCATGCTGCTGTGACCAATTCAGAGTTCCGTGAGTCGAAGATGGTTTGCAGCGAAGAAATCTATATATGGGGCTGCCGTACCGTACCAATTGTCTTTGCTGTTCAGATCAAATTTTTTAAACTCAACTTCAGCACCTTTTGCAGCATCCTGAGAAGCTTTGATAGCTGCGTCAAATGATATGGAGTAAGTGGTCCCTTTCGATGTCAATGTGAACATTTTCTTCTCTGTGGCTTTTTTCTCTGATGATCCTATTAGACCGTTTGCCCTTTGTCTTAAAATGTTGAAGATCGAGTGTATAATGTTGGTGATCTGAGCAGCTAGATTTATGTTCTCATTTCCAGGATCTATCTCTTTTCGCAGAAGCACCTTCAGTTTTTCATAGAAATACACCGACGCACCGACGCGCTTCCCAATCTGTTCAAAGAAATCGTCAGTGAAGTTTTGCTTCCGTGACCCACTGAAGACTGGTACTGAGCACACTTGCATCACTGCTGTGGATAGCAGGCCTGTCAGATTTGCGGAGGCAAGTTTTGAATACCTTTTGAGGACCACAGGTTTGAATTTAATAGATTTTCCACTGGTTGTCATCTTCTGGAATCCATCGCCTAATTCAGCACGAGTGAACCAGTTTCCTTGGTCTGGTATTTGAGCCAATATTGTAAGGTCCTCTTTGTATGTGCCGAAGATGGTATGAAAGAATACTTGTTTCGCCTCTAACTCCTTGAAATGTCCCTCGTATTCCCATTTTAATAGTTGAATTATTTTGTATAAGTAGAATCCACCATTTCCTGATACGTTGAATCCTTTAAGTAGGGTGTTTCCTCCTACGAAACATGTTGGTTTGTCCTCAGTATCGAGTATAAAATCATCATCATTTACTGGGATTCTGTATGCCCTCACCAAAGCAGTAACAGGAAAGAACATACGGTTTGCCTGTCTGGCTGTAGTAATCATTAGGATGTCTGCCAACAATGAAATTATTCGCCTCACCTCTGCAGCCTTTCTTCCTTTCACTATGTCTAATATTTCATCAATTAAGGGAATATGGGCCATGGATCTCTTCGCTGCATCAGTCCATTTTCTGCGGTATTTTTCTTCTGCTCTTATGTGACAGAGGAGAGCGGTTAGTGGACCCACACTTTGTGCCATGGCGCCTCTTTTTTCAGGTGGGTATGTGCTCCCTTCTACCAGGATGTGGTGTGATCCGTTGATGCCATATTTCTCCATAGGGAAGGATGTTGATTTGTCTCCACTTTTCTGTATTGGCATGCTGCTGTGACCAATTCTGACTTCCGTGAGTCGAAGATGGTTTGCAGCGAAGGTAAATCTATATATGGGGCTGCCGTACCGTACCAATTATCTTTGCTGTTCAGATCAATTTTTTTAAACTCAACTCCAGCACCTTTTGCAGCATCCTGAGAAGCTTTGATAGCTGCGTCAAATGATATGAAGTAAGTGGTCCCTTTCGATGCCAATTTGAACATTTTCTTCTCTGATGATCCTATTAGACCGTTTGCCCTTTGTTTTAAAATGTTGAAGATCGAGTGTATAATGTTGGTGATCTGAGCAGCTAGATTTATGTTCTCATTTCCAGGATCTATCTCTTTGGGCAGAAGCACCTTCAGTTTTTCATAGAAATACACCGACGCACCGACGCGCTTCCCAATCTGTTCAAAGAAATCGTCAGTGAAGTTTTGCTTCCGTGACCCACTGAAGACTGGTACTGAGCACACTTGCATCACTGCTGTGGATAGCAGGCCTGTTAGATTTGCGGAGGCAAGTTTTGAATACCTTTTGAGGACCACAGGTTTGAATTTAATAGATTTTCCACTGGTTGTCATCTTCTGGAATCCATCGCCTAATTCAGCACGAGTGAACCAGTTTCCTTGGTCTGTTATTTGAGCCAATATCGTAAGGTCCTCTTTGTATGTGCCAAAGATGGTATGAAAGAATACTTGTTTCGCCTATAACTCCTTGAAATGTCCCTCGTATTCCCATTTTAATAGTTGAATTATTTTGTATAAGTAGAATCCGCCATTTCCTGATACGTTGAATCCTTTAAGTAGCGTGTTTAATTCTACGAAAGATGTTGGTTTGTCCTCAGTATCGAGTATAAAATCATCATCATTTACTGGGATTCTGTATGCCCTCACCAAAGCAGTAACAGGGAAGAACATACGGTTTGCCTGTCTGGCTGTAGTAATCATTAGGATGTCTGCCAACAATGAAATTATTCCCCTCACCTCTGCAGCCTTTCTTCCTTTCACTATGTCTAATATTTCATCAATTAAGGGAATATGGGCCATGGATCTCTTCGCTGCATCAGTCGATTTTCAGAGGTATTTTTCTTCTGCTCTTATGTGACAGAGGAGAGCGGTTAGTGGACCCACACTTTGTGCCATGGCGCCTCTTTTTTCAGGTGGGTATGTGCTCCCTTCTAGCAGGCTGTGGTGTGATCCGTTGATGCCATATTTCTCCACAGGGAAGGATGTTGATTTGTCTCCACTTTTCTGTATTGGCATGCTGCTGTGACCAATTCTGAGTTCCGTGAGTCGAAGATGGTTTGCAGCGAAGAAATCTATATATATGGGGCTGCCGTACCGTACCAATTGTCTTTGCTGTTCAGATCAAATTTTTTAAACTCAACTCCAGCACCTTTTGCAGCATCCTGAGAAGCTTTGATAGCTGCGTCAAATGATATGGAGTAAGTGGTCCCTTTCGATGTCAATGTGAACATTTTATTCTCTGTGGCTTTTTTCTCTGATGATCCTATTAGACCGTTTGCCCTTTGTCTTAAAATGTTGAAGATCGAGTATATAAATGTTGGTGATCTGAGCAGCTAGATTTATGTTCTCATTTCCAGGATCTATCTCTTTGGGCAGAAGCACCTTCAGTTTTTCATAGAAATAGATTATGTATTTCAGACATTTGACTTTTTTGTCTGTTTCTGGCTGAATTCTTGATTTTTTCGCAGAGGATATGCTTGTTCCATCGTCTGGGTCTACTATGTCGTCCCGGGTCCTCTTTGTTCTGTTTACAGCTGTTTGATCGGTTTCCATATTTGAGGTTGAAGCCATTGTTGTTTCTCTGAGATAAAGTTAAAATTGGTAAAGAGTCCGTATAGGGTAACATGACATGCTTTGGTATGTCTTTGTATACAAACATCCATAGTGCCATCTATTCTATGTAAAGGTTCCATCCCAAACCCCGAAAAGCACCTCCAAACCATAACAGACCCGCCTCCATGTTTGACAGTGGGCAAAGTGTACGTGGGGTTCAATCTTTGTCCACTAGGACGTCTAACGTAATGAACACCATCTGATCCAAACATATTGAACTTGGATTCGTCACTGAAACATGCCCTCTTCCAGTCACAGATGATCCAATCAAGATGCAATCATTTAATCTTCTACTTATATTTTACGTAGAAACACTGACAATTCCTTTTGTGCCGATTTCGGCTTTTATTTGTCTTGGGGTTTTAAACGGATCTTTGGACGAAATTACTTTTATTAATCTAACTGATCTAGCATTTAGTTTTCTAGGCCGACCACGCGGCATGGTTTTAAAATCACTCAACTTATTCCACAATACTTGATGAACACAAAAGTATGAATTCGTTTTCTAAAGGTATTCAGGTAAATATTCATATTTGTCTATATACGAGTACTTTTATCCATTACTGTATGTCAATCAGAGCGAAAATCACTCAGAAAAACCAACTGATCTGTCGCAATAAACATGTGATTTGTTGGCTCTCTTTCGTCGCGGAATTCCTGTTTATAAACAGTTAACGTCAAGCGCATTATTCAAGTTTTGGGTTACGGCAACGGTGCGGAGCATCGGAGTTTATAAATCGACCTCAAACATTAAATGCTTCTTTTCTCAAGTTTACATCCAGTAAACTCCAATAACGCTTGTTATGTCAAATATCAGCGCGCTTTTCTATAAGTTTTCCAAAATGTTGGTTCCAACAGTTCTGTTTAATTCAAAGACATACTTTCTTACATAGTTGTTTCTGACTTGGTCGAGCTGTGTCTCGCTATTTTCGTGGAAGACTAATTAGATTTTATTTAGTTAAGAATTATTTTTGTGCCATTTTAAGATATAGCTTGTTGTAAATATCTATATAGTAAGAAATATATTGAATATAAAGATCGAAATCTGCCTTAAAGTATCTCTAAATGTTGTCAACGTAGTTTGTATCCAGAATGTACCTTTACGCTTTATTTTATTTCGCGAGTGTCAGAACAGATATTTTTGTTCTTTGAAAACGTATTGTCTTCAAGCTTGAAAATAATCGGTTGAAAAGATACATTGTTCAAAGCTTTTGTGTAATAAAGATATGCTGAGAAGTAAATAGATGATTTTGCTTTTTGTATAATACCGTACGTTTGTCAAGTTGAGGTACATGTATATAATTTTATAAATTATCAAAGCATCCCTGTATTTATAATATAAATTCTAGTCAATAAAAGTGTACTTAGGATACTGATTTTTTTTTAAGATGTTGGTCTGTCTGCCTGCTAATCGTTGACTTCTCTATAACCCGCACAGGTATCACGTATCTTGAAAAGTGACATTATGTCGATTTTTTTTACATTATCCTGTTTTTTTTGACATTATGTAGGTTTTTCGCCAAGACGTTGACTTAGGCCCGTATTGTCGTCCCTACAATTTTAGGGCTCGTTTAAGGCCTTCTTGATTGTCGTACTCTTTTCTCTCCTTCAAGAATTTCTAGATTACACTCGTCCCGTGTCAGCGTCAGCGCTCTCCTATTGTTAAGATATGTTTTCTTTTTAAATTGTAGGAAATTTCAGGCTGATAAAACATGATATAACTCAAAAGCAAGCACAATTTGACGCAAATAGATGTTTGTGACATAACCTCAAAATAGAGCGCTGAGACAGAGAAGTAGAAAACTATGACAATCAAGGAGGCCATAAAGGCGCCCTACAATTGTAGGGACGACTGACGATACGGGCCTAAGTTGTAGGCGTTGCCTAAACGTCATGAGGCTTGTTATCAATCTTTGGCTCTGATGTGATGTAAAATCTGCTTCTGAGATGGCATTACTGGAGGTCTAAGCTGTAAGTTGTATGTGTTGATGATAATTATATTGGGTTCTTGTCTCAAATACACTTAATTGAGATTCAAAGCTAGAAATTAGTTGCGCATCCACTTTTTCTTATCCATTCTGGAAATTACATATACAAATTTGCCGAGTTTCAAAAATGAGAGAGATAAGAAATAATTATATTCACTGTACACTGTCGAATTACAAGCCATATAAATGCTAACAGTAATTACACACAACGCGGGCGCGGTGATGATTTCCCGTAATTCTCCTGTTTTTCGTAATGTATATCTTTGAACATAACCTCTCTTCAGACAGCACAACATATAAATAACCCGTCATATTGAGCATTTTCAGTAACGATTTTCTCACACAGCAAATATCACTGATGTTATACACATGCAGATCAATACACATAATCCTCCAGATGCGATCTTGTTATTCAACCAACTTTATTCTCAGAGATAAAAACTACAGACAAGGATCACTCAGCCTCACAAAACTATGCAACCAGTAATGCAGTATGCAGTAATGCGTGTAGTTTAGTTGAGTGATTCCTTCATAAATGGACGTTCACAACGATCCTAGTGAGCTAACGTGGAATGACTGAAAACTGCCTAGTCTGCAAGTTGACATAGGTTTATTTATATTTGAAATATTAAACAAAACACAATAAAACAATTAAAATCTCTTCTTTCTAGGTTTGACAGCTGCAAACTCAGAAATAACTTCATCAAAATTTATACTTTGTATTGCCTCGTGTTCGATGGCTAATGTACCAAGATTGCTATGCCGAGATCGGGTCGTTGTTGCCCGCAAATATATTAATTTTAGTTTACTGAAACTCATTTCACATGAAGCTACGGACGCGCAAACCGTCATGAACAATTTTAGTGCAATCATAAGAGATTTCATTCTAAAATAAACTTTAAAAAATCTAGAGATACCCAATCAGAAACTGTAACATTAGCGGCTTTTACGTGTCTTCGCCGTCTTGGTATCTCTAAAAGTAATTCTGTTTCTTTTTTTATCTCTAAACGTTTAACAGTTCACACCAACCAAACACAACAGACAACACACTTCAAATGAAACAAATGAGAAATGATGCAAAATGCAACTGACACGTCAAGGATCGCGACTAGGGAACGGGGAATCCCACACGACAGAGTCGTGCGCTTTTGGGGAATCCCCGAATTATACATAGAGCTGAGCTAGTGTTTTTGAGGATGAATTACCGAAAACAGCTGTGCTAACGATTTAATTTTTTTTATGTTTGTTCTTAAAGTTGAGTCATGCCAAAAAAGGTGATACCCTTGCTACGCCACTACTGTGCCAAGAACGAATACGCTTCCGAAAATCGATCCAGTGCCGGCGCAGGTGGGGACAAAAAAGTAAAACAAAATGAAAATCGCTTTAACTTTATTTTTTAACGTTTCAGAGGATTCTGATCATTTTTTAAATAAGGTTTGGGGGTATGCGCCTCCAGTCGCGGTAATTCTATGCACCTATAAGTGCCGGAGTTCCAAGCAAAGAACAAAAATAACATCGATGACGCTTCGTTTTTCACGTTTCAGAGATTCCTGCTCGTTTTCATATAACTTTTTTGGAGGGGTTGAAAACTGGGGGTGTACATGTTCCATCTTTGGTATCAGTGATGCAGGGAGTTCTGTTACCATGAAGATCCCAGTACGTCTACGAACCTATTAGATATAATAGTCACGCATATATATATATATATATATTCTTTAGTTTGAAATGATAAGTTTACGATATATCGTTCTTGAGACATATACCTATACTATAACTATCTAAAACTGTAATGACTCATCGATGTTCACGTGAACATAACTTAACTACCAGTAGTCGGCTGTTCATAGGCGGGGTATGAATGTTTAACATGGGTGAACTAGATTTGTCACATGCTTAATAAAGAGTGGTTTGAAACATATTGTAAGTCAAAAATTTGGGAATCACCTTTATTCATCGTCGCTTCCACTTACATCTGACAGTAATAAACTGTCGCTATCGCTTTCCTCGTTGAAATTGACTATAACTGGCTCTATGATGGTGTCGATGTGGTGGTCAAGCTGCCACATTTTTGTTTCTTCCTTCACAACATGACGGATAGCATTCTGCCAAGCTTCGGGCGTTACTAGCTGTATGGAAGTCTGGTAATTTGAAGGTTGTGTTATGGCGCGCAATATAACCCTTCACTTGAGCCCAGATGAGCTCTATTGGGTTCAGTTCACAGTGGTAGGGCGGTAACCGCAGCACAGTGACACCACATTGACGGGCCATCTCATCAGTCACGTAACTAATGTTCGCAGGTTTGTGCTGTTTAATTTTTTCATACAATTCCGCTTTCACACATGAATCGTCAAACGGGATTCCTTTTTCGCGCAACCATTGCTGCATGTCACTTTTTCGAGATCCCATAGTCGGTACACGTTCGGCTCGACGACTATGGTAGGAAGCATTATCCATGACGATCACAGAGTTGGGCTCAACTCGCTGAAGCACCCCTTGAAACCAGCTCTCGAAGCAGCTGGCATTCATTTCGTCATGGTAATCACCTCCTTTCTTAGAGACGAAAATCAAGTCACACTCTTCTAAAAAGCCACTATCGCTACCAATATGAGTTACGATCAATCTTTGACCTTTCCCTGACGGTCCACGAAGACCTGTTGACAAACCTTCAATGCTTGCTTGTCGGTTACTCACTACGTTTTTGTCTATCCAGGTTTTTTTAACTGTGTGACCTGCATTTACCGATGTCTCGTCCAAATAATAGATTTTTCTGCTTTGTCTCCTATATCCAATCATTTCGCGTAGGTATTTTCGACGCCAGGCGACTATTTCAGGTCTCTCTATCAATACTGACTTCCGATTACGCGTTTCGTAACGAAAATTAATTTCGTACAGGGATTTCCTCGTTACCTCGACGCTCATTTGGGGTATAATTTCATTTTCCTTGATCGCTGCATGTACAGCCTTGAGGGTTGGTATCTCATTCCTAAAGAAGAATGAATGTACGGTTCGCCTTAACGCCATTTTGCTATCGTCATCCAATTTAACGGCCTTTCGTCCCTTCAAATTAAACTTTGGATCAGTAGTAGCACCACTTTTCTTCTTTTCATGCACCACCCTGCGAATGATCCACTCTGGAACGCCTGTCATACTTTCACAACGCGCGAGTGCATCTCCCTGCGACATAGTTCTGTTCAGATAATTGAACACGTTGAGCACGATTTCTTTCGCGTCCCTCTTCAGTGCTTTACGAAGCCGTCTACTTGTTCCCTGGCTTTCAGTACTTCCACTCGTGCCATTTGTACTCTCCATGGTTAAGTATAACCAAAACAGTAACCACAGAAACCACAACAATAACAATCACACAACAATTCTTATAAAAACACACAATATGCGATCGCACAACGAAACAGGTTCCAATGCGTTGCCGACGCCTATGAGTCTGCCGGTCGAGGCGCGTCTTTGATTTCATTGGTTCTACCGGCCATCTCTGTCTCTGCTGTTGACCACCGCAAAGCCACAGAAACGACATATGTCGTACGCTATACGGCTGTACTGGAAGGAAGCCGGAATCGAGCTCTGATCACGCGAGTCATTACAGTTTTAAATAGTTGTAGTATAGCTAAGTTTTGATTCCAATTGAGTAGATCTGATATAGACAGTGGTCAAGTTTTAGGTCTACTGATAAATAACTTAGAAAGTTATTGTTAGTGACTGATAACAGGATAACTAAAATTGCACGCCGATGACAAGTAGGTTGTCACTCTGACAAATATGATAGGAAACGTCAAAGTTTTCGAGACGGAGACACACAACTAGAAAACGTATGTCTTTGAGATTACCGAACAAACTGTCACACACAGGGGTAGGTTGCACGTGAATGTATAAGAGAGATGGATTTATGAAAGCAATTCCTGTAGTTTTACTTTACCAAAAACCGTGAAAAGAACTTTAATGATATCACCGACGTCTTTTGTTGCAATCTGAAATACATACTGCAAAAAATGAGTCTGTACGGCGTGAGCGCAACCATTCTTATAATACGTTGTTCGTGTCGCTAAAAACAACTAATAAAAAATCTCCAGCTCTGGAGCTTGTTATCGAGGTAAATCGGCTGCTTATATTCTGAATTCGATGTAAAATGAGTTCTAGGATTCACAATTAATTTTTCTACCCAAATCGGGGTCCGATGGAACTTTTGAATTTTTTCACTATGATACATATACAGGGTGATTCACAAGTCGTGACCAAAAATGAAACATTTTTCCTCAAGGGCTTCACCCAACGCAAATAGCTGTACTGCGTCGATAAAATCACGGAAAAAAAATAGCATCGCCAAATT